CTTTATAGAGAGAAAACTAAAAAAAATAATAAGAAGATACCTATTAAATAAAGACTATAGAAGAAAGCTATAAAAGAAGATATAATTTTTAGACTATCTAGTAGTATCTAATAATATATTAGAGAGTATTAAGTTTTAAAAATAATTATAAATTATTAACTTTTATTTCTAAGTTAATAAAATATTATTAGTTATCTATATCTATCTAGAATTATATTAGTAGCTTATTTTTATATTATCTAAAAGTATAAATAATTTCTATAGGTATTATAGAGTTTTATAAGTAGTTATTACTAATTTCTAGTATATTTAAATCTAGTATAGATATTAATATTAAATATATAAGTTTTAATATTATAAATATTAAAAATTATTATATATTTTAACCTACTTACTTTATTATTTTAATATCTTTTCTATTACTAAATTAGAGTAATTACTTAAATAAAGTAAAATTTACTTCTTCTTTATTATTTTTTTCTTTTATATTTTTACTTATATCTTCTTCTTTATAACTATCTAATATATAAGTATTAAGTTAATTAAGAGTAAGTAGTATATAGAAGTAAATACTAGTATATTATAAGCTATATTAATATATTTATAATTTAATATCTAAAAGAAATAGAAGAGAATACTAATATAGAGATAAATTAAAAATATCTCTTTATAAAACTTAAGCTACTACTTTAGTAGAGAACTTATCTATAAAGAAGAAGAAGTAAAATATAATTAATATTAATAAAGAGTTTTTAGAGAATAAGTTAACTATCTATTAGTATTATTTTTTATCTCTATCCTTTCCTTATACTTCTAGGAAGAAATATAATAAAGTACTTTTTAGTAATAAATTATACTCTAATTATTATAATAATAAAAAAGGATATAAAGGTTTCCCTAAGGAGTTTAAGCTTAATATTATAAATATTACTATAGTTTACTATAAGTATCTTAAGGTAGAGTCTATTAAGATTTATCTTAAGAATAAGGAGTTACTTATTAAAGAGATATAAGAGCTTAAGAAGAAGTATAAAAACTAATTAGTTTATAATAATAAAACTCCTATAAATAAAATTCTAGAGACTCTAATTAAGAAGTAAATAATTAGTACTAAAATAATTATAATTAGAAATAAAAGTAATACTACTAAAATTAAAAAAGCTCTAGAATCTATAACTAAGACTTAGTTTAATATAGAAATTATTCTAAAGAATATTATAGCTTCTTAAAAGGCTATTATAAGAAATATAGTAGTAAAAATACTCTAGAATTCTATATAATATAAGAAGATATACTAACTATAGATATATAGTTTCTAGATAAAAATATTAAAGCTTTAATTAAGGAAGTTAGTACTCTTAGTATAAAGATTAAGTATAGTTTTAGTTATATTATTAAGGTACTTAATATAAGAAATAAAAGATATATTTAGGTATATCTATATTTTTAGAAAAAGAATAATATATAAAGAAGAAATTAACTTAATATATAGAAGTATACTATTTTAAAGGTTAATAGTAACTAAACCTCTATTTATATTACTTTAAAGAAGCTTAGATTATTAATTAAGATCTTTTAAGAATCTCTAACTCCTATTAGTTATTAGAATAATAATAGTTTAATTAATTATATAAAGTAAATAATTTAGTAGCCTATATTCTAGCCTCTATAGAAGTTTTTAGCTTTTTTAGGCTTATTAGTCGCTATAAGTAAGGAATATAGATAGTTAGAAGTTAAGGAATTAGGAGTTAAGGTAAAGGGAGACGAAGTATAAGTAAGATTTAAATTTAAAAGATTCTTATATTAAGTAATTAGTTATAAAAGCTATTATAGTACTAAATTAAAAAAAAAATATATCTTTTCTTAATATAGTATATCTATAATATTCTTAGTAGCTACTATATTAATATTATTATTAGTCGGTATCAGTACCCTATTAGTACTTATTGGTGTTCGCCACCATGTCTCTACGGAAGATAGTAGTGCCGCAAAACATACTTTATCCGCTATGGATCACATGACATCACGTGTCTCCGCCCCTGCTCTCGGGCGGAAAGGCGGATTCCGCTGGCCGCAGGCAGAGAGAGAGAGAGAGGCAGCGAGGCACTGAGGGAAAGGCGGCCGGCGAGGTTGAAAGGCGACGGCGAGGGCGAGACGGGCGAGCAGAAAAAAGCAACGAGGAGGACCAGGGAGGACGGCAGAAGCAGCAGAGGGACGAGGAACGAGGGACGGCCAGCGAGGACAGACAGCCAGGCGCAGACGGGATCTCGCCTGGGTAGCCGTGGTGCACAGCCGGGCGGCCCATCCATCCATCCCTCCACCGGCCGCATCTCCTCTGGCTGGCCTGCTTGCTTCCAATGCTTGCGTAGGCCGCACCTCGCTGCAGGCCCGCGGACGACTGCGTGTGTGTTAGAGTGCGAGTGTGAGTGTGTGTGCGGCTCGTTGCTTTTTCCTGCGTGCGTCGGCCTCCTCGTTAGGCTGATACCGACGGTCTTCTCTTCTCTTCTTCTTGCTCTCTCTCTCTCTGTGCTCTCTGGCTCTCGCTCTGGCTCTCTGGCTCTGGACTGGCTCCCGCCCTCCCTTTTTGCCTTTTTGCTCTTTTCTGCCGCTCCTCCCGTGCTCCGGCCTCACCTCTTCTACTTCTACTCTCCCACGACTCCCACGACTCACCCTCAAGACTCTCACCACTCTCAAGACTCCCAAGACTATCCGACATGAACATAGACGCTCGCAGCTAACGGTCGCAAGCGGATGATGGACCCCAAACGCCCTCGCTCGCCGTGCGGCGGCAGCACCTCCGACCACCCTGCGAAACAGCCCAAGACCACACACCCTACTAACCCTCACCCTCCCCTTCACCAGCACCACCAGCCTCACCAGCAACCTCACCCTCACCAGCACCTCCAGATCAACTACCTCGCCCGCCAGTACTCCGACACCCTCCCGCTCGTCTCCACGGACGACACCCTGCCCGCCATCCTCCGCTGGATAGGCGAGTACGACGGTGTGCTGCACCGCCACGAGTCCATCGCCGGCAACCTGGGTGCCTGTCCGCTCGGCCCCATCCTCGTCAAGCGCTTCGAACGGCTCTTTGACGGGCCTCCGCGCGTCATCAGGTCGGCCTCTGCGTCGGCCAGCGGTGGTGCTGGTGGTACTGGTGGTGCGGCCGGCGATACAACAGCTAAAGAAACCACCGTCTCGTGGTTGGACATCGTCGAGTTCGCAAAGGAGTTCCCGGACAAGTTCACCCTCGAAAAGGCCCGGAGTGGCTCGCGGGTCTGCCAGCTGGACATCAAGCATGCCCGCGTCGAGATCTCCGAGGAGGACTATGTCCTGATTGCGTCTGGCATGCCGCAGAAGATGATCCCGCCGCAGCCCATCAGCGAGGACGAGGAGAAGGAGCTGGGTGCCCTCGAGATACTCGAGAAGAACCTGGTGTACATCATCCAGCTTGCCGATCAGGGTAGGTCTCTCTCCTTTAGACTTTGCCTTATATACATACCCTTTGTACTAACTAACAGTTTGTAGTATCGGCTAGGGCTAGACAGCTCAATCACCGGCTGAAAAACCGACGCAACGCCATCGTCTCCAGGCGGGAAAACGACGCCTCTCTCGCTCTCTCGCAGACCCGCGCCATCAGCCCCTGGAAGGACAGCACCACTCCCAACGGCCATGGACAGTCTCGCACCGCATCCCCGCCCGGCTTCGTCGCTGTCAACTCCCGCCAGGACCCTTCCTCCTACCACGACGAACCAGCGCAGTTTGCCTTCTCCCAGCCCATCTCAGACAACGTCACCATCATCAACGGGACCTCTATCAAGGGCGCCTCCCCCAGCACCCGCGCAGAGCTCATGAAGAAGTTCTTCACCACCTCCGACAGACGCATGCACCAGCAGAAACAGCAGCAGCAACAGACCGACCACCACCCAGACTCAGACCAGCAGTCCTCCTCCTCGCCGTTCCCGGGACAGGCCAACTCCCCGATCCCTCCCGTACCCATTCCAGGCACCCCTTCTTCCCTACTCCCGCACCCAAAGCCAACCCCTTCTCATGACCGCGATGAGACTGCGCCCTTCAAGGCTGCCATGGTCGCCCGCATGGAAGACCTAGCCAGAGGAGAACGTATCCTGCCACCCTGCGATAGATGTAGAAGACTAAACATGCACTGTCTTAAGAACCTGACTGCGTGCATGGGCTGCACAAAGAAACATGCCAAGTGCTCCTGGCGCGACGTCAAGGCGGAAGAACTACAAAAGGACCACCCCAAGCACCGCGCAGCCAGCCAGGATGCTGCCACTACCACTACCACTACCACTACCACCACTACTACCCGCGAAAAGGACAGAGATGCTAGTGAAGATGTCTCTGCCTCTACCTCTGCTCCTGATGATAGAGGCAAGAACAGTCCCGCTAGGCCTGCCACTACCACCGCTACACCTACTATAACCACAAATACCACCAACGGCACCACAAACAGTGGTAGAAATAGCCAGAGACATGATAGGAATGCCAGCACAAGGCTAGATGATGACTCTAGTGATGTCCTTGCACAAGCTATCATGGACACCTTTGACCACCACAGACAACGCACTGCTGAGCGCGAGAGGACCCAGCAACAGCAACAACAAGAGCAGCAGCAGCAGCAGCAGAGAGAAAAAGATAGAGACAGAGAAAAGAACCGTGAGAGAGGGACCAGCCATGTTGTTGAGGCTCGATAAACCTTTATCTCATCTACCTATTACTCCTTATCTATTCGTTTGGTCACATTTACTTCCACTTTTTTCCACCTTATAGCGAGAGCGTTTACGATGTACGGTGTACTTGATTGGTTTTTCTAGCTTCTCATCCATTTTTCAGCTTCAGCTTCAGCTCAGCTTCAGTTTCAGGTTCAGTTTCAGCTTCTTGTGAATACATTTCTCTGCTCGTACACTCAAGCCCTCCTCATACCTCACTCATCCTATAGCCGGCCTATGCACCACAGCTTCTCAAATGCTAGAAAGGATCATATCCCTGTCTCTTCCTCCGGCATCACTCATCACTAATCACTGCGGGGTCGACTGCATACCCGGAGACGTTGTACAGGCTGTCTCTAAGGGGTCATAGATATATATCAGCTACATCTACCATCTACCATCTAACATCTACTATCTAACCATCTATCTACCACAACCACAACCACAACCAAATAGTAACCATGTCAGACCTCTCAGTAGACAACATCACCGCGCACACCATCCAGACCAACTCAAGCTGCCCCGACCCTCGAACCCGCTACATCTTCGAACGCCTAGTCACCCACCTCCACGACTTCGCCCGCGAAACCCGCCTGTCCACCCCCGAATGGATCGCAGCAATCACCTTCCTCACCCAGACCGGCCAGAAATGCACCGACACCCGCCAGGAATTCATCCTACTATCAGACATCCTCGGCCTCTCCTCCCTGCTCGACTCCATAGACCACCCATCCCCGCCAGGCACAACCCAGGGAACTCTCCTGGGCCCATTCCACACACACGACGCACAACACCTCCCCGCCGGAGCAGCAATATCCCACGACACCTCAGGAAAGCCGCTATTCGTCCTGTGTACCGTGCGAGCAACGGATGGAACACCCCTTAAGGACGTGCAGGTGGACATATGGCATGCTGACTCCACGGGACTGTATGACGTGCAGTACCCCCAGCGAGACACACCAGAGGGGAGAGCCGTGCTTCATTCCGATGCGAGCGGCAGGTTCTGGTTCAGTGCTATCCAGCCTGTTCCTTACCCCGTGCCGGACGATGGGCCAGTAGGTAAGTTGTTGACCACCCTGGGCCGACACCAGTGGAGGCCAGCGCATATGCATTTCATTCTGGCCGCGGATGGGTATGAGAGGCTCGTTACGTAGGTTCTTCTCCAATTTGCCTTATGGAGGCCCTGACTTACTTACCATGGTAGAACGCTTTACCCGCGCAACGACCCGTATGAAAAGTCAGATGCGGTGTTTGGCGTCAAGAGCTCGCTGGTAGTCGATTATGGCGTCGTAGACGAAGCCATGGGTGCAGAGTACGGTGTTCCTGCAGGCATGGCGCTGCTTAGACATGAGTTCGTGCTAGCTACCGTGGCCCAGGCGCGGGAGGAGCGAGATCGTAACTCCATCGAGGCATTGAGGAAGTTGGGCCGCAATGTCAAGATCGTAGATGGATTGCCTGTTCCTGACGTTGATTAGGGGGGGGGGGGGGGGAAGGGGATTAGTGTTACTTTGGGTTAAGAGCAAAATGAACTGAAGTGTGCTGGACAAAATGAAGATCGGAACCGACGCCTTTCATTAATTGTAACAAGTCTGCATTTAGTGAGGTAAGTATCAGTTCGGGCCCTGAATGAAGAAGAAGGGGAACAGGCCGGAACCCAGGCTCAGGCTGGCTTTTTAAAAAAAGACAAAAAAAAACAGCAAAATGACACATGAGTGATTTCCTCTCCCCTCCTGCTCTGCCCGTGAGTTGAGTTCGTGCCCGTTTCCTTCTCCTCCATGCAAGCCATTGTCAAAAAGTCAGATCGGTTGCATAGACCAATTGGTTCATGTGTCTCGACCGACTGACGTTCGTTCGTTCGTTCCCTTTTTATCATTTGGTGTTTTGTTCCGAATCTTCCTCCTTCGTCTCGTCTATGCGGTGATGGCCTGGCGGGTTCGGACGCCACGTTGTCTCGACGAGAGTCTGGTGGCGGACACTGCGGTGCTCTTCTGGACAACTTCCTCACCCTCGGTCAGGATCATCTCAACGTGGCATGGGCACGACATGTAGGGGTTGATCTATATCAGTTAGTCAATTGGAGGTTACCCGCCATTGGCGTGGGTGGACATGCTACGTACACGACCGTGGGCACGGTAGGTTCGTCGTCTTTGCTTGGGAGCCTGGTTGACCTGAATGTGCTTGACGATGAGGTTGCCGGTGTCGAGGCCCTTGGTGTCGGCGTTGGCCTCGGCGTTCTTCAGCAGGGAGAGGAGGAACTGTGCCGACTTGACGGGCCAGCGAGCTCTGCTGACACCGGATTGCTTGCCTATCACATAACATGTCAGCCATATATCCCCCTTACACCCTTCACATGGCCGATATCTTCAAAATAGTCCTCCTCGTCGTTGTGTTCAAAATTTCCCCCGCCATTCGCGCAATCGAGAATTCCCCCATAAACAGTCATATCGAGCAAATAGGGCTACTCACCCTGAGCACATCGTCCGGTACCGCCAGCATATCGTCGCATGGGAACAGCCTCCTTGTGTCCGATAACGTTCTCGAGGAAAGTCACAGCACGCTGCAACTTGAGTCCGTTGATGGCCTGGGCGGTCTCACGGGTGTTCTTGAAGCTGGTGCGAAGATAAGAGCCACGGGCGCTGGCGCTCTTCGCGCTGGAGGCGGGCTGGATAGCGTAACGGACCTATACGTTGAGATAAAAAGCACACCCGTCAGCTCGTCGTCCATGTTCTCTGTCTGTCTTTTTTCCCCAGATCTCCATCATCGCAAGCAAGGCTTCACGGGGCAGCGTCAACAGGGGCAGGCGGTTCTCAGGCGGCAGACGTACCATCTTGACGAAGGACTGTGGGAGGGCGAGCGGTGGTTGGTGATGGTGTCGTTGGTTCTGCGTCGTCGTCTTCGTCGTCGTCGCTTTTTTTTTTGTTGTTGCGACTTTTCGTTGCGTGAAAACGCAGTAAGCGAGCTTAGTCAGCGTGAAAAGCGCGAAGCCCTAAGTTGCCCGCTTTGGGATTAGCCATGTTTAAGGTTGAGCTTTGTTAGTCAGCACCCGGCTTAGTCAGTTATCCAGCCTTAGTCATGGTTTACTAATGACTTACATAATCAATTTTCTGGAAAAGGAAAAAACAAACATCGCAACATCGAAAAGAAACAAAATAATCGAACATTCGACGCGATCAACGATGCGGAGCGGGCCATTCAGGGAAAGCATTAAGTATCGTATCATATTATCAGGCGTGGTGGGCAGTTTTAAGTACAAACAACAATCTGCTAACGTTCACTGAAGCCGCCTTGCCGTCGCCCGCCGGTGCCATCGCTTGAACTACCACCAATCTGCACGCCATTCTATTATTGCTCAGGTATCACTATGTGCCAAGCTCAAAAGAAAAGGAAAACCCCTTTGCTTTTCACGGGAATCTGAAAGGCAGAGAAAAGAAAAGACAAGAAAAGAGACAGAGAAGAAAAAAAGAAAAGAAAAGAAGAGAATGAAACCAAAGACCGAGGATGTTCCTTTCTTTCCCATGATTTCCCGGCCTAGATGTGTCCATGGAATACGTGTCCGTTGTGACCGTTGCGTCCATTATTCTGTCGTCCATTTGTGCCGTTGTTGTTGCCGTTGCAATTATTGCTGATGCCGGTGCCGGCCTGGCTCTTCCATGCATCTCGCTGCTCCGGAATAGGTGTGATCAATTTCCCCGATTGGAGACACGATCGCAGATTTTCGAGGACCAGCAGTTCCATTTCCTTCTGGGTCTCGTATGTTGCGGTTCCGATGTGAGGGAGCAGCATCACCTTGGGGTTATCCAGCAGCTCTGGTTCGATGCACGGCTCGTTCTCGTATACGTCGAGCCCAGCCGAACTCACCTGTTGCTCGCTCAGTTAGCAACAAAGGCCTGTTTTTTTTTTAGGTTCGTTTGAGATTTTAAGACTGGCTGCATCACAGTCCATTCTTCGGACGCGACCCCTATTTTTTTTTTTTTTAACTTTCTTTTTGATCCTGGGGTTTCCTTACCTTTCCAGATTTCAAAGCGGAGACGAGCGCTTTTTCGTCAATCAGCGCCCCTCGCGCAGTGTTCACAATCACCGCGCCATCCTTCATTTTTGCAAACTCCCGATGGGAGATGATGTGACGGGTGGTTGCATTGAGCGAGAGATTGAGGCTGAGTACGTCAGACTGGGCCAGTAGCTGGTCGAAGGAGACGTAGCATGCTCCTTCTTCCAGGGCTGGAGAAAGGCGATTTCGGTTATGGTAAATAACTCTCATGCCAAATACTTTGGCTCGGCGTGATACTTCCTACGTATTCCAAAACAGACCGTCTCTGTCAGTTGATCTTTGAGCTGTGGTGTTTAAACTTCTCAACAGCAAGGGGCGGGGGGGCTGAAGAGAAATGGAGCACACATACCCTGCCAATGCCACCCATTCCCAAGATACCAAGCACCTTCATCTGGGGATCATGGCCTAATTTGGTCTTCCCCTGCCATTGACCTGGAGACTGTTGTTAGCAGACCGCCTGATTAGTTATAATAGGCAGGTGGGCAGGTGGCTGAACACTGCTTACCGGCCCGGATGGCGGATATCGGAACATATGCCTGTCTCAGAGCGCCAAGCATCAAAAACATTGTGATATCTGCGGTAGCATTGTTGACGGCAATTGGTGTGCTTGAGACGCGGATTCCTGTGTCTCGGTTAGTCGGGTTGCTCCGATAGCCGCTGATGGCAATAGCCAGCAGCAAAAACCCAAAACGCCAGGGAACTGACCTCGCTCTGAGCAGGCTGTGGTATCAATATTGTCATATCCAGCACCATTGTGGCAAATGTATGCTAACGAGTTGGGCAGAGCCTTGACAAGCTCTGCATCAAATGGCCCAGTTATCTGCCCAGAGAAACGTGATATCATTAGCAGGGGAAAAGAGTGAGGCAGAGAGTAAGAAAAAAGAAAAAGAAAAAGAAAAAGAAAGCAGGGTGACCACGCTAGATCGATCTTGCATCGTCCCCCTGGTGTTGAGTGGCCCCCTTGTCTGGGTTATGGAGCTGATGCACCACGAGGAACACACAGTCCAAAAACAAGGGAAGGGGACGAAATAAAACATGCAGGGCAGCAGGGGGATACACACAGCTGTCGACACGTTGGACCGATAAATGGCTATCACATCATCATATCTGCCATTTTTGCAGTTGGCCAGGAACTCCTGCCTGGATCCGGTTGGAAACTCCTATGTTGAAAGTTAGCTTATTTCCTCGGATTTTCTGGGAATGTCAGCCAGAAGCTGGGAAAATGGTGTCCCCACGGACCTTGAGGGTTGCCAGCTGCGAAAAATCCTGCCACTCCTTTTTGCAGTGTGCAATATCTCCGATCAGCAGGACTGACCTTCCTGGCGGCATGATCCCAGCCTGGCTAGAAGGAATGCTTGCAAGAGGCGAGACAAGAGAGGGAGAGCAAGTCCAGAACCGAGAGTCGAGCTCAAGGAAAAGTGATAAAAACTGAGAACAGACGACGGAACGGCTGAACGTGAGAATGGATAGCTAAATAAGGAAGGCTAATGCAAGCTGTGAGGGTTAGCAGGGGCGAAGCAACAAAAAACAAAAAGCTGAACCCGATGCGAGATTATGTAGGCCCGGAGGTTTGGGGAAATGTCTTGACAGGGACGAGGATATCTGGGCCAGGGAGTGTAGCACTGGATCGCGATTCGCGGAGATTTATATGCACATGCAGAGGCCTTCAAGGGGAAGAGACGGTCTTTACTGCGGCAGCCGAAGGCAGGCAAGGAGAGTGATTGCGGGTGCAGGGCGGCTGTGAAGTGACTTTGGTAGATGTAGATAGATGTATAGAAAGTGACCAGCACAGGGGGCGGGAACAGACGAGTGAATAAGAAAGGTAAAAAAAAAAAAAAAAAAACAACTCGCCTGCAGATATCGGCCTTCTTCTTCGTCTTATGCTTCGCCGTCTTTATCTTCTGCTTCTTGGTCTCTGCGGGTGTTGCCGTCACAGGCGGACTTTATAGCATCGACGGGCTATGCGTTTGGTTAAGATAAGCGTCGCTGACGGTCTTTTTTTCTTTTTCAACGTCCCAGATACTCCAACTTCACGGCCTCTTCCGTTGTACCTTATGAACCAGAAACAAAAGCCGGGAGACTGTCTATTTAAGCCCGTCAACGGATAGCCGAGAGCCGCATGAAGCGCGTCAGGGGAAGCAGGAGGCGAGCGAGCCAGCGACGGCCGGCATATCAGCTCAACCATCCCCCCCCTCCCCCCCCCCTTTTCCAGCGCGGGATAGCAAAAAGGGACCCGACTCCAGCTCGAGCGGGATGATGCGGTTAATGATCCCTTCCAATTACACGGCAGCAGATAATATCCACAGACAGCAGGCTCCATAAATTATTACATGGCCGCCGTTTGGAGGGTGGCACGGCGGAGCAGGCTGTAAGCACCGGCCGGCACCATTGTGAGCTTTCGAGACGGGCAGACAGCCAGCCATGGCAGGGCTAGGGCAACCAGAATCACAAGCATGCAAGGCATTCTGTTCTCGTTCCATGCATGACACATGTCGTACAGTCGGCTGGGGGGAGCTGGCCTCGAAAGCCGCCGCCCGCTGGCTGGTTGCGCGGTTGATATTGGGACTTATTACGACCATCGGCGATACTCCGTGTGTTATATCGAAGGGATAACTAGCTGATGGCCAGCCTCACACGACGCCCTGGGCCTTACTTCGCTAGTCATAGCATTGCAGCGATCTGTGAGCGGCGGTCTGGATAACCGGTATCTATCACAAGACCCCAAGGGCTGAAGCCCATGCCAGAACGCGTACTCCGTATACATGTACACACACACGCACGCACACACAGACAGAGCTAGTTACTGTCTGCTTCCCGTATACGACAGCCTCCAGGCATAGCGAGCGAGCGAAGGACCTGGCCGACTCGGGTCCTGGTTTCGCCTCTCGTTGCTTTTTTGCATATTGACGCCGACTGTTGCACAGCATCTCACGCCCGGAGGATAAGGAGCGTCGTTACGTACAAACATACAAGCATACATGCACGCCATCATAACAGAACGAGAGACAACCGGGCAAACTCAGGCTGGAGGCGACGACGACGACGACGATGACGGCGAAATGAACGCCTCAGCGGGCTTCCATCTGGCCGTCCAGGATGCTCCAGATATAGCTGGATACTACTCTCGGATATTCCAGAACTCTGTCGGCAACGGACCATACGGTATAAAGCCCATTTTGGATAGCTTGATGCAGACAAAACGGAACCAGCTCGATGACTGCCCCGGCTAGCACGCCCGATATGCAAGCGGTCATGCAGCGGGATAGAATGGGATGTAGCCAGTTTGCTGAAGCGCAGCTCTGTTTGCTGGTCGGCGGGCTAGCTAGTTAACTAACTAGTTAGTTAGTTAGGGGGGCGACTCCCGGCAGTTCGGCGATTGATATAAAGTCGGTATATTTATATCTCGCTCGTTCGACTCCAACGGCCGACCAGGGAACATCCCTGTCCTTAATAATCTCTCACAAAGAAGCTGACGCCTGGGAAGTTGGCCATTTATATTACCGTCACGCATCCCTCCACCGCCCCCAGGCAGGCCAATTACTCTGGTATTCTTGCATACATACATCCTGCCTGTCTGGCAGCGCCCCCAGAAGGCAGAGAGCCAGCATGGCGTGCAGGGCCCTGGTGCTCCACGGTGCTCAGGATCTTCGGCTGGTCCGTAACCAATTCATCTAAACACCCCGTACGCTAAGCAGCTATCGTTTTCTCTTCTGACATGCCTCACTGATCAAAGGAAACTCGACCAATAGCTCCCCCAGCAGCAGACGAAGTCCAGATCGCCGTCCGAGCCACCGGCCTCTGCGGCTCAGACCTGCACTACTATCACCACGGCAGGAATGGGAGCTTCGTCCTTCGCCAGCCCCTGGTTCTCGGACATGAGTCTGTTGGCGAAGTAGTGGCCGTTGGATCATCAGCGGACGGTTTCAGGATAGGGGACCGTGTCGCCCTCGAGGTAGGCCTACCGTGTCGAAAGTGTTTTCATTGCCGCCTGGGCCGATACAACATCTGTCGCTCCCTGAGATTCCGCAGCTCAGCGGCCGTATTCCCCCATCTGGATGGGACGCTAATGGACGTCACCAACCACCCGGCCGCTATGTGCCATCGTTTACCTTCCTCCATCTCGGATGTGCAGGGAGCTCTGCTCGAACCCCTTGCTGTCTGTCTGCATGCGATTAATCGCTCCAACCCACCAACGGCAGCAGACGTAGCACTTGCTAAGTCCGTCGCGGCTGCGAATGGTGGCGCCGCCCCAGACAGCGAAACTGCAGTGCTGATATTCGGAGCCGGTGCCATTGGCTTGCTTCTCGCATCAGCTCTGGCTATCACGCAGCATTTTACGACTATCGTTCTGGCAGATATCAACCAGGCAAGACTGGACATTGCTTCCTCGCTCGCGTTTGGCTGCATCAAGACATGCGTTCTTGATCCTCCCGGTTCCACTGCTACGTCTGCACAGGAAGAAGACCAGGCTGCAAAGGACCTGGCGGCTACTCTACTACGGAGGTTTGGCTTTGGCCATGGCTTCTCCCGCGTGTTCGAGTGTACGGGTGCACCGGGTTGTGTACGAGCCGGCATCTATGCTTCCTCGGCTGGTGGCGTGGTGGTACAAATCGGAATGGGTGGCCCCAGCCTTCCATCCATTCCAATGTCTGCCTCGGCTCTGAGAGAGGTTGATCTGATAGGTGTCTTCCGGTATAATGGACGTTGCTACCCAGCTGCCATTCAGCTGGCTTCCTCCCCTGTTTTTGGCCAGGTAGCGGACAAAGTCGCTACGCATACGGTCGAGCTGGGTGAGGATGACGGACAGAAGGCATTTAGACTTGCTGCCTCCGACAGAGATGATGATGGTAAAGCAGTGGTGAAGGTTGTTGTTATCAGCGGGGGAGGGAGTAGCTTCTCGAGTTAAAATGATACACAACAACCAAGGCAACAAACAACTGGCTCCCCCGGTATATCTAGCATTTATAACAAGAATCTAAAATCACAATAGAAATACAGAGCTAGTGACTATTATACTAGTCGGAAAAAAAAAATGGCGGAGATAGCGCAGGAACGGTCAAGGCAACAAACAACGGCGGAAGCAAACAAATAAACAGATACGAAAAAAGAGGGAGACAGGAAGATATGGAGGCCTACTTCAGCCCTCCAGCCAGAAGGATGCTCTGCCCAGTCAAATACCCAGTCGTCACGCACATTTCGACAACATTGGCAACCTCATCTGCTGTACCAAGTCGGCCTAGTGGAATATTGCCAGCGAACTCTGGGATTGCTCGAGCATCAGGGATCATTCCGGTCTCTCCAATCATGGCCGGAGCGACGTCATTCACGCTTATATTGAACTGTGCCAGACGAGTTGCCAGGTTCTTCATCATGCCCGTCATCCCCCCCTTAGAAGCGGCGTAGTCTATCGTGCATAAAACACTATTAGCAATAGTTGATGCAAAAAACGATAGAGAAGATCCACATACGGCACCCATTAACGCCTCCTCCATGGGCTGAAATGGAAGACATAAATACGATCCGACCCCATTTCTGCGCTTTCATATGCTCTACCACGCCCTTGACAAGGATGAATGATGCTCGTAGGTTCACGTTGATAGTATGGTCAAACTCCTCTAACGAGATATCCCATATCTGAGGTATCTTTACCCCGTATCCCGCGTTGGACACAAGGATATCGGGCAAACGGCCACCATGTTCGGCCGGGATCTCAACGAATAGCCGGTTGATCTGTTCGGCTTGTCCGACATCGACTTGGTGGACAGATATGTGGAGATTGGATGACGACGGTAGTTCTTTGATGTCTCTGACAACAGCATTCATGCCGTCCGAATTCTTCGCATAGGTTAATGCAAGATGGACACTCCGGCTGGCGAGCCTGCGGGCACAAGCTGCGCCGATTCTGAGCGGATAACATTAATACCTTGCCAGTAGCATGATTAATGTGGACGAGAAAATGCCGACTTACCCACTTGAGGCGCCGGTGACCAAAGCAAGTCGTCCTTCAATATCGTTCAATGCAGCCATGTTGGTTATGTTCTTTCGTCACTGCCTGTAGTAATGCATATCCAGCAACAAACAAAACGGGTTGGCTCCATAGATTGATACTGGTTTATATTTTCGGCGCGCGGGATGACAGGGGGCATCGGTTAAATCTCCGGCTAAAACTCCCGGTATCTCCCAGGCTGTCGCTCTCACCCCACATGAGGAGAAGCAGCAGGGGATCAGAGGCGAACGGGAGAACATGAAAAGTAATAATAATAATAGTAATAAGAGGGGGGACTAAACAAACTCCGTCTCTTTTTTCAATGCATGAGTGAATTGACGGTCGATCGTGCCAGAAGGGGAAAATATTCAAAGCGTATATAAAACAATCGGATAAATACCATTCACGGAGGAAGGAGGTTGTACGGAGGGAGAGGGGGAGTTTGGTTTTTCGGCAATGGATCGGATTCGAGGGAGGATTGGTGAGTAGAGTTGGTGTTGTTGGTGTTGTTGGTGTTGCTTGTCAGAAGGAAAGGTAACTAGAAAAGGAGCACATCACTCATTTCTGAACCACCAGGTGGCCAAGCCTGCTGTCCATGATCATGATTCTCAGCTTGATACCCCGTGTCTAGGGTATGAAAGGAGTCTAACCCCAGTAGCGGAGCAGCTGGCACCAAATCGCCTGATACAAAATCGCCAACAGCTCCCAGATCGAGCCATGAAAAGTCATTCGCTGGGCTAAACTGCATGTAAGTCGGTTCCGGGAGACAGGTCACCGGGACTTCATGTTGCATTCCGTTGGACGGCTGGGATTCATGCATGACATTCATGCCGGTGCTATTGTTGTTGTTGTTGCTGTTGTTGTTGCTGCTGCTATTGCTGTTTACGGCGTTCGGGCTGGCAGCGGTGTTGGTATTGGCGAAGATGGAATTGCTGTTATTATTATTATTATTATTGCTGCTGCTGCTGTTATTGTTGGTGTTGTTGCTGCTGCTGTGGTTGTTGCTCGCACTGTTGCCGGTGTTGTTACTGCTGCTAATGCCGTTAGTGATCGCAGAGATGGAAGGGTTGGAGACCGAGTTCTTTGATTTCCAGAGCAGTTCCAGGAGACGGGCATAGCGGTAGCCAACATCGTCGTTACTGGCACTAGCTCTGCGTAGCCGATCTATTGTCTCGTCGATCATCTTCTGGACAGTTGCCTCTTCTGTCTGGTTGAGGACACCGAATGAGCGTGCCTGGCAAACGGCGTTGTTAGTCTGATAGTGGTGGGTGGAGCGAGCAGCCTTGATAGGAAAGATATCCAACCTTGTATAAAAAGACGGCGGCGTAGATGCCGTACCTGCATGAGCGAGAATTATCAGTTTGGTTTCTTATTAACTGCTGGGCTCAAGACATCCCAAGATGAACTTACAGGTAGAATCTCAGGGGCATGAAATGTAGATGTCTCTCTGGATCAACGTAATTGGTTAATATAGTCAAATAGGACTTGGCCGCCTCCACTGATTCATAGATAAACCGTGAATCCTGCATAGATGCAACGTTACTGAATGCAGCCCGTAAATGGTCACGTTGACTGACGGAGTCATCGCCCTTTGGCTTGTGTAGAGCCTGGGAAATGGCAGCCTGGAAAGCAAAGGCGTTGATGTAGAGTTTCAGGTACTCGTAGGACATCTGGAGCATCACATTGAGATTCGAGGCACCTAAGTATGGTTTAGCATCTCGTATACATCATTCATAAGAAGCCGATATTGAATGCAAGGAAAAAGACTTACACGGCATCTTCCCCCATAGACGGTACCATCTTGATACAGCAACACGGAAATCATCAATGTACTTTACGTAGTCTCCCATGAGCATCATGTTCCTGCTTGTCCGCATGCCGGAGTACAGGACATCGTGGACGTTGCCGTACAACTGCGTGAGATCGAGAATGGCTTGGAATATTTTTGAATAGTCCTCGTCATGGGGCGATTGAGGCTGCAGAGACGGGAAATCATGGCTGACCAGACCAGTCATTGGCCCGGGGCCTCGAGACCAGAATGCTCGTCCGATACGTACCGATATCAGCCTGTCAGATACATAACAGCTCGCCCAGGCCAGTCGTTTGCGGTTGTCGGCCTGAGTGTCTCCCGTGGCAGCGTCATTGCGGAAGGAGGTCTTGTCCAAACCCAGGAAGTAGCCCGATCTCAGAGCAATTCCGACATGCATCCAGGCTGCACGATCCTCCTCTCCACGTCCGACGGGCTCGATGGAAGGACGGAGGCCCTGCGGCTCCCACTCGGCCAGTATCAGGAGGGCCTCGACCGCCTCCACGTCGCAGTCAGCACCGGCAGCGATGCCCGATATTAGCTCGAGCATGTACTTTGAACAGCCCTGGTGGACATGAGGTATGCTGGTGAGATCTTTGGAAGCCACAGTGAGCACCGCGGTAAGGAGGTGCTTCTCCTCTGCAAACTGGTCGAGGCAGGCCGAGTTGAAGTACTTGCGCGGCACCAGGGGGAAATAGCAGTGGTAGTTGTCTGCATAGCGGGTGATGAGTTGCATGACCAGGCTATGGGTCAACACCTCGTTCTCGACCAGACGGTAAGCAAATATCCCCTTTCTCGTGCCGGCTCCGTTGGTACTCGCCCTCCCACCGCTGCCACCTTCGGGCCGGGGAGCCTCGGTGCCCCTTTTGGCCACGTTGGTGAGCCGCTGCCAGGCGTCAGAGGGATTCCGCAACGCACCCGACCCGATTGCGCTCTCGCCGGTCGAGTCCTCGTCATCGTCGTCGTCCATTGAGGTGTCTCGGTGCCCTTCCGACGGACCGTAGCGGTCGTGCTCGTTGTAGGGGCTAATGTATCTGCTCTGGTTGTAGTTCTCGGTGCTCTGAGGGCTGATGGACGTCTCGGGCGGCCGCGCAGGCGGCGGCACCGCAGACGAAGCCCCCAATGCGCCCGCTGAGGCCTTGATGGTGTTCCTGATGCGCTTCCCGCCGCGGTTCGACGTGCCCAGCTCGCACTTGAGGTTCTCGTTGTGGCACCGTTTGCAGGGCGGCTGGCCCGGCCGGCCGTTGCTGTCCCTATGGCAGCCGTCAGAGACTTTATCCAGACATCTCGAATAGCAGGCAGAGAGGACTTACAGGTCGCACTTCGACTTGCGGCGGCGGCAGTTGTAGCAGGCCCGCGATACGCGCTTCATCTGGCCGCTGGCCGTCCGCTTAGGCTTCGGGCTGCCTGTGGTGGTGGTAGCGGTGGTGGTGTTGGCAGTGGTGGTGGTGCCGTTTTTGTACTCGGGCTCGTCCATCTCGACTCAATTTCAACGTCACTTCGTCTTCGACTCTGCTCTCTCGACCGCACCAAACAGAATATCCACGGCTTCGGCTGCGACTTCGACTGTGCAACTGCGAGATGGTGCTTCTCAACGCTCGTGGATGCTCCCTCAACGCCCTCCTAACTGTTTTGAGAACCCCCGGACGGCCCAGCGGACGGACGCTCCGTATCAGATCCTCAGAAAAGCGCGGTTCGTCACCAACAAGCCACGCCCATCACTATCTTGCTTCTAACTCTGCTTCTAGGGCCGCTCGAGAATGCAATATCTCCTGCTGTGATCCGACTTGGCATGGCTAGGGCAAGGAGTGGACATGACGGGGCAGGGCGAGGAGGACGCGGCTGGATGGAGCAGAGGAAGAGAGGAAGAAGAGAAAGGGAGGGAGGAGAGGAAGAATAAGGGAAAAGGGACGGGGAACAAGCAGCAGTGGAGGAGACGAAAGCGACGACGGATGGGCGACCAGGCCAGCCTGCAGCAGCAGCATGGATAAGCCGAAATATTGGGCTTGTTCAAACGATGCCCGCTTCCCCACGCCGGCGCATGTCAGGATGTGAGTGTGTCGAAGATGTGGTATCTCACACTCCCTCCCGTACTGCATGTGTATACATACCACTTACGCATGTAACTAGCTCAGCATGGCTTGACCAGTGGACGGCCGGGGGGGAGGGTTGTCTGCGAATGCGACAGGTCAACTTATTCCCCTTCTAAATCGTGCGGGCCGTTTGCTGTTGGGGACCGCCTGGCTGGTGACGGGCTGCTCCCCCATGCTGCCTGTTCTGCTGGGACGGAGCATATCTCGACCAGTCTACGGGGACCGTCCTGCCACCAGCGCGAGCTCCAGCTACGTCTATACTTCGACCTTTTTACATTTTTACGCCAGATATCTAGACACTCGGACTTCTTCAAACACGGACGGGCTCAACTATAATATCGTGGGAAGTATATAAGGGAAGATGCTTGCTTTTTCACTCTTGGCTGCCGTTTATTTGGCAATAGTCTTTAGTGGGCTTCTGATCGCTCTCCTTTCCCGTTGCTTTTTTGACCCTCTTTGATCAAGCACGCTTGCGTCTTCTTCTGGGCTTCCTCAGCACAATCATCAGTCGATTTTGGGAGATGGGACGATACGAATGCCCGATACGAGGATGGCAGCCTGGTGGATGAAGGGTCCCGTTGGACGCGAGATGCGGTTATCCGCCAGTCATTTCGTCAGAATGGGCCCCCCCCCTTGGTCTCTTCAGGCTTCTCCGTCTCTCCCTATCCGTACGTACGGAGCATATACGTATATATATCAGTTATGTGTACTCCGTGCGGGAGGGATGTTTACGCTGCAGACGCAGTGACTCGGAAGACACTTTATATACGGAGTATCTCAGCAGGCCAACCAGGAGTCGAAGACTCCGCAGCCGATTCCACATATACACATCTACAGAAACAGAGCTAACGAGTTAACTAACTGAGGGCAAACAGACTAATCGACTGCTGACAGGTCCAGTCTGAACCGCAATCCCTCAACATGCCAACACGTCCTCCTAGTTCGCATTGCAAACAACCTCGCAGATCGGCGTGCGAGGGGGGTGCATGACTATCATCTGCTACCTATCCTTCACGCTCCCGCTTTTATGGAGATGGGACAATATGATATCTCGACAAATTCAAGACTCGTCTCTTTGCGTGTTTACCAAATAAAATATATCAACGAGCCCACCGTCAATAGCGCCGGGACGATCGCCCGACCTTTTAACAATGCTTTCATTTTACCAACAGCTATCACCCCGGTCCATTGGGCAGACCAAACGGGAGGGATGTTTGTGTGGCTTCCGTTTACTATATTTTTTATTTATATGACTTAAGTGTGTTTGAACTTATGTGCTTTCCCGTACCGCTGTCTCTGGGTCTGGGGAGGGGATTGCATACTTTATCTTTCATGCACGCACGGCTGCGGTCGCGATATCGACTTACTCCATGCGGAACAGTGGCCTGGTAGCCGGTATTCACACCTATAGATTAACATGGACTATATATGGTTACCAGGGCTCCGACCCTCATGGATGGATGTACCACTGATGGTTGTTTGATAGGATTGGCCTCCCCTGGACCAGGCTTCCAACCACACACTCCCCCCTCTCACGCGGCTTCCCCGAATCACAGCTCGTCTAGCACCTCCGCAAAAGATATGGTAAGAGGATGTCACTGGCTCCGGGGGTTGTCTGCGTTTAGCGACTGTCACGCAGGATTTTTCATAGTTAAATACATGGCCAGGATTTTACCGATAACTGCTGTCAGATGTCCGCGGTGTGGCCTGCAGGGCGTCCAACAAAGTCACCAAAGCAAACCGGCCGCCCGAGGAGAGTAGCAACTGAGATACAGGAAAGGAGGATTTGACCCCCTGATGGCCGATCGACTCGAATCTCGTTCTTTATCTACAGACGAAGACACCCGTATCGTCAAAACACCTACCCTTGAACAGTCAACCGCCGGGCCCGAGAAAAAAAAAAAAATTTAGAAAAAAAATTTAAAAAAGTTCCTTTGCAGGTCTGTGGGCATACGTCCAGGAAGCTATGCTCCATTTCTTTGACACCTTCGTCCATTCATCTTTTGCTGTCGTGCAAGCTGATCATCATCAAGTGATCACGCCTGCTTCTCGACGAGCAGTTCGGATAGACTAGTATGCAAGGCAAGACTGTGTGTCGTCTTCCTCGCTTTTGCGGAAATACATCCGTACGTACCTTGGCCGTATTTCCGCCGTTTCTTGGTTGCATCAGTATGGATATTTAGTCTTGGTATGACAGATCAGCGGGCTTTGCCCTTGATGCAAGACCAAGAGAGAAAGCTGAAGGAAGAAAGCTGGCCGGCTACTTGCAGATGTTTATTACGGGGTATTCCGTCCACATACTCACTTATCCATTCTTCAAGCCTTCGAGCGGGAACTGGCAGCAACATGGATAAATGCAGCATGTCAGAAGGCCATGCAGGCTTCCGTCTGCACGTATATAGTCAATCTCATGGGGTTTCTTGACAACCTTGATACAGGCATTCCAGGCGCTGTTGCTGGTCGCTATCAGCGTCCATCAACCTCCATGCCTCCTCGTTCTGTCGTACTCGGGCGTATATATAAATAACTAGAGGCAAACTCCACGCAAGGTACCACTAGTCAGCCCATCAGTGAAACCAGAAGATACCCCGCCGGGGTTCATGCCATACTGCGCTGGCGGCGATTGGATCGTTCAACAGAAGTCTTGACGTGGTATCGATGTCTGGGTGGCCTTGGGATATCAGTAGTAGATCCCCAGTGACCTCACATCTCAACGGCACTCCCTTTACCTCACCTTCCGTCTCCCTGTTTTCTCACTATTCACTCGCCTTTCCTTTACCACATCTACGCCTTTTTCTTTCCTCCTTCCACTGTCTCTCATTCTGATATCGATGATGACTAAGGAGGATAACTATAAGGTTGTTCCCGCGCCCAAAGCGGAATTTCGGTAAAGTCTCGGGTATCAAACGTTGAGGCCACCAAGAGAATCAGAACAAACAATTAAAGACAGCAGCAAACGCGAGCAAACAAACTTGGAGATAGATATAAATAACTAGGCTACCGAGAGGAGAGCAAGCAAGCAGCCAGCGAATAGTGTAGACTATGGCGACAGCAAACGTACTCTCGCTCTTCTCCTTGCAGGGCAAGACTGCCCTGGTGACTGGGGGATCCAGGGGTATCGGGCGGGCGATGGCCGTAGGCCTCGCAGAAGCTGGTGCAGACATTATACTGGTCCAAGTGCGTCACACCCAGCGAGTGTATAGTTGTCTGAACTGACTAGAGTGTATGGCCGCCCGGTGTGACAAATGCTGACAAGTCTCGTAGCGAGACGCCAGTAACACGCAGACACGAGACGAGATACTGCAAAAGACGGCAGGCAAGTCAAAAGTGACCATCCATGCCGCTGAGTTGTCCGACCGCACTGCGGCGAAGGCAATAGTCTCCAGCGTGACTGCGGATGGCACAGTTGTTGATATCCTGCTAAATTGCGCTGGCATCCAGCGGCGACACCCGAGCGAGGCGTTCCCAGACCAGGACTGGGATGAGGTGAGTTGCCATGCATAAAATATGATTAAACCGTATAAAATTGGGACTGACGGCAGCGGCTGGGCAAAAATGAGGGAAAAAAAAAGGTCTTGCAAGTGAATCTATCGGCAGTTTTCACGCTCTGCCGCGAGTTTGGGGCCTACCTGCTCTCTCGCGGTGCGTCGGGATCAATCATCAACATGGGCTCTCTGCTCTCGTACCAAGGGGGAATCACTGTCCCGGCCTACGCAGCGTCCAAGGGCGGCATCGCCCAGCTCACCAAGGCCCTCTCGAACGAGTGGGCGGCGAAGGGCATCCGAGTCAACGCTATCGCACCAGGATATATCGACACGGACATGAATACCGCGCTGATCCAGGATCCGGTGCGGAGCGAGTCGATTTCGGCTAGGATTCCGGCCGGACGGTGGGGGAAACCGGAAGATTTCAAGGGAATTGCCGTGTTTCTCGCCAGCGATGCCAGCGCTTATGTCTCGGGAGAAATGGTCAACGTCGACGGCGGTTGGATGGGCAGGTAGAAATCTGAATCAGTCATGATACAGAGACTGCCCTGCCTCAACAGGGAGAAGATATAGAATCCCAGGCATGGGGTCAGATAACTAGAATTGCCGGTGATCAACTTCCTCAGCTCCATTAATCGACCTTTTATGTATAAATAGAGTCGAGTCGACAACACCTAGTTCGCCCCCCTGACCTGACCGGCGCTTCGATGTTTCATACACCCACGCCTTGGGCCTCTCTTGTCCAACCAGGCCATGTATATCATCAGGGGCTGAATCTCGTTGCCACGCCTATGCCAAACATCTTCAAAGTGTAGACTTTTCTCTGCTCCTGCGTATAAATGTTTTTTTTTTTTTTTTTACCCTTTCAAGATCTCTATCAGCCAGTGAAATCTCGACATCGCCTCTCTTCCCCTGCGTCCTGCTGCAGTTTCAGCCACGGTCCCTGCGAATCGGCTGCAGAAGACGCCCGAGAACCGCCTCCAGCACCGCCCGCTGTGGGTTTCGCTCAGCGCCCAAGTGGATACAGCGCGTCTTGGAGTGCTGCTGTCTCTTCCAACCATCTGGCTAAACGCTCTGCTGTCTCTGGCAGCCTGACTTGCACTAAGATGGTCTCTGAACGGGCCAAGCGGGTTGGATATCTGTTCCTCGATGGAGCAGGTTTGTCTTTATACGATGGGCATCTCCCCCCCTTTTTTCTTCTTCCTGTGCAACAGCCAGGCTTGATCGCTGCCTCTTCTCTCCTCTTAAACATCTGAGCTGGTCTCTGGGAAAAAGACACTCATCTCTTGCCACGCTCCTTTTGGTCTGTCTGATTGCACACTCTCTCCTGCGGTGTGTTGGTTGTCAATAGGGGGTCTGCTCTATTGTCGACTGTTCGCTCATTCAACAAACTAGTTAGTTCTATACTTCTGCTGGCCAGGACAGGACAGACTCTTCTAAGGCTGCTGCGCAGTTGTAAGTATCTTCTGCCTCTTCTAGACCCTGGGAGTAGGTGAATAACCGCAGCATCTTACTGATATCATGGCAGGAAATCACTCACTCTTTTTACATCATTCTGGACGGCCCTTCCCAGCAGCCCTTGAGCTAACTGGCACATTCTTTTGTCTCTCTGTTCACGGAGTGTTCACTCTCACTTGGTCCGGCTGCTGAATGAAAGTAGAAAAGGAAGTTTGATATCGTTCCTTTTCTTCTACTTCCACTACTACTACTACTACTACTTCTTTGGCACCGAATATCTTGCCTACGAACCGCAGCTCTGCCTTGTTTTTTCACGCTGGATTTTAACTTGATACTCCATATCTACATCCAGCTTGGTCCACCGCGAGACCGCAAATCATGGACTTACATATCTTTGCCCGCGAGATGCCGGCTCCTCACTCGCAGAACACGACCTATGTATCGCCGTATACTCGAGGACTTCTCGGCGTCCGCGTCAATCTCGACCATCTCGTCACCATCCTGCTCGCGGGCTCCATCGGGGTCGCCTGTGTGATCATCCTGCTGGTGCGCTTCACCCAGATGTCCCATGCATATCTGCGGCAGGTCACTTCAGCCACCGGCAGCTCAAACCAGCAACGGTTCTGGGGCGCCGAGCAGTCGACTCTGTGGTCAGACATCAAGAAGCATGTCCTCTATGCACCTCTGGGAAGCAAACGGCACAACCGCGAGTTCAAGCTGTCCGAGGCTGTCAATGTGGGCACTTTGCCCTCCAGGTTCCACACAGTGCTGTTGACATGCTACCTCCTCAGCCAGGTGGCATACTGCTCGGTCCTGGATTATCGTGCCAACAACAAAGCCGCGCTGGTCGCTGAGCTTCGAGGCCGATCTGGAAACCTGGCCCTCCTGAACATGATCCCCCTGTTTATCCTGGCCGGTAGAAACAACCCACTAATTCCATTGCTGCGTGTCTCCTTTGATACCTACAATCTTATGCACCGATGGATCGGCCGCATTGTCATTATCGAATCTATTGTTCATACCATTGCCTGGATGGTCAATGCCGTGGCTGCACATGGTCATTCAAAGATGTGGAACGATATCTGGCATGAACCCTTCTACACCTGGGGATTTGTTGCAACCGCAGTTATGGTCTTCATTCTCATACAGTCTCCCTCGCCTGTGAGACATGCCTTCTATGAGACATTCCTCCATCTGCACCAACTCGGCGCCATAGTCATTGTCCTGGGCATCTACTTCCACCTAGATATCGACGGTCTTCCTCAACTGCCATGGTTCAAAGGCATCATCAGTCTCTGGGCCTTTGAGCGTGGTGCTCGGTTCTTTCGAATCCTCCGTCTCAATGTGTCTCGCCGCAATGGTCTTACTCGTGTAGTAGTCAAGGCACTGCCAGGTGAAGCTAGCAGAGTGACCTTCTATCTCCCTAAACACACGAAGATCAACCCCGGCAGCCACGTCTACGCCTATCTTCCACGCATATCTTTCTGGATGTCCCACCCCTTTTCCGTTGCATGGGCTGAACAAGGCTCTGCCTCACTGCCCAAGTCACCCAAGACAGACAAGTTCAGTGATTCCTCCAAGTCCTCCCTTTCCCGGAAACCGTCCACCATGACCACCTCTTCAACGTCCTCGCCTGATCTCGAAAAGGGCCATTCTCGAAACGCTGCACTCGCCACAGATGACTCCCAACCAACCTGCGTCTCTCTCATCATGGCCGCGCGTACCGGAATGACCCGCAAACTGTACAATGCCGCGCTGGCATCGCCAAACCTCACGTTGGAAACAACCGGATTCATTGAGGGTCCCTATTCCTCCCACCCTTCTTCCTTTGGCAGCTATGGCACCGTCGTTCTTTTCTCTGGCGGTGCAGGCATAACCCACCATCTGATGCATGTCCGTGATCTTCTCGCCGCCGCCGATGCAGGCACAGTAGCCACTCGCCGTATATACCTTATCTGGTCCGTCCGTACGACCGAGCACCTTGCCTGGGTCCGTGGCTTTATGGATTCCATCCTGCATATGCCTAATCGTCGGGATGTCTTGGTTACCAAGCTATTCGTCAGTAAACCCCGAAGTCAGCGTGAAATCCAAAGCCCCAGCACTACTCTTCAAATGTTTCCCGGCCGATGTCGACCCGATGTCGTGCTTGAGGAAGTTCTATCCGACCCGGTTGGCGCTACGGGCGTTAGCGTCTGTGGCCCTGGAGCCTTTGCAGATGAAGTACGTTCCAGCGTAAGGAAGCGGATTGGCCAGGGACAAGTGATCGATTTCGTTGAAGAGGCATTTACCTGGTAAATTTTAGCTCATGGTGGTCAATACCATAAAAAGATCACTATCGTTTACTTTCTGTGCCTAGGTGTTCGCGGGTGGGTGGGTGTTTTTACTTTCTTGTATCTAGTTAGCCCCTTTTTACGATGATATCCCTTACCAGGTCCAGATGTTTATACAGTTGGATAGGCCTTCCAGATGATGAGACATGACTTCAATTCAAATTCAAAAATATCAAGTTCTGATATATCTGCTCAAAAGTCTTCCAGCAGTAATTCTCAAGTTGCACAAAAAAAGCGCTCCAATGAATCAATTTATTAGACATAACCAAGAACTATATTGCTCACTTGGGGGATGCGGGTCCATGTCAAACGAACGCTATATGGCAGTGTATATTAAAATAAAGGGTACAAAAAAAAGGAGTCATAAGGGGGAATACGGGGCTGGGAAACACATAAAAAGACATAAAAGGTTGTTAAGACAGATTTAATAAGAACGTGGGAACAAAGAAGTTCGTTTCATATATGAGCAGATGGACTAGTCGGCTTCTTTTCAGGACTCGATTCGGGTGCTATAGCCAAGGCCTCTGAGGGCCTCGGTTTAGTGTTGTCGAACAGGCTGAAGTCCGATTGAGAATAGTATCGTCCCCTCTTTGTAGGCTGATCAAGTTCATCTGGAAAACCGGTGGCCGTAGCCGCACCCGTTCCATCAGGCTCGGTGATTCGACTGACCCTATTAGAATCGAGGCCCGAGCCGGTGTCCGTTGCAAATTTATCGGCAAACGGGTTCTCTACCTGGAATTCATTCGGGTTATACTCCCACGATATAGGCGGGACAGAAGTGCTGGGGGCCGCGCGATCGTTATTTCTTGTTTCAGAGTGACCGTTGTTTAGTTGAGATATCCCACTCGCATGGGATTCATTGGCCTCTCGGTTTGGTATCGAGGGCAGGTTATTTGAGTATGTTCCTGGAGGGGACACTGGGGGAGAAGCAGGTGTTCTTTCTATGTTAGCTGTATGGACAGGCGGCGTGTATAGAGCGGGTTTTGTTTCCTCATTTCGGCTAGGGGCTTGCTCTGGGGCTTGTTTAGAGAGCTTCTTAGGTATCCGAGGCATAGATAGACGGGGTATATATCTTTGCCTTTTTGACTGAGCACGTTCTGGGGCTGCATCTCCCGCAGGCAATGCACCAGTTGCCTGAGGATAAGGTTGTCCATTTCTATAGTCTTGATTCCCGGTGTTATTACTTTGGTTGTGGTCTGGGATACGGTCAATCAGGTACTGAGCCTGCTCAGCCCGTTCGGCTGGAGATTTGAAGCCAGCTTTTCTTGCATCTAGGGCAGCACGATTGTATCTAGACAATGCAACAGAGATTTTATCGTTCGTCTCGATCAGGGTGAGCATAGTGTCTTCGTCAGGAGCTGGATTTGAGGAGTTGATATAACCCTGCACAGATCTAGACGCTGATTGACAACGGGTTGCAAATTCCTTAATCATTTCGTTCTGATAAAATTCAGATACAGGTGTAGACATGAGCATCTGCTGCAATAGTTTTGCAGATTCATTGGCCTCGTTGACCCGTGCAGCGAGCTCGCCCGGAGGAGGAAGCCCTCGGAGCTTGTGTTGACGGGAGAAGTAGTCTTGTCTCTGTCCAGCATGTGGACCAGCGCCATGAGGAGGAGACTATGATGAAATTAGTACCTTTCTTATATGGGGAAGCGATAGCTGTTGCCAAAATTACCTGGACTGGAGGAGTCCCAAATGGTGGGTACCCGTAGGTTCTCTCAAACTTCTCTTTCTCTTTTGTCCACATTTGTATCAGTCCTGAGAGGTTTCCATCACTGGCCTTCGTCGTTGACAATGTCTCTAGCGTCTCGCGCAGAATCTGCGCAACATTCATGTCCCGTCCATCTCGGAGCAAAAGCTTGACAGATGACGTGAATCGCGCGTCAAGATTACAAGTGAAAGATGGGCCAGGATTATCGGCCAGTATTCGTATTAACATGATCGCATTGTACTGTCGTTTGGGTTGCGTGGTCGTCGGTTTTGAAAGATATTTATGAATCTGGTTTGCAGCAACTTTTGCTGCCGCAGGACTCGATTCAGCAGCCTCGACGATTGTGGGAAGCGGTAGGAAGTCATTTTCCTTGGGAACAAGTCAGAATAAACGTGAAGAAGGCAAATATATTCAGAAGACTCTGGAGATAGCGCATACATTGTTGGAATCGGAGTTTTCGCAAAATAGGGTCTGTATATAGTAGATAAGTCGGTCAGTATCTGCCTGCCTCCAAGGTAGAAGGTAGGAAACCCAAGCTTACCACAGCCTTGAGGACGGCAACCTCAGGGGCATCATGAGCATTAGGCTGATTTGCATCGAGACCTCCAAACGCTAGATATTTCAACGACACTGTCAGCTTCGGAGAATCACCCGCATAAGGTAGGAGACATACAGCTGTTCCGCTTACTGGTAATGGTTCCAATAAAGCGTTTCATGGTTAACCGCTTCTCAGCTGCTGTCAACGGCTTTCTCCAGCAATCGACCGACAGCGTTTGGACAAAGCCGGGAGGAAAAGAGTCAAGATGGAGATGGTGAAAGATGAGGGCGGACGAAGTGAGTCGGACGACGGAGCCCAGCGTCAAGGGGGGCGAAGTACCCTAGTGCAAACAGGGACTCGCAGCAAAGGCGCAAGGATGGTCGGCTTTATCAAGGTAATGTACCTATCAACGTCCGGCGTCGACGTCGCTGATAGTTGTCAATGGTCGCTACTCTAGGCTCAGGAACGGGGGATCAACCCAATGGTCCTGCTCGTGGCGCAAAATTCTTGAGGCTCTTCTGTACCAATACTTTAAATAAATATGCTAGGAGGAACTCGTATGAAGGTTCCGACTGACACGTTTTATAACGCTCTGATAGACATGGATCCGGTTCCATCACGGCTGCGACTCACGGATGGCGTTTCTTGTTTGCTCTAGATTCATCCAAAGCTGGGTTCGCCAGAGTGGAACATTGGCAAAGAACGGTTAAGAGGCGCCAGCAGCGGATCAGCAACACCCCTTCGCTTCTTTGATGCTTGACATTGTGTCTACACCTAAGAATACGTGCGTGTGATTCCTCAAGCGGTGAACCTGGTGACGTAGCCCGACTTTTTAGCTAGAGTGACTGACGCGGCAAAGCCAGCGGCGGTATTGAGGGCATCAAGAAAACATCCATAGCCGTACTCCGTACACCCTCATCTTTTTGATGCAAGTTAGCGGCTCACAGGTCTTGTTCAAGCTTGTCCGGCCGCTCAGCCACAACGATGACAACGCTTAACTAATTAGTTTAGTAGTAGAATGACCATAACCTCCACCTGGATGACCATCAAAGATTCGATCTCTTGGGACTCGCATGGTGGCTTATAATAACTGTCGATCTTGCTGTTGATTCGTAGTCAAGTAACTATGAGTTTTTACTTCGTAGCCCTCACGTTGACGAGTCTCCTCCCAACGGGTCTCCGCGTTGAGGGTGCCTGCGTTGTATGAGTGAGTCGTGGCCGGACACTATCAGGCAAAAGAGAGAGAGAGAGAGTCCCGTAGAACTCGGCTAGTTATAAAGACACCATTAAAGCATTCGTACCTATTAGTTAGAGTAGTCGTAGAACGTCTTTTGTTTGTGATGAAGTTGAAGTTGAGGTTGAGAACAAAATAAGCAGTGTGACCGTGCTTTTATTTCCTAAACGGGAAGAGGTTAATTGGACTTCAACCTCAACTTCTGCAGACACACAAATATTTCACGGATAACGAAAGACGACAACAACAAGAAAAAGAAGCGGAAACGCACAAGGACCAAATAATTAGCTATTCAAGGAGCCAATTGATTAAGAGTTTCCGTTTTACTACAGCTGCCTACGATAAATAATACACGGAGAGAAGTGCTTTTGAGTACCTACACAGTCGAGAGAAAATACCTAGTACCTTGAAATATCCCTTCCAAACACCCAGTTTGAGATCCAAGAATACAAAATCCGCAGCCTGTTGCGCCAGCTGATGCTCATTGACAGATATGCACCCTTCCATACGAGCCAGGCAGCATAGCCAGTCAAACCCTGGGGTAGATGAGCAGCCTTGCCCTTGTCCTGGCTGCTTTGCGGGAACTGCATCAGCGCTCTTGAGCGGCCTACATACGCTATCATGCCTAGATTTCGGAAGGAGAAAGCAGGATACCGCGACAGGCCGGTGTCAGACTCATTTGCATTGAGGCATTTGGCCAGCCAAATGGCCTCCTGGTTGGCAGACTGGGCTGTTGCAGGTGGTGAGTTTGTTTCGAGCATACAGTTGTCACCAATGGCAAAGACATCCTTGAGGGTGACTGTCTGGCCATCGTTCGATTGGAGCTGGACGCGAAGGTGGTCGTCAACCAGTAGAGCACCCGTCTTTTCTGCTTTCCTCACACTCCATGTCGCTGCAGAGTGTGGGGATTGTTCTGCGGGGGTATGATCCATCCTCTCCAGTACGGATGACGTTGGGAACGCTTCTACTTTACCAAGAGCATCGTTAACAAACTCATTCATCTCGTTACCGGTCGCCCAGACACACATTGCGATGCCTTCTTCCCCGTCTTCCTTGGTCTTTATAGTCAGACAGCGCTTCGGATCCATCTCGTGTGGACCGGGGGAATTAGGTTCACCCCAGCGAAGACTCTCGATGTGATGGTTTGTCTTGACATCGACTCCCTCGCGCTCCATGGTATCCATGGCGTATTTCGACAGGGACTCATCGAATGTACTCAAAACTGTGGGTGCAACATCAAAAAGAGTTATACGAATCATCTCTTTCAGTTGTGGATAAACCTTTACCAAGTCTTCATGGATAAAATCGCATAGCGAAGCAGCCAGCTCGATCCCTGTCGGCCCAGCACCCACAATGGCAAAATGAAAGAGATATCTCTGCATCCGAGGATCGGTGTTGGGCAAGACTGCCAATTCAAAGCACTCTCTGATGCGCCTTTTCACTCGTCGGGCGTCTCCAACGTCCTTAAGAAAAAGTGCATTCTCTCTAACACCAGGCGTGTGAAAGGTCTTGCTAACACAACCGACAGCGACAACGAGTTTATCGTAAGGAACTATGATTGTTTCCCCGGATTCCCATTGCCTGTCAGCCCCGCCTTTGGACCTCTGCCAATGTTGCTTTTCATGCCGGTGTTGTTTTACCCTTGTCGTTTCCGTTACGCCGCTGCGAACCACGCTAGCTTCACATGTGACTGTCTTCTTGTTGAAGTCGACGGCTCGTGCAGCCGCCTGGATAAAGTGTACTTTGGTAGAGCGATCTCGGACGGGCTCGACGATTTCAGAGAAGTCAAGTGACCCAATGGCAGCATCGGTGAGCAGAGGCGTAAAGACGAAGTACGACCGAGGCGAGATGACTGTGGGGGAGAATTTAATGGCCGACAGTTTACGGGATAGAGTATATCCACCCCATCCCGAGCCCAAGATGACAACTCGCTCGGCCGTAGTCGAGGGATTTCCTGTTGGCCGTGCTGGAGAGCCTCCCGTCGAGTCCCCTGTCAATGTTGCAAAGCGCCGAACTTGCTGGGTAGGCCTGACCTGGGTCGGCGGACGGGAAGCATATCGGAAATTAAGCCGTCCAAATCCCATCTGATAGCCTCGTTTTCGAGCTGATAAAAGGAGGTGCTGCATGAAGATTTTAAATGAGCTATCCCGATACTGACCATTATAACTATGCCTTGCTTGAGGGTGAAGGCTGCCTCGGACCGCCCGGCGTTGAATCCGCCGCATAGGCTCAAACATCATTGAAACCAGCAATAACCAGAAAACAAACCTTGAAATTCAAGTCAGTAGTGGCCATGCAGTCATCCTGCACGCGCCCTTGAACCTGGCCTCATATTGCCCAGGTTCAAAGGACAAGGTGGCTCTCCTTTTTTAGGCACCACTCTATAAAGTGGCACCTCCAGCATATCGTACGTTGTTTGTTTATGGGACTCGACAGGCTTGCGTGTTCACATGCAAAGCAAATGCTTGACCCTATCATCGATGAATCAAAGCCCCCAGCGAGCCCCAGAACTCTAATATTGGCGCCGAGCCACCAAGCACCAAGCATCATGACGCTTTTTTGCAGGGGTTCAAGGAGCCATCAGCAGTCAAAAGAATTGTGTTGCCTGAACATGCAAGGTAGCGCCCGTTTACCGCCAGGATCTGATTTCTCATCCTGGCCAAGTAACAAACGCCTGTGCTCGTTCTCAACAGATCAAGGCATCTTTGTCTCCCTGTGATTCGTTATGAGAGTTTCTTTTTCCTTTCCTGGTGACGAGTTTATTGATGCTGTCTGCATACTTACATGTACTGTATACGCAATGATCTCACACCAGCCCGCCTTGTACCTGGCTATCTCTTGGCCAGTTGCAGCAAGCGCCCATCAGATGGATTCCTCCGTGTACGGAGGGGGGTCCGAGGTGGCCTCTGGACACACATGCCTAACCACAAATGCCTGATGAGAAAGAGTATTTGGAAGCGCCTCGTTACGGAGTACATATAAGCTTTCGCGCGAAACCTCTGGCATGTTGCTATAAAGGTCGAAACAGCGCCCACCTTATATAGCTATATTGATATCGCATTTACATACTAGATACACCAGCCAGCAACCCCTCTTGGACAGCCCTTGATCCTACTTTCCTAGGAAATACCCTAAAAGTCAATTGACTACTCCCACACTGTCGACTACTATCGTTCCTGCAGAGACATCATCAGTTGACATCATGACTTCTCTGTACTTTCAAGAACCTTCCTCCAGAGTCTGGGACTACCTGGAGCAGATGGAAACCGACTGGATCCACGAGTCATCTATAGCCTCCGACACCAATGCCAATTCTGGAGAACTCACCTGGGGAGCTCAATTCAGCCATTTCCCCAAGCAAAAGCCGACTGCGACCCGTGCTCGTTCGTTGAGGAGAGAGCCCAGTGATGCTTCTAGTGGCTACCGACGCGAGTTCCTCTCCCGTCGTGATAGAAGCGCCTCCGGCTCCAGCTTCAGCTCCATGTCAACCAACTCAAGACTGAGCAGCAGCTTAGCCAGCCATGATCGCCCAGGAGACTTGGGCTCTGTTATCCAAAACCTCAGTTCCCAACTTGGTTTTGACCTGAACGAGACATTCAACTGTGCAAACAAATACAGCAAGCCAGTCAAATCATCCAAGGCCAGGCCATCCGCACTTGTAGCTGCTCCTCTAAAGGCCAAATCTACAAAGACGCCCAATGTTCGCCATGAGTTTGTTTTGCAGGTTCCATATGCGCAGAAACCTGCCACCACTGTCGAATATGACAGTATGATGTCAGCCCTAAACATCCCTGTCAAAGCTGCGACTGCACCCGCAACTCCCAAGGCCGACCATAAGAACGCCGAAACAAAAGACAGTGGCGTAAAGAAGACCAAGAGTACACGTAAAGTGTCCTTTGCTGAGGTCGTCCAGGAACTCCCCATTGCACTCGAAACGGAGGCGGAGCCAGAACCAGAGCCAGAGATGATCACCGATGGGGGAAGCGACAGTGACAGTGACAGCGACAGTGTCCCCGAGGCAGTATTTCTGAATGTTGACACGGTTATGCAGAATGCGCCTCGTGTTCGACATGTGGAGATCAGGGACGCCGAGGAAGAGGAGAACGATTATATCACGATCTATCGATCCTGACAATACTGCAAGCTGTTTATTTTGTCCTGAATTACGCTCTAGTTATGACTTTTTTTTCCCCTCGCTTCCCTTTTTGCTCATATGACTAGTTGACCCGCCACTTCGCTTCTTCGATTCCCCCTTGGTATTAGTTAGTTAGTTAGCCTTGATGTTTTTGATCTATGATTTCTATTCCCCCCTCTGCATCTAGATTTTTTTCTGGCTCAATTGAAATTCCATGAATTTCTCCATGAAACTCGGTAATATGTCTCCGTTTTTTCCACTGTCGATCCTCGTATATACGAAAGCGAGGACTTGAAACTGGAAACATCGTCCGAAGTGATCATCGTTATCGGGTTACCCCGTATTAAGTCCGGCCACAGTGATCTTCCCAGCATGGTTCCTCGTTCCTCGCCGATAGGACAGCTGCATTGATATCCCTGACCATGTAACTAGCATCTTCACTTGGCTGGGCTTCAAGTAGAGATATATCAGAGCGCTCGACCGAATGTAACGCCTGTCAAATATGAACTTTCAACCGGGGCTATCGGACGAGAATCGACTATAAGTTCACTGGTCAACTGCCTAATGTCCATATATAGTGACTAGATACCTGTTTCTCGGTTTGGTTGAGTATCCGGCACTTCTTGTCTGCAATAAATACCTCGTACTCAGCCGCAAAAGTCGATACCTATAAGCCGAAGGGAGATACTAGACATTAATGTCACCGGGTATGAGTACCATTGAACATACTTACTGGCAGCTACTCTCCGGCTTCCGGAGAACTGATGTGGTCTTACTATGCAGCCATGATCAATATCAAGTGAGACACAAATGCGAAGAATTGATACCCTGCCATTGGAAGCAACTGATCGATACTCAATAAAACTTCTAGCCCTAAGAGATATTCGAATCGCGGTTTTTTTTTTTTTTTGGTTAATGTTGTCTCAAAACATTCTGCTGGCATCTTATTTGGAGATACGTACAGATGTTTGGCCATCATTGATACCCGGGCTCAACCTAAATATACATAAAAACTGATACCCAACACAGCCTCGACGGTGTCAGAAGCCTCTCACATGGCTGAGGACCAATAATTCTGGTCATTGGTTGCACCCTCTTGAAAATTTCAAGATATATACAGCTCCTGGCAAGGCTTCTTGAACGACCATCTCAGGGGTTGAATGTTGTGAGAAAAATTGCTAATACATAACGAATATGCAGCTAGAAAACAGCGATTTGGGACATGGAAGGATGTAAATGTACTGTGATACTCATTTACTATTTCGGGCATCCTATGCATTCCCAGGACCAGCCTTGTGTCCCCAACTGAACCCTCCACAGCAAGCGAAGTCTGCAGTTTTGCAATAATCCGAGCCTTTCGGATACTTGGCTGTACTGATTCCAGAGTGAAATCTGATACAAGGAACCGTTCGGGTACCTTACCTCCGCTTCAAAGCTCGCTTAGCATAAGGATCGACCTGGTATACGGATCCTGACTCAATTCTAAGTCCTTTACTAGGCTCTCCTTTCTCTGGCTAAGCGTTGGCAGTGAAGTAACTAGAGGGGAATGGCTGCAGCTGCTGGTTCCTCTCTGCGTTCAAACAACCCCTCTGCACGACCCTGGTAAAGAAGAGGCTACGAATTTGGTCCCGTTGGCTAGGCGGAATATATGGAAATCTCCCTTGGTCACAGTGAACAGTGTTTACAGTGTTTAGGTGTTTAGCCTTTGTTACGGGGGTACTGTTGCACCAGGACCATAAACCATGACCATTTTGATACCCCTCAAGTCGTGGTTAAATATACAAATCCATGACGATGTTTTGGGTTCGAGTCAACGCCATAAAGCCGTGTTTATTATCGTATAAACATTCTAAACAACAAAAAGGAGGCTCCCTTTATGCTGACACTTAGTTATCGTTGTAACTACAAGAAAAAAAAAATGTTGGCTCGATCAAACGTTTTATCAATCGACCCTGAGAAGGTTGCACCGCCCGCATTAAACCACCATACCCCTTGAAGACAAAGAAGAAAGAAGAAAGGAAACGTCAATAATGAAGGGCGCTCGGTTAACGTCGATGTGCATGCTGGAGGTACAAACGAAAGAAACGACGACAGAAAAAAGCAAAGAACGATCGGTTTAGAACTGGACTTAAAAGCGATACCCCGAGGAGATCTGGAGAATAAAGCAGTTTGGATCATACATTCATGTCTTTCCGACTGTGGTACTCGTCTTCATCGCAGAATGTGAGGTCATGGCCTGGCTTGTCGCCAATGATAAGGATGGCCAGGGATGACCTGCGGCGTGATTTTGACCGTCGGCGGTAGAGGTGAATCCACTGCATGAAATCGAAGAATGCAATGGTGACCAGGAGCAGTATGACCACGCCTGTGACTATTATTCCTGGCGTTAGGAATTCAATACGGCCGCGACCCTGGTTTATGCTGCTGAAGTCCTTTGCTATGTGGGTACAGTCTGGGCCGCTGCCAGCGTATCCATTAAGTTCGTCTGGGAGGATGTCGTAGACGCGGGAGTTTGCGATGACCCCCGATGCGTCCGGAGAGTACCCGGATGTCTGCGAGGGAGATACCGACGGCGTATGGCTCGGTTGTATATTCCAGCTGACAGGTTTGCCCTCTGCCCCCTGCATCTCGGGTTCGGTTTTCAAGATCTAGATGTCTACCGGTCAGCATACCACTTACCACACCCGAAACTGTCTTCTTGATGCGGCTGGATGGGAGAGAGAGAGAGCAACGGAGGGGGGTATAACACACCATTTGGTCGTCGTTTTGGTTCGTTTCAGCAGCGATTTCTTCTCTGACAGTGGCTTCTGTCTGGTGTGTGCTGTCACCAGGGTGCATGAGCTGGCATAAAACCTTCTTCCACGCCAAAGCAGCTTCGTCTCCAACCAACGAGTGGCCCGGTTGGGAATCTTTTTGAAGCCCAATGTCGTGGGATGGGTGTAGTGGCAGTGCCTCGCAGGATATAACGGAGAGCAGCAGGACGGCAGCCACCAGCCTTATAAGCGAACGCATACTTTTATAATTTTGGATGCCGAAAGGGTAAATGCCAGACTAAATACTTTGGTCGTCTCGGATGGCGCACCCGGTCCAAATGTTATATATAGGGGGAAAAGAAAAGAAGGTATCTGGGGTCAAGCTAGATCAGCTAGTGAGGAGTTAGGGGTGCAGGCCACAGAAAGCGAGTTTATGAATCCGAGGCGCGCCAGGCAGCGGACATGTGAGGTATGCGAACGAGAGGTGTTGCCCCGGTGGCACAAAACTGGATGCAACAAATTGGTCGCACAGAAAGTCTCGCCGATGCATGAGACCGTCCGGATACCCCTCAAGCAAGCGGTTTGCGTCTCTTTTCCCTCTCTCTTTCAGAGCGGCGGGGAGGTACCGCGGTATTTATCTGGAACCGGGGGCCCGTAAGGTGGTGCTGTGCGCATATTTATTTAGTGTTGTAAGAAAAGGGCCATCACAGCCCAGGTAAGCTGCCATATAGTCCCAAAGCCAACCCAGGGGACTCTAAACTCGGACGCCGCCCCCCCTCGCCCCAACTAGCAAGCTAGTTGCATATGGAGGAGCTGATGAGTTGACCATCGTAGCTGTGTATGTTTCATGACCCTTGTCTCAAGTTGGCGCCCTTTTTTTTTTATTCTGACTGTTTGTCTTGCGTGGCCCTTCAAGGCTGAGGTCCAACCAGACTAAGCGTAGAGCGCTATATCGAAAACTTACTCCGAAGCCACCGCGAGCTTGCTTGCGTCACGGCGCTGATTCAAGCTTTGCTCCCGTTGCAAGAGCAGGATTCTGGTTGGACGGTCGACCCCATTGCGTGTCCATGAGACCTGATTCCGGTGGTTCAATCTAGACCTTAGAGTAACGAGAAGCCTAAATGAAAAAGGCTTCACCAGCCCCTGAGCGAGAGCCCGCCGGAGAAGCTTCGATTATAAAGAGTGCATCACTCTCCTTCCCGCGGGACACATAAGCAGCGAGCAGCGACTAACATGCCAACATCCTTTTGCTGCTGACTGTCATGATCATAATATGCCTTGTCTGGTACGGTATATCACCCTCAGCGCCAATGGGCACCCCGTAGCCATGTGTGATCACAGGGTTGTTGTTAGTCTCTGTGTAACTTTTTCCCTTCGATGTTGGAGTCCCCCCGGATATATTCAGTCCATTATTACTTAACTAAGCCCATTAGTGAGATCTTGTTGGGGGCGGCGCCCGGGGTGTTGATTCGAATATCGAGCGTCTCCATCGATCGAGAGGACCGCGTTGGCACGATCTGAATCTGCCTACTTATCACTGCCCTCCAGATGGCTATCTAGCTAGCGAATTCACGCTCGATATCCACCTCGACGACTCCAGCTGAGGCTCAAACCGTCCAGCGTGACCCTGCGGAGGGCGCAAAAAAGCTGCCTTCTGGCCTGGTTCTCGTCCTCGCAAGGTGCTCCTGGAGCAGCCATGTCACGCTGCATTGTGACCTGGGTGGCTGCAGAGACAGGTCCCCGGCTCCTTGGGCTCTGAAATAAGACATTTTCTCGCTTGTCAGAGGGGACTCAAGTGCAGAATCTGCGCGCTAGAGGTCGTTTTCTGTGTGGGGATTGGCCGTTTGCACCCATAGCACGGGGAGGTTTAGCGACGGGTCAAGGGAACGAACGACGCCCAGCGTTCGACGTAGATAGATAGATATCGATGCCAGGCGCACTCTGGCGCTCTGTAGTTAGCCGTCTGCATAGTGACCAGCTTATTCCACGCCGTGCATGCATGTATGTCATCGGCAGAGAACTAGTAGTAGTCAACTCGTTACTCCGTATGCTGCCCGTGTAGTAACTAATATTGCTTTTTGAGGCCGCTGCCGTCGGTTATATCCACCGCTTCGAGGGGCTCAACCTCCCGCGAGGACATCGAATAAGCGGCCTGCAGATGCGCAGGAGTCTGTCAGACGGCCAGAGGACCAGATAACCAGCTAGTTATTGCGCGTGTCTGCCTCATGGCGACGGCGATGCAAGACTTGCACAGCTAACTAACCAGCAAGCGACGTCGACTGCCAGCCCCAGCGAACGATGTCCCAACCGCCGCCGCCGCCGCAACCACGCACCAGAAAGGTGACCACTCGCTCGCGCAACGGATGCTGGACCTGTCGGGCGCGGCGCAAGAAGTGCGATGAGAAGCGGCCGTTCTGCACTCCATGCGAGCGCAAGTCGTTGCAGTGTAGCGGATACGGGCCACGCCTGAAATGGGGCAACGGGGTCGCCTCGCGGGGGTACCTGATGGGCTCTGCCATTCCTGTGCATCCCAAGGACGCGCCGCCGGCAGCGAGCATCTCCTCGTCGTCTGCGTCTTCGTCTGCGCTGCTGGCTCAGGGGGGCCAGGCGGCGGCCGCAGGGAGCGCGGGCTCTGGCGGGAAGCAGAAGAGTCCCCCCAGGGGCAGCCCGACGGCCAACATAGGCTCGCTCTCGGAGTGCCTGGGAGTGCTGAACTTCTCAGCGCCGCCGACGCAGACGCCGACCAGGACGAAGGCGAAGGCGAAGACAAAGTCCGTCTCGAACGCTTCTCTCTCGCCGGAGATCAGGCCAGGGAAGACGCAGACGCCGACTCCTGTTGCCCCTACGGCTGCTGCTGGTGCTGCTGCTGGTACTGCTGGGGGCATCTCTTCGTCGCCTGTTGAGAGCTCCCCTTCCGTGGCTACGACGTCGAACTCGCTGGTGACAGCCCTGCCATTGAGTCCCTTTGACGAAGAGATATTCGAAGAATGTGCGTTTATCACTCCTCTATACTACATACCCCCTGATAACTAGTGCTCAAAACTGACATGCGGAAATAGTCAAAGAATGGGGGTCTCAGTATCTGGCGGAGGCCGGACAGTCCCCCCTGGGCGATATTCTTGCCTTCTGCTGCGAGTCCAGGTCGTTGGTGGCCAACTGTCTCATGTTTCAACTGACCCTGCACCCGGAGCACGAGGACAAGTTCGAGGAATACTATGCAAAGTGCCTCAGGCTCTTCCGCGAGGACGTCTGTGATACCAAGGCTGCCATGAAAGACGCTACCCTTATTGCTGGGATATTACTCTGCTCTACGGGAGTATGTTGGCAATTCTTCCCCCTTAACTACTGCCTAAGAATTCATTTAGTTAACATATTCTAGATGAACCGATGCATGAAATGGACCGTCCATCTCAATGGCCTTTACTCCATTATCCAATGCAGAAACGCGGTATCCGCTCCTAGTCCCATCAGCTCCGAGATCCTGGACAGCATTGGCTTCTTCGACCTGCCTACACATGTCCTGGGCCGGGCAACCAAACCGCTGCATATCTGGCGTGACTACTGCCGCGGTAAAGGCGGGATAGAACCCAATAGCAATATTCCCTTCAGCCTGATAGACCTTCTTTCCATGGTCGGCCAGCCAGGAGTCGAGATGCAGCTCTGGACGTGGCAGTGGGACAACAACAGCAGCAGCAGCAGCAGCAGCAGCAGCAGTAGCCCCGGTAGAAACGCCCATCCGCCCAGCCTATTGACTCGTCTGGCATGGGATGCCACTCGTCTGGCGGGGATCATCTCCTCGAGAGAATACAAGTTACTCAACTACGCCCAGACCGCAGACCTATCCCCTTCAAACCCATATCAACCTACCCAGAGCGATGACGGCTGTCCAGCTACCCCGTTCCTGGTTGAAGGCATCCTTTCCAACCTTACTACCATCCTCACCACCGAGTCACAGCACCAACATCACCAACATCAACCTCCGCAGGAGGTGTGCGAGGTTCTAAATCTTTTACTCTACCCTGCCTTTGTTGCCGGAAGCCAACATACCTTGCTCACACCTCTGCATAAACAGCGAATCGAGGCATTCTGGCAGGAATTATTTCCCGACATGGGCGCTGACGGGCCTGGGATGCCGCATCTTCAGGTTCCCCTGGACATTCTGCGCGATCTATGGAGAGATGCTAGAGGAAGGACGGTGGATATGATTGCTAAAGAACGAGGAGTAGAAATAGGACTGTTCTGATGGGTCTTTTGTAGCCATATTGAATGGTATTATGCTAGATTGAATGCTGATGCTTGTATATGGTGTTGGTATTTGAGGAATATATTAATAAATCTTTTTAGATTTTTTAATTTAGTAACTATTATTATTATTAGTATTCTGTTCTATTCTATTTTAGATTTAATTGTTTTATCTTCCAGTACGGAGTAATTATTTAAATAGCATTATTTTACTATTCCAATACATAATATGGACATATTGTAGATGCCTCAGTCATGTGATATTACCTAATAGATCACGCTCTCGTATCAACATTCTCCCGATAAGTCGATGATAAGGGAGAGGAATTACATCATTTAGTTATCTCTCGTTCTCTCTCATTCTCTAGCCTGCTTCAACGTAGAGAGCACTAACAACTCCTGTATGATATTACTGCTACATCCGTCAAACGCGTGTTTATCATACCTAGCTATGTCTAAAACCACCCCCCTTTTACCGGCGGAGTCGGCTGGCGATGAAGAGGTCGCGTGGGCTTCTACGAGCCCCAACTCTCACACAAAAGCTGCCTCCAAGAGCTCTGAGACAAATGCCGCCTCCGAAAGCTCAGAGACAAATGCCGCCTCCGAAAGTTCTGGCAAGGCAGACTCAAAACTTCGTCCAAAGATAGACCGCAACTACTTGAAAACACTAGATAGCAAGGCATTGGGTGCTTACTTCAGAGCTATGTCCGATGAAGAATTGGAAGAGCTTTTCAAAACGTCCAACGCGCCGCGTAAGTTATCTCTCATTATCTTAGAATTTTAACTAATGTATTTCTATAGTTCATAAAGGTCCTTCCATACCATACGATGACTCCGCTGATATTGCCTATGAGCAGGGGAAGCCACTCCCAACCCCAGATTTCAGCTCCGATACTACTGAATCCCGTCCTCCTCGTTTACCGCAGTGATCCTTCCGTCTACCATGCTTGAACCACCGTCTGCTATATTGACTACATGCAGGCCAAGGCAGAACTAGAAAAACGACCACCTTCAGATCTTACTCAGCTATGGCAACACGGTGATGGACTCTGCACCTCATTTCGCCGTCTTTGTTGCAAACAACATTGATGCCAATTTCTCCTTTCAGGACCTGCAAGGTTATCATCGAGCTGCATTAAGCCCGGACGGCCTAATTATCGACTCAATGGCTCGTAAGCTTTTATCTGGAACCGAGGGCCAAGTGTTATCTGGATATAAAGGAAAGTGGAAGTTTCTGAAATCTCCAACCCTTACGCTAGGTTTCAAAGTAAGTTAGTTATTATACCAGTAGTCTCAATGATGTACCTAGCTAACACAACACAGTCCAACAATCAAGCTACCTTTGACGATTTTAGCCCACTACAAAATCGCGAGGAAGCAATAAGCAATAGTCCGATGTCTGCTCCAGCTTACGTCTAAAAAAGACTTCATCTGTATGTTTCGGTAAGTATTTTCTCCTGTAGTTAGTAAACTAGTCTAATATATGAGTATGGAACGATATCTTCATCCAAACTCCGTTTTAATGGACGAATATGTTTTAATATTTCAACTCGTGTAATAAGCTGGAGTCGTCTGGTATCAAATGAGTGGGTTGAATCAAAGGCAACCTTCAAAGGCATGGGAACTGCGGCATCCAATCTCGATTGTCGAGAATCACTCTTGCATTTTGGAGTGACTGACGGAAGAAGAGAACAATACGAACGTGTATCTAGCGTCATAGAACGTTTGTGGGACGGACGCTTTACTTCAAACGTTTGGGTTTCCGGAGCTCAAGTGAGACCAGACTAAGACACCTACCGGCTTCATTACCTCAGGCTTGGTATTATTATTGTTCAGAGAGTAAATACTTTTGATGGTTCTAGAAGAGATCCGAGCGAAGATATGAATTGAAATATGTCAATAGTCATAGCAATTGCTGTATGGGGAATCAGCTAACTCTCACAACATAAAAGATACTAAAGTGATAACCGAAGTAAGAATCAACATGAATGGGGATAAAAGGGAATCAGAATGTTGTAGTAACGTGTAGTGACGAAATTGTATAAAATCAAGCCCATATCAATTTTCCGGCTTGTGTTTCCATGGGGGTCTGTGTTTTTTTTTTGTATCTTTTTTTTTTTTTCGCGTGGCTTTCTTATTCCAATGTGCGTTAAATGTCGGATGTCTAGAGATTGCCCTGGTGGAAGAGAGCAATGGTAGAGCAGAAGTTGCTTCTATTCTCCTTCTGAGGGACCAGTCCCTTGCCGCCCGAGGTGATCATGTTAGTGCTGGCCTTGGTGCTGACGCCGTACAAGTAGGTCTCGGAGCAAAGCACTTCGATCATGTTGAGCTGGCAGGATTCGGTCTTGAGGCATTCTTGCTTGTAGTTCTCGAAGAAGCTGTAGAGGCCGCCTCCGAAGAGGAAGACATCGGTGGAGTTGAGGATGCGGAGACCCCATGCCTTCTTGCAGGCAGCGGTGGTGCAGTCACCGAAGGTCGGGTCGTTGTATTTGGTGTCAGGGGCGAAGGGAACCAGGGCGTCTGGGTTGGATTGGTAGTATCTGGTTGCATGTTAGTAACTAAAAAAGCCTGAGACATTGAGACATAAAGGGGAGAGAAGAAAGAGAAAAACTTACGGAGTCTCGGTCTGGATCAAGGCCATGTAGACGTTCTTTGCGTTCTGGATTTGGTAGTTGTAGAGCGTGTTGTGCTCCGAAGCAGTTCCGTACATCCAGACTGCGCCAGAACTCTCGATCAAGGCACCTCGTCCGTTGTAGATGTTGATCTGGCCATGGTCAGCCAGGTCAAGTTCATGGTCGGATACCCACAACCAGGTGTTCTCGAGGTAAGCAGAGGCAGTCTTGGTGATGTGCAGGAGCATGAAGGCGCCGAAGCACTTGGGGTCAGGGGTAGTAGTAGTGTTGGGCGTCTTAGCGCAGGTGTTGCTCTGCAGCTGGGTTCCAGCGAAGCCACCGACTCTGAAGTGAACATCCCACATTCCAACGGAGCCCTGAGTCTCCTCAGCGACGTTCCATTCGACGAGGATACAGCCAGGAGCAGAACCCTGGGTGGTAACAATGAGCTCAGACAGCTCAACATTTCCCTTGTCACCTGGCTGACCGACCTGGAGCATGGGAATGGGGTTCTTCATGTCAGAGAAGGCCTTGCCGGTGGCCATCAACATCGGCCAGATTTCTCCAGTGATCTTGATGTTCTTGGGCACCTTGATGGTGGAGGTGATGAGGTAGGCACCATGGTCGAAGTAGACGATCTGGTCGGCAGTGGCCTTGTCAAGAACAGCTTGGATGGCCTTGGTGTCGTCTGTCTTGCCATCACCCTTGGCTCCGGCACTCTTGACACTGAGGAACTTGTCGGCGGAGACGTTCTCGTACTGTGGCTTTGCGCGCTCAAAGACCTTGCCGGACTTGTCGAGCAAGATGGCTGGCTTGCTGGGCTGGGGAAGAGCAGTCTGAACACGGGCCTTGGTCACAGGAGCCGATGGACAGGCGGTAGGGCCACCGGTTGGTGAGGGAGAAGGGGTTGAAGGGGCGGTGCCAGTAGTGCCGGATGGGACTCCGCCAGTTGGTACTCTGGTCGGGACGTTGGATGGCTCAGTGGTTGGCACTCTAGTTGGTTCGCCAGTCTCTGGGATTGGATATGGCGGAGCAGTAGACTGAGCCGGTGGCTGTGGAGCTGGAGCAGGGCAGTCATCACGGCGAGCTACGTCTGGCTTAGCCTGAACCTGCGGGGGGAGTCTCTTTGCCTTGGAGCCAGATCCAGCAGTCCAAGCGTTGCCCTGAACCCAGTGTTTGATGACGGAGCCTCCACCAACGATGGAGCTGCCCTGAAGACTGGTGACTGCGTCTGTGGAGCCAGTGAAGTCGACGTTGTCGAGGATCAAGGTGCCGCCAGACTCGGGGACACTCTCAGCGTTGAAGGAGGTGACGACACCCTTGGGGGTGTTCTTGATCTTGCTGTCGAGGATCATGACAGAGCCGACAGTCTGGTTGAATCCTCCGTTGGACATGTTCAAAGCGACACCGCAGTCGTTGACGGACAGAGACTTGAAGGTCCAGGCCCAGTTCCAGTTCATGAAGATGGCAGTGTTGCAGTTGTTGAAGGTCAGGTTGCGAGTGGTGAACTGCTGGTTGCCGAAGAAAGCACCGTAGTTACCGCCGTTGAAGACAAGGTCGGTCATGAAGCCACCGGAGCCGTTGTCCATGAAGATACCGATCTGCTTGTTGGCGTCTCCGCCGCCCTTGACCATCTCGAAGCGGATGTTCTGCAAGCTGGAGGCCTGGGCAACCTGCCAGTGGATGCAGGCTCCCTTGCTCTTGTCGAGACCGGTCAGGTCGATAACGAGGTTGCGGATGCCACGGAAGAAGTTGTTCTGGTTGGTGTACCAGTTGCTGCCGTCGTTCTCGTAGGGGTCGGAGTCAATGACAGCGATTCCCTCGAACGAAGGGGCGGCCTTGATGACGGGCATGTTGAGGGCATCTCCCACGATCTGGGTATAGTAGTACTGGATGATCGGCTTGGAGACGACATAGGTGCCCGGCGGGAAGTAGACAAGAGCCGGAGTAGTCGTGGAAGAGTCACAGCCCTTTCCACAGCGGCTTCCAGAGGAGATGGCCATGTTGATAGCGGCCGTGTCGTCAGAGCTCCCGTCACCTATCCACTGTTAGTATATATATAGAGTAAACAAAGATAAACAATCCGCCGGACCACTCCAGAGAACTTACCCTTTGCGCCAAAGTCCTTGACATTGCGGAAGACCTTGTAGCCGGCACCACCGCCGTTGAAGGGGGCGATTCCCTGGCGCTTGATAGAGCTGAGCCAGTAGCTGGATGCCTGGGTGTTGGGCGTCTGGTACTGGGGGGTCGGGACAGCACCGGCAGGCGAGAAGAGGCCGACGAGGACGAGCAGAAGCTGGCCCAGCAACAGGCTGGAGACCAAGCCTCGAGCCATGATGGATCCGGAGGTATCAGACGGTTGTCTCTCGGTAGATTCTTATGTATTTGCTGTAGTTTGTGTGGTTGTAGTTGTTCTTGGTTGGTAGATGCAGCTTCAGTGGCCAGCACAGAGCTCTAGCACCCCTTTTTATATATGTATATTTTTGACAGCAGAAGGAAGGAAACAGAAGCTGAGAGAATGAATGGCACGACCTGTGGTATTCAGTCAATATCAAGTCAAGTCAATTGACCAAGGAGTGACTGCGACTGTGCGAGGTGCGCCTATTAAAAGGAGTGTGTGTGTTGTATGTGGATTGCGCGCCAACAATAGGAGGAATTTCCCTTCATTCACAGCAACAAATCCACAACAAAGGGGAGAAAAAGGGAGGAAGAGAGCGACAGAAGGGCAGAGACTGAGGAGAGGAATAAACACGAAGAAGACGAAGGCGAATGCAAATGAAGAATGAGAAACGTCACGAATATATGAAGCCAGCGCCCTTCATTATTAGCTCGACGGCCGCCCTGGGCGCCAGACCGCGAGGTACCGATGTATGTACCTGATACAGCCAGCCAGGGCCGGGGCAGCAGAGACAGGGAACAGGGGCGCAAAAGAAAAGAAACGAGAGGCGAGAGAGCTGGGGAATCATACACTGCGGGAACCAACTCGAAATAATAAGATTGATATGCTATGTTTATGCGCCCAACCAGCGGCCGCTCAGCGCCGTTCGTTCCACTCGGTCCAGGGCGTAGGTTAAGCTCAAGGGCCGCTCAGGGGCTCAGCAGCCAGTCGTTGGCAGTGGCCTTCGCGCAAGGGAAACACGGCCGCGTTTCAGCCGGGGGAGGCAAGATGAGGATGGGCGTCTAGATGCCTATCAATTCGGTGCGAAGAGCCGGAGATGTCGAGGGGACTTTTTTGGTCGTTCTGCTCGACGGTTGTTGCGTTTCAGCAAGGCCAGCCAGACGGAGCAGACGGGAGACGGGGAGGGCGAGCGGGCGTCTATTATAGACAGGCAGGCAGGCAGGCTCGCTGTGCAGAGAAGAGGACGATGTCTGCTTGAGGTCTGCCTGCTTTCGATCTGATGATGAGCCAGTATCTACGGAGTATTGGATGGTGACCGGCACCCACACACCCTCCATGCGTGTCCAACATGTTTATTTCAGTTAACAGTGGCGGGCCATATGGCAACCCGTTCGCATGGCCAGGGGGCATGGAGAGGACGGCCAGACGGCAAAGACGGGGGGCATGACCTAGTCATCTTGTGCATTCGGACACATCAGAAGGGGGAAACACTTGAGGCCATTTTACGCGCCTTCATCTTAATCCGCTTGCATGAAGGGGATCAGATACGCGCCCTCTCCGCCAGCCAGAATCCCTGTTTCCCATGTCTATTCGTTTACTTACGACGGGCGGGAAGCAACCTGGGACCTGGGGCCGAAAGATGAAATATTATTATTATTTTGTCCAAGAAAGGAAGAATTAATGATCACCAACTAGGGACGACGGTGATAGGCATCATTGAACCAAGGGCCGAAGGGAATGCCCGAAGGCTTGCATCACTCGCATTCCGCAACGCCAGCCCGCTTTCAGCTCGCAGACTAGCAGACAACCAGACGAACGGACTGTGACTAGTGAGCTAGCGAGCCAGCTAACTCTCGGCCAGGGGTTGGCTAACTGGTGGTGGAGGGACCCTTCTGACCTGTCGATCCGCTGCACGGCGCTGCTAGTCTGATATCAAGGCGCAGAGCCAACCCAAGATAGACTCGCACTCGGCCAACAGCAGAAACTCCTGCTCCTGGTTCCGAGACGGGCATCTCCATGGGCCTGCTCCATAGCTAGCTACCACGGAGGGTTCGTTGCTATTTTCTGCAGGGCCTGTCGGATGATGTACCCTCAGCCTTCCCTCCGGCATGCATCTTGGGTGCTGCTGGACGCTGGAGATATCGACGGTGGAGGCTCGACTACGCAAAATGTGCGACCCCAGGCGAGTTCCATGGCAAGGGAGAAAGGCAGTTGACCACGCTCCCACCCACACTCCCCGTCCACATGGCTGTCATGTTATCGTCTGGAGTACTTCATGAGCCGTCTCCCTCGTCGAGCCCGGTGGTCATGGGCAGAGCTTACTCCGCGGCCGGTGTGGTTGCACAGCTTAGGGTTGACGATGCAAGATGGTAGGACGGGCGCCGATATAGTTGAGTTAATCAATCAATTAATATAGCAACCGTGCATGGGGGGGGGACAAGATGATGGGTAGATGCTACACTGGCACCGGTTTGGTCATCACCTTTCTCTTTGCTTCTTGTTTACTTATTGATCGATGTATGCCGTTTGATTGCTGCATAATAACCGAGCAGTTTCGCTTCCCATCATCATCACCCATCGCCATCACCGCCTAGCCAAGTCCTCCGCCTCTGGCTGTGAATCATGATACGAGAGCCCAAGGATCTTGTCAGCTACTCTAACCTGACTTGTTAAGCATGTGCGCGGATGTACCGGGCTCTCATGACGATGTCTGTGATGATGACAGCGCGGAGAAAAGGGGGAGGGGGGGTCAACCCCGGCGAGCAAGCTGGATGTTCAACTTGCCGACCGACTTTACCAGTCGTACATTGCAAGAATATCCCGGCATGAATGCCATGATTATTAACAAAAGACGGAAGACCTTCATTGCCGTGAAACTGCAGCGAAATGATATCTAACATCCTGTGTCCTGCTTTGCCTTTTCAACAGCCTGTGCAAGGCGCTGGACTCCTTCCTCCAGCATATCTTCGTCCACGTACGCCAGACAGATACGCACAAAGTCGTCCAGCGGCCCGTCGGCGTCTGCATAGTCATAGTCTGGCTTTGCGCCTTCACCAGTGACCTTGCTTCCTTCTCCAGCGGCAATCCGTAGATTCAGCTCCTCTGCAGCAATCCTGGTCACACGATTTGCTGAGATGCCTGGAGGAAGGCGGAGCCAGAAGAAGTAACCGCCTGAAATCTCACTAGGCATTATCTTGTCGCTGCTACCAGATGGTGGTGACGGGGCAAGGGGTTTGGTGAAGGTTATACCAAGGGGGTGGAGATGCTTTTCGATTGCGGCGCGCAGGATGTGGTACCGTTTCGAGTATGCTGGACAAAGCACCTCTGGGATATACGACTGGATGAAGCCGGAGGAGAGGAGCTGGCAGATGAAGGTAGACGTCAACTGTGAGGGAGCGCCGCCAGAACGTGTCGAGCCTCTGTGATTCTCTCCGCGGTTAGTCTTGTCGGATGTTGTCGGCAGTGATGAATTAATATCCAGGTAGTGAAAGTTCAACTTACGTCTGTCCAACGCCATATACAAACTTCTCCGTCCCTTCAACCCACCCAACTCGACATCCAGGGCCGAGAAGTTTGCTAAAGCTCCCGTTACTCATACAATGTCCGAACTCGTCCCTTGGCCCGCCGTCCAGGAAACGATCGATGTCAACCAGACGTGGTGCAACGGCAGTCGTAAGCTGTGGTTGCGTGCATGACGGATCGATGTGCCACTGTAGAAAGTCGTAGACGTCGTCCGTCACCACCAGTGCGTCATACTGTCGAGCGAGACGGACAAGCTGCGTACGTCGGCGGACGGACATGATTCTAGATGACGGATTGGCGAAGGTAGGAACTGCATAGATAATATGCTTATATATCTTCCTCCATGGGCGTGGGGGCTTCAATTTCTGTCTGATTGTCAGCACTCATTATTGTCAAAGCAAGAAGGCAGGCTATATACGTAGCTAACGTACCGGCTCCAGATTCCCGTCTGCCACTGCCCGTTCCTCGCTCTTCTTCAGCTCCCTCTCGAGAAAGCCAACGTCAATACCCTCGGCATCCTCCCTGACGGCTCTCAGCTTGTCTCCGAACCCAGCATCATCGAACATGCCACAGGCAAGATAATATGTCGGCGACACCAGCCATACGTTCCGCGTATACACTGGGTCAGAAAACACCTGCAGCACGCAGGCCAAGTTCTGACTGGCGCCGCCAGATATCGCTATCCGACCAGCATCCACGGCTTCCTGTGGCTGGTAGAAGGCCGTCAGCCATCTTGCTATCTCGGCACGCAGCGAGGGATCTCCTTCATCCGGGCCGTAGCCTAGGGCGGGCTCCGAGAGTGCCGGCGAGTTCAGGACGGCCTTGGATGCTTCTGACAGGACTGCCGTGGGGTGTAGCGAGGGATGCGGCCAGCCCCGGGACAGATTGATGGGCCGTTGAGTGAAGCGGACTGTCATTGTCGTTGTAACCGTTCAAGCTATATCTTTCTTGTTTTGCTACACTCTGGTAGCTGCTCTCGATGGTTGGTCTCTGGCTCTGGAGTAGTTATGGATTATGGATGCGGCGCGGGGCGCGAGGCGAACCATGTCTCTGCAGCCGGCCTGAACAAGGTTCCGTGGTCCAATTCTATCATTCCTCGCCTTCAGGGGTAGCAATCGGCAGTCCTATCGGGCATAGTAATATCGATATACGGTTCCTGCTCCGAGATGCAGCTAATGCATGTCCCTAGCTAGAATGAGTGTGTTAGCACTGGTACGACTTCATCATGACATCACCACCTACCAGTGCCTCTATATCCAGTCCCTCAAGCACTCCAACCTGCCTATAGATCTTCTCTAGGCCTCTTCTCAGGTAGCCGGCGCAGTATCTGCCCTTCGCTTCAATCTATCACCGTCCTTGGGTTGTCTTCGTTTCGTCTGATGTCGCCGTCGTCGAGTTAGTTATTGAACTCTCCACTTCTCGTCTATAAGAAACACACAGAGGAAGCCATCACATGACAAGATCGCATTGATGGTTTAGTGGTAAAATCCGTCGTTGCCATCGACGGGCCCCGGGTTCGATTCCCGGTCGATGCACTTTTTTTGCCTCTTCATTTTGTTCTTCTTCTCTTTCTTTTTACTGGCATCTCTCTCTAGAAGTCCTACGGCGTATTTCGTCTATCGATTTGCACTGTTGGCGCTCTTGAGGATCTCCTGCAAGGAGTATCACGTGCATATGCAGGTTTCTCGTTCTTTTTCTCCGTTGAAACTCGAGCTGTGCATTTACAAGCAGGCAAGCAGAAGCTGTGAAACAAGGAGAAACATGCAGAGTGTCATGAATAAATAGCTAGTTGGCGGCTATTCTAGTTCATCTCTCTCTGCTCTGTCTACGCTGTTTTGCTGTAGGAGAAGCAAAGGCCAGTTGGGCTATTTAGGGCTTAGGTCTAGGGCTAGGTAGTTGGGGGTGCCGAAAAGGGGAAATACATATTTTTGTCATCATAATGGGGCCATTGATTAATCGATCTATAGCAGTAGCAGGTAAAGGAGATTAAGAGGATGCAGTGAGACCTGCTGATAGTGATCAGTAATAATTATGGCGATTCTCTGTGATCTCGGCTATCAATATAGGTCCGCTGATATTATTTATATCTGTAAAGATCTTAAACAAAGTTTGCCTTAACATATAACATAATGCTGTTAAGAATGAGCTCAAAATACCCACCGAGATCTCCATTGGATAGCCAACTTTCAGAGCCAACTCTTCCCAGGTTACTCCTCTTCACTCCATTTCCGGCATTTCCATCACCTCTGTGAATTAGGTTAATTTTTCCATATACCGTAAGTCAAGAGATGAACGTGCCGAGGCCAAGCACAAGTTCTGTGAACATCAACGGCTTATCAGTGAGCTCTCCCTATACGTGAGTTCGATAAACCCTCACCGGCTTGGTATATCCCGTTACCTCCAATTTGACATAGCTTATTTCCAATAAATATTGATGTCAAAGTGGCAATTTATGCAAGTAATATGCATCACAAGCCAGGCAAAAATAAGCCGATCAGGAGCAATGACCGACATATCGTTCCAGAGTTGCCATCCGATCGTTATGATTGGGAATAATAGGCTATTCCCCACTTTGTCAGATTGACTCTGGATGTGGTCGCAATATGTACCCCAGTAGTACTCCATACTGCACAGGAATCTGTGGTGGCTGGTTTAGTAGAAATCTGCGAATGTGTAATATATTAAATTGACGGGAGTGGCCATGTCTCTGGTAGGGTTATATATTGCGTGTGACAAAATCCCGGCCGCGGAGTAAAAGGAAAAGAAAAGGCATGGTTGAACCATGGTTGTGTAATGCTTCTCGCCCGAAGACAAGAGTAAAATGTCTAAGAAGTGCTTTTTTTTTCCCTTCGTGACCTTGAACAAAAACTGAAGCTGTGTGGCATATCTACTGGTTAGTAGTCAAGTTTGACATCAAAATGGGGTAGGGTATTGTTATGCAAACTCTGCCACTTTCTGGTTGCAGACTTTTTCTGATAAAGGTAACCGTAACATTATATAATCGGGGGCGGGCTTGTGATGGGTAGCTCTTGACACCTCTTGCCGGGGTGAGCGGCAATATTGTCGAGCACAACTGATGGCTGTATCTCGTCGCAGCGCAGAGTCTTTGATTCCAAAGGTGATAGCCGGGTTCTGTGTATTTGTCTCAGAGCTATCTAGACGCGGGGTCGAGCCTGGTCTGTATGTATGTCGTGGACACAGCAGGAGTAAGGGTGGTACGGTACCAATCCGCAGCCTCTGTGCTAGATTCGACTTTTAAACTCATCCGATGTGGCATCAGCGTGTGCAAATAGCTGGACAAGCTGTCCTAGGCAACAGTCCGTGCCTGGTCACGACGATCTTTCTCTGCATGTTTCCGTCAATGTCTAGTGGCGCACACTCCAGCGAGACGCCGTAGCCCTCCGTTTATTCAAATATTGAAGCCTTATGTTGGAATTACGGCCCGACTGCATGTACGTAGGAGGAGCTCTCGATGGCGCCGTTAACAACTCAGCTATACGTGCAGCTTTTAAGATGTGTTTTAACTTCTCTGACTTTCTCTGGCTCATGATTCCCAGGATGGAAGTATGTGCTCCAACTTCCACATTCCAGGATAATTAGGCTGCCTGTTAATGCTGGTCATCCACTCCAGCTCTGACACAGAAGGCAGAAGCAACGAAAACAAAGGTTGTCCATGGCGTCTTCTCCCCGGTCACGAGCCTGGCGGACGTGGAGAGCTGTGATTAGTTGCAGGGGGGTAACATCTGAAGAAAGGTGTTTCGCACTCGAATGCTATCACATGTAGTGCCATAGTAAACTGCGCTACGAGATCCTCATCAGAGACATCTCCCACGTTTAAGTAGCTGCTTGCGATGAGGACAGTCGAAGCCAGGGCTATCGACATTAAATATGCGGTGTATAAAAATGGATAAGTCGGACGGAATATCGTCATCGGCAGCTTACAAATTGCGATCCTTCATAAAATAGCTCTGTGACTAGCGTGGGTGAATTAAAGTAGGGCTAGGGTGGATTACAGGGAGCCCGGCAAAGGGAGATGGAGCCCCTTGTTTGATCTTGTCTTGTCTTGTCTCGCTGTCTCGTGTGGACAGGGTTTGGCACGCAAGGATCGGGGGTTCCTCGTCGGTGGGACTCCAACATGAAAAATGATTTCTCAAGGCCGACGACGGACGTTTTATCGAGGTCGTTTCTTTCCGTTAATTTTCTATCCCTTCGTTATAGGTGTAAATAAATAATGTCAACTGTGAACGGCAAAAGTTAGAGATGCAGTAGAAATAAGCAAAAACAGCCAGCACCCACCATTCAAAGTAAATGCGAAAAAAAAAAAAAGAAACACGGAAATTCTATTCTTAGATGCAAAAGCATGAAATAAAGTGGAAATAAAATATTATACGGACAGCACGTTCTCGGACGACTGGACTGGCTGCCATGCTGGCGGTACTTTGAAGCTAGAGGAGGAGGCCTGTGAGATGTATGTATTCTGTGTAGCTGTCGAGGGAAGGGGATGGAGGGAGACATGTCGACTGGCAGCTGGGGAGATCATGAGACGAGTAGACGAAGGCGTCAGGACAGGCGGAAAACGGAGTCAAGGAGCAGAGCGAACCCCTGCATGGCGCAGAAGGAGATAGATAGAGGGCGGCGGACGGCGGACGGCGGAGAGATGAGGGCGAGGGCGAGGATGAGGCCGAGGGCGAGGAGGAGGTCGAGGTTGAAAAGTGCCGACGTCGATGTTTCGCACCTGATACACGAAAAAGGGAAAAGCTGCCCTTCTGCCACCGCTCGCCGCCTTTTCGGCTTTCAACTCTACTTCGACTTCATCGAAACATCAACAACCAACAACAACATCACTAGAAGACGACAACGCAAGAGGCTGCAGCAAGCAGAAGGCTCCAGACCCCACTGTCACCGCCGCCAGCCAGTGAGATATCAGACTCGCCTGCGCCAGACAAGGCTCAGCAACTCTCGTCCTCTCGTTTTTGTCGTTGGTGCCGCCTGGCTGCTGCGGAGGAGCGAGAAAGCCACGCGAGAGACGAGAACCAAGCAAAACAGCCACTTGCCGGGGCCCTAGGGATACGAGGCCTCTTGTCGTCGTCTCGGACTGGCTCTTGAGGTCATATACGCTTCAGGGCCTGTTTGGTTTGGTCGATCGATCAGCCCGGACTTTACGGAGTGCACACAGGCTCTGCTTGGCTGCTTAGGGGGAGGAAAATACATATAAGCGAGCAAGGGCATCATCCGTCAGATACGAAAGGAGAAAACTTCCCAGAGCCGCATTGACATCAGCTACAAGTTTGCCGGAATACGGACAACCGCTCCAGTCTTTTTATTCCAGCTTAGCCCTCTCCTTTGATCCTTCGGCTGTTCATTCCCGCAGGCGCAGCGACAGGAGCCACTCACAGAGGAATCAAAAATAAGAAATAATAAGGCAAAAGAGAAGAGGAAAAAAAAACTGGGCCTTGTTGCTTTTCTTGGATACGCTACTTGTTTGACTCCTTGGCTGGGGGTGCTTCCATTGCTTGGAAACGCTCAATATTTAGACTCGCCATTCTTCTTTCTTTTTTCCCCTTCTCTTCCCTCTTTCTCGTCTTTAGAAGACCTCGCTTATCCAGGATATCTCAAGCGGAAGAGACGGACCGATCCCTCTTCCTCTTTTTTTCCTCTCAATCAGATATTCACTCGTTTATATATCTTGCCACTCAAAGGGGGAAAAGACGGTGACGAGGAAAGCAAGCAACAACCAAGCAACAAACTAAACTACCAGTGAGGAAAAAGAAGATTCAAAGCCTCAAACGAGATAGCAAACGACGAAGTATACAAGTTACTACGTCAAAACAGAGCCGACATCTGCCCTTGCTATTTCCTCAAGCCTATGTTGCTCTCTGCATACCAACGCTGAAAGATCCTTCACAATGTTGGCAACTCCCTCCAACAATCCCGTTCGCCGCCTCTCTTCGTTCTTCTCGCTGGGCTCGCCGAAACCTGATGATAAACGCTCTCCCACCAAGTCACCTCATTTACAATCCTCCCGTTCATCTTCGCTGCAAACTCCGCCCCTTCGGGATCAACAGCTCGCTGAAGAGACACAGGCATTGAGCCTCAACCCACGGAATGTCTCTGCTCCTGTCCTCGGTGAAAATGCACACCAAAGCTACACTCCTCCACCACGTCTCTCCAGTTTGAACCCAGATCTAGCAGGTCCAGGTTCGCCAGATACTCACAGCCGTAGCCAGAGCTGGAGTGATGCTGTACCGCGATTCAGCAAATCTGGTTCAAGGCCGGGTTCAGGTCTCGGAGTTTCGGGAGTTAACGTCAACCCTAGCCCTGCGACAATAAGCAAGTCCAAAAAGGGCGCTAAGTCGAAGTTGTCCGGCAGTGATGCGTCAAATGGTAAACGGGCTTGGATCGCTGGAACGGAAAACGATATCCCCTATGATATTAGCACTCTACTTGCAGGAGAGAGGGTAAGTCAAGCTCTCTTGGATTATTATAGAACTCTTTTTTTTTTTAAAAAAAAAGTCATTTGTTTGGCTGACTTGAATTAGGTAGCTGATCTCTGGGATGATGCCGGAGATACCTATGTCTACCTCTTCCCTCAAAACTCTGGTCGACCACCTTCATTCAAGGTTGATTCCGCTATTTTCTCTGCATCCGCGTCTCTCACTCTCCTCGCCCGCGGGAATCCGTCTCCTCCTCAATCTACGCGAGGTGGTCAGGGCCGATCCCGAGATCCTAATTCGTCTTCTCCTCCTCTTTCAGCACAAAATGGATCTAGTTATGACGAGGGCTCCGACGGACAGTCGCAGGATGGCTTTCTAGACGACGAATCACCGGAGTTGCACCTATATATGCCCGTACCCCTTACCGGCGATCTTCCCTGCGGCCGAGAGCAGCCTGTCCTTTCTGCTGATGATGTGGATATGCTAGTACTTTTCCGCAATCTGTTTGCCTTCCTTATCGGCCAGGCGTTGATTGCAACGCCACGCACACCGTCTATCTTCAACATCTTCATGGAAGTGTCCGGACTCCTAGATCGTTTTGGGTTCACCAACCTGGACCAGTCAACATTTGGAGAGACTGCCACCAGCAGCTTTGGCTGCTATTGCGATGAGCTGGATTTGATCGATGTCCGTGCTTCGAGGGAACGTGCCTTGGATGCTATCATCCTTGGCGAACGTATGAAGTATCTCCCTCTGTACCAGGAGGGTTTCACTCACGGTGTTGCAGTGCTTGACGATCTAAAGAAGTTCGAGACGAAGTATAATCTTGTTTCTGCAGTCACTCGAAAGAGATTGGAGCGAGGATATCTAGACCTAGACAACAGGATAAGGACCTGTGCTGTCAAGATTGATGAGTTTGAATTCCCTTCTTTGTTCGCTGGTATTGCCAACTCGAACGTCGCAAATGAGGCCAAAGTCATCCGCTTCAAGAACTGGAAGAACGCATACCTCAGCTATCGAAAGAATGTCATGAACTATTACCGCGCTCGTTTCGGCTCATGGCCTCCCAAGGCCAGCAAGAAGACCCAGTTTCAGGAAAGCGGCCTCAACCGCTTGGTCCTTCGAGAGCTTTACCAGGACTTCTGCGATCTCTATGATATGCTTGCCGACCGTACCGATCTCACCACCCGCTCCGCAGACATGACTACCTCCGTCTTTAAGGCTGAAGACTCGAATTCTACCTCTCAAGCACTGCGACAGATCATGTCGGAATATGACCGCAGTACACCACCAGTTCAGCCACCAATTCCCTTTGACATTCCCCGTTTGCCGTCTATCCATTCCATACGACGCAAGCTAGACCCTAAGCGTGAAGCCAAGGAGCGTTCAAAGCGACTTACTACTGGTGAAGTGAACGAGATTCTGGTCTCCAGTTACAACCACGCAAGCATGAAACCGACCCCTTTCCTGGAGAACTTCATGAACTATGAGCGTCGCGTTGGCCACGGTAAATGCGCTGATGAGCTTGCGGATATGCGTTGTGCACAGTGGCTATTCATGTACGCTGTCATACAATCATTGCCAATGCTTGTTGTGGATGCCCCGGATCTCAGGTGTACACATGGGGTGGAATACTTCCTCTGCATACCACCATGGGGTGGATCTCCATGGTGCGCTTCTGACCCAAAGAATGGCAAGAAGTGGTTTGGTGTTGCTGGTGGGTCTGGCGTCGTCAATCTACCATCGGATGTGGTTGCAAATGGCGTCGATGCTGTCTATAGGCGCAGCCACTGTTGGCAGGTTGCCTTGAAGTGGGCAGACGATGGACAGCTGAACTCGTCTGTTATGCTGGACCCTGCTTCACAACAGCCAGAGGAGCCGCAACAACCACCACCGCCTCCTCCTGTTCCGCAGAGCCAGCCACAATCACCGCAGCAGCAATATCAAGCATACCCTCAGTATCCCCCACCTCCACAGCAATACCAATCACCGCAATTCCCTCAGCAACCACCGTATCCAGCACCACAATACCCGCCGCCGCCGCCACAGCAGCAGCAGTATCAGCCATACCCTCAACCATACCAGCAGCCGCAGTATCCTCCGCAACATTACCAACACTACCAACACCCGTCTCTATCTATTTCAACCCCTGATCAGTCTACTGCCGGCTCTCTCCCTCCATCAGGTACCCCGACTGCCTACCCATCACCCAACCAGGCTCAGAACTTCTACCCATTCCCTTACCCGCCACCCCTCTCATCCACCGGCTCCTCTTCAGACAGGCAACCTACGCCACTTCTTACGCCAGGCGATACTACACCTCCTAATCTCCCCATGCTCAATCTCCAGCCACCAAGTGCGTCATTTGGTCGAGGTGCCGGAACCCCAGGCAACCGTTCCTCGATATACATGGGCCTTGAAGCCTTGCCACTACCAGCTGGCGTTAGCCCCGTGGATACATCAGGAAGATCATCGACTCATAACCCTGACGCAAGCTTCGACCATATTCTACAAGGTGTCTCACAGCCTAAGAAGAAGAAGAAATGAAGAAATTGCTTATCAGAAGGTTGAGTTTGGTTGTGTTTCCTTCTTGAATCTTCCATTGGTTGTTTTGTTTTTCTTTTTTCTTTTCCTTGGCTTTTTTTTACTATACATTGTTGGCGCGTACAATTACATTGTTTACTGCTACAGTTCAGTACTGGATGAGATGAGATGAGGATAAAAATGGTTTTAATTTTTAATTATGCATGACACGCGCGCGCACATACAATACGCTCACGCCCCTTATACACTGACATGGAAGCAAGCAGCTGTTCTTATACTATTCTTCCCTGCCCTTGGGCTTTAGATGTTTCTTTCTTTTTCCTTATTTGTTCCTTGGCTGTTTCCTTTCATTGCTTCCTGTTTGTTGCATTTCTGTACTCCATCATCCGCCCGGCGTTGCACAAAAAGCAAAATAAAAACTGCCGAATTGGATAAATAATAGACATACATTATGAATGATATACATACTATGGGAGGTTCTGACAATATAGGTTATGTTTTTTCGGTATGTTCTATTACTTTGATCTGTTTTTACTTCTTGAAAGGAATGTTGTTATATCTCGGATCGTCCTAGCTGGCTTATTAACTTTGGATAGCTTTGTTATTTCTACCGTGTCGTTGATCATCGGCCCCTCAGATATTGAAGCTAACAATTTCCACCGAGGTCTAGTTACTCTCCTTCCTGGCTCATTACGGACAATCGATGAATATCAGTAACACCAACTAGCTAACTACCGGGCCAACACGAGCAACAGTGTTTGCTATTGGCGATCTGAATCCATACATTATGCGCTGTTCATGACATGGACCGCTCCTTTTTGCGGACCTCGAAACTAGTCCGCAGTGATAGCGGCTGTTTCTAAGAAGTCTCAGTATCCCCAGCCTTCTATTTGACTCCACAATCAACAGCCATCTTATCGATGATGTTGTTTTAAATTGCGCCCAATCAACAGCCTCGATTTACAGTTAGCTTCCTATTTAAGCATATGTTACGGATATGCGGAGCTTTGCGCCAGGGCCACTGCAGGATGAACCAGGATTAAGCATCCAACATCTGACTTAACCCATTACAAGTCGCGGGTTGGATGTTGGATACAGGGCTTGACAGCCCAAGCGTCTCGGACGGAATTCCTTTCGAGGCTGTGTCACTATACCTTGCGCTCAATCCCTTACATTATCAAACACTATGGGCGACGAAAATTCATGATAATACCATGCTGGGGTGGATGGCTCACTTCCCACCGTTTCGAGTTTGGGTGCTTTTCTTTTGGACTTCCTCGTGGTTAAATCCCGTATCAGTTACCATAGGACTCCGTACCTATGGGGCTTGAGACCGGAGTATTTGGTGAAAGTGCAAGCCCTGTAATGGGGCCAAACATGGGCTTTGATATACCAAAATAATGCCTGTAGACGCATTTACGATGTGTACGCAGCAATATCCAACATCAAGGTCGGTTGGACCCTTGTCCAATATACCCGGTTGGGGATTAGGAAGCGTGCGTCCGCCGAGTGAGGTGCAGTAAGGAATGCTGAAGGGCGGTGCAAATGCATTGCCCTTCATTGCGACAATATTATGTTTATAAGGGAGCTCCTATTTCATTTGGAAATGGCTATCCAAATATTCAACGCGCCGTGTTTTCCCTTTTGGATAAGAGAAAAAAAGGGCACACAATATCAATATGAAGATATCTGTTTCCTCGTTTTTGGCGTTTTCTACGCTTATTTACCATTCCACATTAGCCACGACCCTGAAACCATCGCGAAAAGACACTTTAGAATCATGGAACTCTGTTCAAGCACGACACCTATCTCCGGCATATCCTCATGGTGGTCTTCGGAAACGGCAGCCTGGCAAGATACTAGGAAATGAAGCCAGACTCGATTTTGTTGATCATTTCACTCATGTTACTGCACGGTCGAATGACCCGGTTCTTTACGCTACTTTAAACATGCGAAGTAACCATCCTGTTCTATCGATAGAAGATTTAGAAGATGGCCTCGTGGATGTTACCTGTTCTGAGGAAGGTATCAAACTGACCTTCAGCACTTCACAGTATATGGAGCAGGTTAGCAAAGAGCTTGGAAACACCGACGAATTCGTTGCTATCTCATCACACTGGGGATGTAATGAAAAAGAGGAGAGGGCACCGCATATGTGAGTAATAAGTATAACGGTTAAAGTATATATGCTAATGCTGATGTAGGATTACGGGTATCACTGTTAACAAGGACGAGAATAGTGTTCTGCTCTCGCGGAAGGATGTCCAATGGAAAGAAGCATTCCACAGCATCGATGTCTCCTTTTCGCACAAGAAGAGCAGCAGCGTCGTCAGACGTAGTCAAAAACCCGTGAATCCGAACCGGCGCAGAAGTGGCACACGGACACCTGAAGAATCACCAACTTCTACTGTCCGCGACGTCGTCTTCCCTGGTGTGCCTTCAAATATCCCTTATTTAAAGGACGGTGGGGGACGAATTAGTGTTAACCATAAGGGTAGAAAGCTTGTGCCTCTCGACTCGGATATAACCAACATTTTGGGATTGTGAGTTTTCAACCCTGTTCCTGCTAGGGAAGTAATTTGACTGACATTTTCCTAAATCAAGGCCCGAAGGGGTGACACTGTCTTGCAAGGAGTGCAGCATTAATGGAGATGTGGTTCTATCAACGGGCTCATTCTCAATTACTAGCACCGATGATTCCGGCCTGGTCTCTACCCTTGCATTTATCAGCGAAGGACGGGTCGATATAGAACTAAGTAGAGTCTTTGCTCGGATGGAGCTTGAGCTGGCCTTGGAAGCTGGCAAGGAGCTGCTTAACTTCACTGTGCCAATGCCTTCGGCCCCCCTCAGTCCGTTTACAGTGAGTGCTAGGGTGTTAGTTCTTCATATATGTCACTGATTGTCCATACTAATGAATTATAGATCCCCCAAGTGGTTGATTTCGGGGCCATATTGGTCCCTCAGGTGTCTGTAGAGGTCGCTCTGAGCAAGCCATTGAACCTCACTTACGGCGTGGACATCTCAGTATGTTATATCTTCCCACCACGCCTATTCAGACGCTTGAAAGATTGGCAGCACTCATCATAACTATTAGGTTCCAGAGGACTCATTCATCTCACTTAACTTTGGATCTCCTGCAAACTCAACTATCAAAGGGCTGTAAGTGATAGTTCTTAGAAAGATGTACCAAGGGCTATATACTGATAATATGATAGTCAACATACTACCTTTACGGAGATTCCCTTCCAGTCCCCCCAGGCTATCACAGATCTTACTTTCTCTGTCAGCTTCTCACCGGAGATCCTCTTCGGCCTGCGCTCTCCTACCGGAATCATTAGTGGTGGAGCTGGCGTGGCCTTCAACATGCCTCAGGCGTCAGTGAAAGTCAGTCAGCTCGACGACGTCAACGAAGTCTGTGAAAAGATCCCACATGCTCCAGGGATTGAAGACGACATGACCAAGAAAGACAGCCTCTTTGGCAACTTCACGCGTGTTGAGCCATCTCTCGAGTTCAACGTCATCCCTTTTATTGAAATGCAGCTTGACCTACCTCGTGGTGAGGTTCTTCAGCAGCTTGAGGCCACTGTCACTTCTACACAGTTGAGTCTGCCCACTGCTTGTTTGGCCTTCGACCAGAAGATGAGCACATATGGTGCTCCGACCCAGGTTTTGGCAACCTCAACTGCCGGTCCAACTGCCACAGCTTCCGAGGCAAAGAAGGGGGCTGCTGGCCGATCCGGTGTTGCAAATACATGGTCAGTGTTGTGCATCTCTGTCCTTGTATCAGCGGTATTTATTGCTATGTAGCTATTAAGTGACGGTGTCTTATCCCTTTCATTTGGATGTTGATGTTCTATATTTATAACTACCATGGATATAGTTAGTTGCCTTTCTAATAATGACAACAATGCTTCGCTTAGCTAATAATTAATTAATTACACCTCTCGTATCTGTGCATCGCCTTACCCATGCTTGCTGCATCCATCCTGACACTCCTCCCCTGTCATCAAACAGACAACCCAGCACTTCGTCTCAGGGGTAATAAACATCGCCCCCTCGCCCCTTTTCGTCTGATATCTGTTCCCCTTGCCATTCTGTAATGTCCACAACTAGCGAAAGACAGCCGCCCCCTTCATCAGGATCGGCCTTGTGGTCTAGTGGTATGATTCTCGCTTTGGGTCACCAAAGTTGCGAGAGGCCCCGCGTTCGAGTCGCGGCAGGGCCCCTTTTTTTGCTCTTTTTGCAGTACTTCTTTTTAATCGTCTTTAACTCGTTTGATCCACTGGTGCGATTGCTTTTCTTTTCTTTTTTTTCCTTGGTGCGAAAAGCCCTGGAAAGAACTGCGAGTCGGTGGTGATGGAGCAGGAGAAAGTGCTGGTCAACTGACTCATAACTAGCTGAAACGCCAACAAGACAACGCAACAACTCAACTGCTCGCAGGTGATGGTTAGAGTCATCGACAGGGCCAAAAGAAATAACTATGACTCGGTTTTACGAGTATCAGAGCTCACCTCCAGGCTGGTTCTGAGTCGAAGAGCAAGAATAACCACTCGCAAAGGGCATTCTGGCGTAGAGTGAGCTGCGTGGTCCTGTCTGTGGCCCTTGTGCATCAACTAATAATTACAGGTGGCTGAAGGGAGGAACTGCGGTCTCTGACTCAGTGGCGGAAGTATCAGGGCTGAGATCGAAGGACTCAACAGATGAGCGTGTCACTATTTAATATAGTGAAGATCTGGCAGGTCTATCATGATCGGTAGACGGATCAAATACACTCCTTTGTCCCCTTATCACCACGACTGTCAGATACCACCACATTGACAGTAATACCTCATGGCTGAGCAGGAAGAACCTCCCACACCGAGGAGCTTGTCTCTTCTATCTTTTCAGACAGCTCTTTGCATCGTCCCGCCGCGACACCTATGGAAGGATATCGACCGCCTTAGGTCTCTATATGACCAGGCTTATGGGAGATGGCCCCCGCATATCAACCTTATTTATCCCTTTGTACCGACAGATAGGCTACCGGATGTCTCTAGATTGATACAGGAGAAGCTGAACTCTCTAAGTCAATCATCCGAGTACCAGAATATCACCATACAATCCGGACCGGCAGGCTACTTTCGCAACCGTGGAGGCAATACAATCCACCTCACTGTGATCGACCGGGCGGCGGACCAACTTCGTCATCTCAGGGCCTCTATTCTAGATGCACTCGGCCACCATGGTCAAGAAGAGCGAGATTACTGTCCACACCTCACCATCGGCCAGACAAAGGCAGATGTGGACTTGCGTGACTTTTTACTTGACAAAACTAACATGCTCCCCGCTGCTCAATGGGATCTTGACCATCTAGTGGTTCTGCATCGTGAAAAGGGCTTTGGCGGAAGTTCAGCGAGCAAAATGGTCATTTGGGATGCCATCGACCTATCCGGCAATAATATGTCAACTTCTGATGAGCTTACCCGGTTATATAGCGGAATGTCTCTTCATGGTCTGAATGCAGAAATCGATGAATCGAAATCATCCACTGAACAAATGACGACGTACGAGTATTCACCTGGTGGCCGTTCATGGTGTCCTATAACGGAGCCACCTCTGGAGCCAGTGAAGGTGCGGAGTAACAACTTCACCGTCTCAACATACAATGTTTTGGCAGAGTTTACCAGCTCCCCTCCTCGTGACAGATATGAGGCCCTGGTCCACAATATTCTTTCTTCAAACGCATTGGCAGATGTTCTGGTTCTCCAGGAAGTTTGTGACAATTTTCTTCTCTTTCTGCTTTCTCATCAAGACATCCAACGTCGATATCCTTTTGTCACTCATGGTCCGCCGGGTCAGGGGGGTTCTCCTCCTCTTCCCAGTCTTCGGAATATCGTTGTTTTCTCACAGTGGAGGTTTACTTGGGCATGGCTGCCATTTGATGAACGCCACAAGGGTGCAGCTGTCGTAAAAATCGATGGAATTGGGGATTTACAGTCCTCTCTACCCCTAGTAATTGTTGCTGTTCATCTAACCTCAGGGTTGAATGATGCTGCAGTTGACAGTAAACTGTCACAGGTAACAAGCATCATTCATCTATTGGATAGTGACTATCACAGTAACCCTAGTGTTGTTGCAGGCGATTTCAACTTCGTTACTTCACAAGAGGTTATTGATGAAGCCCTCAGACTCAAGATGATCTCCCCTGCTGGTCTCGAGAAGATACTAGGCTTCGATTGCTTGCTATCCAAGGCCCATTTCATGGACGGATGGGTTGTAGCCGGCGAAGGACCTGAAGACGCTGGCATTAATGGCAGGACCGGTGAAGGTGAACAGGGAGCGACATTTGACCCCATTTTGAACCCACTTGCAGCTCAATATTCGGTCAATGGCAGACCCCAAAGATATGATAGAATCTTTGTTCGCCAAACCGGTAAAACCAGTGTTACTGGCTTCAACTTCTTTGGCCTACGCCACGCTCTTAAAGGAGAGGATATGCAAATATCCGAGTTTGCGAGTGATCATTGGGGAATTAGGGCCGGTGTTCAAATAGGTGAGAGCTTGACCGAGAGCAAATCCAGTGAATCGGTCTCCCAGGAAGCTCCGCTGCAACTGGCTAGTTTACCGGATCCTTTGTCTTCTTTAGATGAAATAGTATCGTCTTTGGAGCATTCCTCAATGCTACCTGGCGAAGAAGACTTTAAAACTCGAAAAACAGCCGTTGATACCCTGTCTCAAATCCTAACGGAACCAATCCATGACTCTAGCGGTAGAGATATCAAAACACCACTCGTTTTGATTCCTGTTGGATCCTATGGCCTGGGCACTTGGGGTCCACGTTCAGATGTTGACTGCTTGTGCATTGGTGCCATTAGTTCTACCACGTTCTTTGCCCTTGCAATACAGAGGCTAAGAAAAGCATCTGCTCTGGGCATTCGTATAGTGAGGAAGGTCAAGGCTGCAACAGGAGTAATGCTGGAGTTGCAATCGGGACATATCAAACTCGATCTACAATACTGCCCGGCCGCAAACGTTGCTGAAAGGTAAACATTTGACCTATTCTTAAATATTAACAACCTTTGAAACTTATCATTGATTTATGTTGTCTATAGATGGCAGGAAATCTCTAGGATCCCATCTCATGATCCAATATTCGACTTGTCACTTCACTCCTTGTCAAAACTTCAGCCGTACAGAGACCAGGAGTATATCAAGCGAATGGTACCGGACATGTATGTGTTCCGCCTTGCTTATCGGTGCATTGTCCAGCGGGCCAAATCGTCGGGAGTTTATTCTTCCAAATTTGGCTTACTAGGGGGTATTCATATCACCATGATGCTTTCACAGCTTCACCAACTTGTTCATGAAAAATTTGGCCGAGTCACGGTTCCGGAGCTGGTTTCCATGTTCTTTCATTATTATGCACATTTTGACTGGAAGAACAACATGGTAGTCAGTCCAGGCGTTCAGACGAGATATCGTCGGTCATTAAGAGAACCAATGGTGATACTAACTGTTCACGTACCTACGATTAATGTCGCTAGAGCTGTGACTGCGCCGTCTCTAAGAACGATTGTTTCTGCATTTAATCGAGCGGAAGAGCTTATGGGTGAAGATGGAGCAAGGTGGTCCAATATCCTAAATGATATCAGCATCAGTCACAATAACCAAACAGGCGCTGAAAAGTTCCTGACAGCTTACAACAGCTACATCAAGGTCAATGTGCAGTACTGGGGCCCTTCTCCGACTCAAGCGAGTTCCCTCATCGGCTGGCTTGAGTCCAGATTCTTCCGTCTGCTCAACGGTAAGCTAGACCTTGCTGGCAAACTATAGGTTATATTCCAGTACTAAAACTATCTAGATCTCGACAGACAAGCTCTGGGTATCCATGGGCGTATTTGGCCTGCTCGGTTCACATCAATAGACACCACCGACAGCGAGAATGATGGAGAGACTGAGTATCAAGGCTGCTACTTAGTTGGGCTGGAACGAATGTCAGATGCCGTGAGTACGGTAGCTAATAAAGAGGAAGCCCTGAGGATTCTACAAACTGCTATTAGCCAGTTCACAGCCAGCTTACACGAAGAGGACAAATATTTTGACTCTACTGTCTGCTGGATTGATGCCACTCTTGTCAAACAAGCCGAACTAGGTGAACTCAAACTTGACTTAAGAAACTGGGGAGGGCAGGCAGGAGTGGATCAGATGGTATCCGATTTCTCAGAGGATGATGACGAAGCTGACGATCCTGACGAATTACTGGAGGAGGGCCAACTTAGCGATAGATCGAAACTGCATTCCAAGCATGCAACTTTGTCGTCCAAACCAGTTAGCGCCAACAAACTCCGGCCAGCAGGAGACGTCATCAGCCGTCTGCGTTGGGATCCTAAGATCGATTTCGGAGATTACCTAGTAGGTTACGAGGATCGCTTTTTGGGCGTGAAGGAAATGCCTCTCTCAAGATGGAAGTCTGAGCAGACGGACGAAGAGTTCATTCCCCAGCACCGAATCGTCTATTTCAAGAGGAAGAGTGACGGAAGACGAGTCTGGGATAGGGAAACAAGGAAAGACGAGATTTTTGGGAGCGGAGCTGGTGGATGTGACTGAATTTCAGTTATGCATCAGCTGGGTCTACGAATAGGCACTTTGCAGATGCAAACATGGAGATATATCCCCAGTGTTACGTTTGACACCGGTGTTATGGTTAATATTATGAAGAACATTGTTACCCTTCTAATGTGAGGAGTTCCGCATATTTTTGATCTTGCCTTGCCTCTCTGTTATTCTTTTATCACCACCTACTTGCTTGCATTGAACAACATGATACTTTGCAAATGGAACAGTTCGGCTGATGACTGTAACCGTATACATCAGGCACCTCCTCACATGGCTATTCACGCACTCCTGTGTTCTCGGCGGCCCAACAAGGCCCAGATTTCACAGCCTTATATATCAATGCCTCTCAGTATCTATAAAACCACCGGTCAATTCACCTGTATACTCCATTCGATACTGATATTTGAACTGCAGTGGCGAGGCTTGTGACTTGCCCACGATTTCCAGCCCAACTCTCCTTCTATGTGTAATCATGCCCTTACAACAGTGATGGGACCTATATATGCGGCCTGAAACTCGACGGGCGGTTGACTCCACCAATTCAAAGGCGGGCTGGTGTGAGTGTGTCCAGTGTGTCGAAGATAGGTAGTATCCCCCTCCTGTGTGCACAGCGGCATTAATTAACCGGTTGGTTAACTGTTACGGGGGTGAGAAAGTGTTGGAACACGGGGCGTCCGTGGATTGGAACGTTGAAAAACATCTCATTTGATAACTAAGATACACAAATTGATACCGAAATGAATTAACTAACTAGTTATTAGTTGCAACAAAAGGATCGGATAAAACGCAATATAAACAGTCTACCCCGTGCTAAACGATACAGCCCCCTTCCACCCTGCTACACTTGGCATCCCCATCGGTCTAGGGCATCATTCCTCTCATACAACTAATCCTACTCTTTGGCATTAGCGGAACTTGTTGAAGATAGCAGCATACTTGTTTCCATTGTCACGATACCCGTTAACCACAGTCGGCTTGTATCCCTTCTTCCTCCAATCGTTAAATACCTTCACGTATTCGTCTGATGTCAATCCCCATTGACACTCCGGCTTAACAGCATTGCCATCCATGTGCTCGAAGATTCCAGCAAACCGAACCTCCGTGTCGACATTGTATGGGCTGATTTTCACTGGGTAGTATCCGTCTTTTCTCGCCTGGTCGAATTTGATCTTGTACTCGGCAGCAGTCAAGCCAATGTACACTCTCTGGGGAGGTCCAGGCACTTTCTCCCACACGCTAGCAAACTGCTGCTGCCGCTCACTGAAGCCATACCCGCTCAGACTTTTAAGTCTGTAGCCATTTTTAGTGTAGTCTTTCAACGCCTTTGTGAACTCATCGCCGGATTGATTGATATGGTCCGCCCATGGGATATCATTGCGGTTGTGATTCCAGATGGTAAAAAAGCTATTTACGCTTACACCAGTATGACCATCAATCTGGACAAGTCGGAACCCCAGCTGTTTTTTTTCCTTGGCAACATTCATATAATCATAGGTCGTTTGTTCGTAGTATGTATGCCACGATGGATACTTTTCGGGATTCTCGACAACGATATTGTATGAAACGTTGCCGTGAGAGTTGGTGAAACCAGATAAATAGGTGGGAACCCACTCGAGTTTTATGTAGCCATCGAATTTGTTGTGAAAAGTTTGCTCATCGAGGCCGTGGAAAGATGCCCACTCCCCATATCCTTCAACAACAGGGAGGAGGAGGGTGGCTACAGAAGCCAACAGAGCTATGGCGGAGATCTTCATGATCTTGAACAGGAGATGGTGCTTTTCAAAATGAGGGCTGGATGAATAGAGAGGGTAAGATGAGTGGTGTGTGTGTGTGTGTGTGTGTGTGTTCTCTTGACTACGAAGGAAATATCATCATCTTTATATAGGCCGATTAGGCCTATCAACCTGGTGGTAAACCTCTCAAGATCCCTTCAGGTTGACAAGCAGCAAACCCCTCGAGATCTTCATGTTAGTATCTTCATGTTGGAAGGCTATAAACCCCTCATGAGTTCTTTGGAACTTTCCTTCCCTCCATCAACCCAATCCAACGCATCGTTCCTGGCTATGATATCGAGGCGCAGGATAGTCACATCGGGGGATATGGCATAGTAAAGATGATGGATGTTATGCAGTATTCGCATTGGATGTTTACCCCTGGTTTAGTTATCCCAGGAAATTGATATCTGTATGGAAGAGTTGTTTGTCAATGCCCACCTGGGGCTATGGTGGGCGGGTAGATACTCGCAAACTGATAATCCAACAATTGGTTAAACCAATTGATACCAACAGTTAACACCAACAATTGATACCAACCGCCAACAATCGACACCGCAAAGCTTAACTAATTTACTCTACAAACTTTGTTCAATCTCTATATGCGGCATGAGAGGCCATGATGGAGGATATGAAAATAGCAAGGGCGCGGTTATTTTACTATTTTTAACGTGAATCTCAGCGGATTGGGTTGGTAACCAAGTATAGATATCGTGACAACAAGGTGGCTTTCTCTTCCTTATGGATTATCCCGGATATCTTCTAGGAACCCGCAGTTTAAACTACGTAAGAGGATGAGGTAAAACGTATAACCATCTTATAGATGGTTGTTATAAAAGGACTCCTGTCAGCGGGGGCTGTGTGGTCGAGCGAGGAGGAGACGACACAGTTGCACACCAAGGAAGTTGTCAATTAGAACCTGCTGGTTGGGGGCCGGCCATCTGAGACTGCAGGGGTCTAGGCTCAAGTCCCCCGCTCATATTGCTATTTTGAACGGTCATTCAATTCAATTGGTACGGACGAACGGTGATGGCAAAGCTGGAAGAGAAAGGAAGAAGATGGAGAATGCCCAAAGGGGTTTGATAGGTAAACGGCTGTGAGCGAGAGTATAGCTAGCAGCCCATGGCTATCCTCATACAGAGTATACAGACTGGAACATGGCAGCCTCTGGCTGTTCTCGTATCAAATAGTTGGTTATACAAGCAGCATCGAGCATCTATTGTCACCAACTGCGTTCCTTATACTTCCTAACTAGGCAGTGAGACGATACTAGCCAATGAAGCTACTTCTTCGTGTTTAGTGCTTCGCGTGGTGAGAATTAGTTACTTGATGCCTCATACAAAAAGAATGTAAATGCCGTCCATCACCCATCGCTGCACTGCCACTCTCCAGGGTATTTACACCCAATCAAAAAAAAAAAAAAATTCATTTCAGGGATAAGATAATAAATAAATCTCATAAATAGGCAGACCCGCAATTCCTCTTCTGACGAGCATTACTCCTGAGGGATTGTACTTCTGTAGCAATAGCGGGGCATGTAAATCTCTCGGCCTGCATGCGACACATCAGCTGAAGAGTGACATATATATACGGGGAGATGTGTACTTAAAAAGCCATGCCCTTTTCACCCTGTACTCCAGTTCGTAACTCAGTCAATCTACCGCATCACTCCGTACCTGACCACTTCTTAAATTCCAATTCCTACTTCCGGATAAAATGGCCATCGAGACGACCAGTTTCTATAGTTCGCCTTACCTGGCAGAACTTTACGAGCTCCAGTGGGCGGGGCCAAATATGACGGACGTCGACTTGTACGCAAAGGCATTCATGGACGCGGTCACTACAAACAGGACAATAACCCCAAATCATCCGGCCACCTTTCTTGAACTCGGTACTGGCTCTGGACGTGTCATTCTCGGAGTCTTGAAACGAATGGCAGAGGCATCATTCGACATGAGCAATATAAAGATGATCGGCCTAGACAATTCGCAAAACATGCTGGATATGGCTGCCAAAATGGAGTCTAGGAACAAGGGGAGTTCTCCTGTAACCTGGGCGTTGGGAGACGCGCTGGAACTCGCCCAGTTACCAATTTTCTCACCTCGAGCAGGCGAGCATACCACTGTCGACTTCCTGACCTTCCCACTCAGCAGTATCGTACACATGGTTGAGGATGGACAGTTGGAGCGGTTGTTGCAACAAATCGGCAAGGTTCTCACTCCCGGAACTGGTAGAGCCTACATCTCCCTTTTCAACTGGTTCCTGATCCGACCCGACGACGACCTTCAAGCCCGGATGGACGACGAGACAATGCCGCCACCGGCAGGCTACCCGAGTGCAGAGTTTCCCAGTATCCAGTATTACAGCGAAATGAAGAAGAGCGAATACCAAGGGGACCTTGTGATTTACCGCCAGGAAGTCCAAGTCTTTGAGCAGCGAGAGAACTGCGAGAAGAAGGAGATTGAGCGCTACCATGTTACGCAGACTCTCAGGTGGTTTTCCGAGAATGCACTTCTTGCGGCCGTTGAAGCGGCAGGCTTGCAGGTCGTGGAGCGAAGAATGGAAAACACTGGCATTGATGAGGAAAGCCCCGATTTCGTGGAAAACATTTTCATTTTGCAGCGGATGTGATTTTTGATAATATGATGCTACTCCGTATCACCCTCTCAATTGCAAGTTAGAACGCAGGTACGGAGTATCCTCAGTGTGTATATTTCATGTAAATACTGTGAACAAAGATATCTGCCGAAAATATGCAGGCTGTTGTGATCTGTCGCCAGCCTGGAGGGAAACGTCGGATTCGGGAGCAATTTGTTTGTTGTTCTTCATTTAAAGTTCGGGATGACGGGAGGTGGGCCGTGTTTAAGCTTAAATTGAAAATGCTGATTGGCTGAAAAAAGACCGGTTAATGTAAACTTCCCATTGGCCAACTTCTTCTCGACTGCATCCCGCTAGGCCGGTTTTTAAGCAACACGAACGACCTGCTCGCTTCTCGATGCTCAGCACCAACATATTATTATTATTATCTATGGGCGTTGGGATTTTTGATGTGGCTGTTTTTATTAATACGGCCTAGCCTATGGCCATCAGGTGGACACGGCCCCATAATAGAACTCTCACACGCTAAAAGTGCGACCGAACGACAATCCGGCCTAGCTTGCCTTGAAAGGTATCTTCGTGTTAAAGACAGGCCAACACATAACTATCTATGAACATGGCCCCAAGAAAGCTAAACCTTGAGCTTCCGCAATGATTATAATCAAGGGGCGCATACGGCCTTGTAGGTGGTCGGTTTCGAGGGAGAGGCTGTGTTTCGTATGGCGACTGGCGATTTATATATAAGACCCCAAGCCAACCCTGGCAAGCATCAATCCCTGCCATCGCGAATGAGCGAATAACCCCCGGCTCACCAAGGAACCGACGTCCCTAGGACCGTCGTAGAAAACCTTTTTCGGAGAACAACGGGTCGTCCTGGTTCCAGTTCATATCCTTACAGCGGCAGAGAGTGACCTACTTCGTTTTATCTGCTTCCCCTCCACCACCGTGAATTTTGGGCTAGTTATTGGCTGTGAACACAAGGAGCGACGATCGGAATCCGACGAAAACCATGAACCAGTCCACAGACCTTAAGCCACAGCGGCTCGAAATGAAAGTCCTAGCACTAGGCTTGCCGCGGTCAGGCACTCTTTCAATGGCGAATGCACTTTCTATCCTAGGGTACCAGAACGTTCACCATACATTGACGGACAACGATGGGGGTGAAGCGGCATGGCGGGTGTTCAATCGCGCCGCTGACGCAACTTTTCCGGACCTTCCAACATACCACGGACGGGCCTTCAGCCGGGAGCAATGGGATGAAGTGTATGGTGGCCGTGAAGCAGTCACCGAGGCTGCCGCCTTATTTGGACCCCAGCTTATCAAGGTGTACCCGGGTGCCAAAGTCATCTTGGTTAAGAGGGACTTTGATCGGTGGTACACTAGTCTGGATAGAGTAGTGTTGCAAGGACTCTGGAGCCCGATGGCCGCTGTCTTCTGTGCGTTCATACAGCCGATCTTGGGTAACTCGGGTGTTTCGGCAATGAGAAAGGCCTTGCTTGGCTTCTTTCAAGCGAGAGACGTCGAGGGTATTCGGAAGAATGTGCGTGTTGTTTACGATAGGTACTACAGTGAGATTGAAGAGCTTGTACCGCCGGGACAGCTTCTTCATTACCGGATGGGCCAGGGCTGGGAGCCACTATGCGGATTTCTTGGAAAGCCAGTGCCGGATGCGGAATTTCCGTGGGCCAACGAAGAGGCTGAACTTATGAAAAAACGTGAAATAATGCTTCGGGGACATCTCATGGCTGTCGGTGGTATACTTGGCCGCTGGGCCTTGGGAGTCGGGACTGTGGGATTTGCTCTTTGGATATGGGCAAAGAAGACAGGAATCTTGACCTTGTAAGATGTGAGATATAATGTGATACATAAAGGTACAAAGTATATATATATATTCATACGACACTAATGGCATATGAATACTCAGCTGTTGGAAGCTTTCTTCAAGCATATCTTTGATAGCCATGTAAGCGTGAGTGGAACTGAATGGAATAAGTAGTTATGCGATAGCCTAGTTACTTTTATCATCATGTTTCAAGACTGAAGCTTTCCTAACAATCGGTCAACCCATATCATCGTAGAAGAAGAAAACCTGAACGCCGTCACCGGGAGAGTTTCCTATCTATCAAACATTACCGTTCCCCTAACACCAAGACAAACATGACGACATAGCAAGACATATCGCTCTCAGCCAATAACCACGAAGATTATAGCTCCTTTTTCAAGAAATGTTCCGGTTTATGTGTAGTCTCATAGTCAACGTGGACGTAAGCTCGTTCGACATCCGGAAGACTCTCCAACTTTGTCTGAAGTTCCTCCGCCACATCATGAGTGGCCTCCAAAGACTCATTTCTGTCCATGACAATGTCGACTTCTACGAGTAAGCGAGGCCCGGAAGTGTATGCACGTACGGTATCGATAGCGGTTATCAGAGGAGAATGAGTCATGGCTATGGTAGAGTTAGCCTTTGAACATGTGCAATAATGCTGGTGGTTAATGGTACTTACAGATATAAGTGATGAGCTGTTGCATCTCAGTATCAGCCGTGACTCCGATTAGAAGCTGAAACTCGGAGTAGGCTGTCTTGGTCCACAAGCCTGAAATAAGAACGGACAACAAGAGAGCACCGGCAGGATCAATCCACCACCGAAGCTTACTTCCGCCCACAGAAGTCAAAATACCCAATCCGTTGATGAAGAGATCATTCCTGTGGTCTTCCCAAAGAATTCTAACCTGGGAATACTGGTTGCGGATCGCCCAGCAGTAAAAGAAGAGAGTCAATTTTGTAGCAAAAGCGATACACACGGATATGGTGGCCGTAAGGTGAAACTGATTTGTATCGGAAATGCTACCGCCAACAAGGTCCTTGATCGAGAACGCAATAAGGATAAAGGAGACCGCAGTCATGAGGAAACAGAAGAAGATATTCCCCGCTGTTTCGATTCGGGCTTTTCCAGCTGGGAATTGGCGGGCGTCAACTCGTTTGACGGCCTTGTGACAGAGAAGTAAAGTCAGGTTCGACATGGGGTCAAATATGGCGTCTGCCATCGTGGTAAACAGGGACAGGGATCCTGAGGATATGGCAGCATAAACCTGTAGAATGGAGAGGATCACATTGGCGGCAAAGCTACCGTAGACAGCGATCTTGTACTTGAGTTGGTTCTGCTCATTCAACTCCTTCGCATGTCTGATATGCTCGTCAACCGGTTTCAAAAGACGCTCAATCTTGTCATTTTGTGACCGATAGAATGATTGTATCCTCCTTCTGTCAGCGTTGGTTCGACCTTTCTGCTCGCTTGAAAGACACTTCCGTCGCCTAGTGGTGTTTGCTTGGATCTGGTCGATCTCTGCGTTCGACTTTATCTTGGATGAGAGCTGGAAGGGATCATTCTCACGGGTGTAGCGAGGAGGGCGTTGGCCTTCCTCGTCAGACCCTTCCATCGCATATGGGATATGCGGCGCTGGCAGTGGTTGCTCAGCTATCTCGATGGCCTCGATGCCTGTGCTCATGCCTGAAGGGGGTGTTCTGGGGAGATGATGTTGATAAGTCTCGGATCGGCTATGGAGGGCATAGAGGCTCGGAGTTAATGGATGAGGAGGAGACCGAGTGCCGTCCGCCATGGTTTGTTTGCTTTTTATTGTTGTGCAAGCTAGATTGGGCGTGATTAAAATGGACGCGAGTGCTGGCTCTCTCGAGCGACGTGACAGGTCCAGCCGTTTCCCTTGTCCGCGAGTCAGGATTCGTGTGCTGCGTTCGTTTGTCTGTGCCTAAACGGTGGTGTACGGAGGGTGGGGATACGTATTCTGCATGCGGTGAGGAAAACGCAAGGGAGGCTGTAAGTATCCGGATCATCCGTTGGGGAAACGCAGCAGTCAAGAAAAGAAAAACGAGATCCTTTATAAAGCCCCGATAGAGCTGTCCAAGCTGTGGCTATGCAGGTCCTTTTTTTCGCTTTGCACAAGAAGAAAATGACAGGGATTTCGAAGCTGACTACTGTATCTCGGACCGCCGAATCCGGCTTAGCGCTGATCTTGGCTTTGCACATGATTTGATTGATAAGAGATAAGCTTAACCTTGCAAACTCTGATAAGACGTCCAAAATTACGTAAGGAAAGTCTTTCTTTTTGGCGGAGTATTTCACTAGTCAGTCTTTTTTATTTATATATGGCAGAAAGGGGGAAGGAAAGCAGATATAGTACTCCGTATATTAGCTATTATTATTACTCGAATACCTGTTATGCATACGGAGTACGGAGTAGAGGATGAAAGAAGGGAGAGGCACCGTTGTGGCACGTGACTCACCGCGGGATAGCGAGCGGGATGAGCCTGGGTCTGTGCGAATAATGTTGAGATCTCGACACAACAAGTTTACCCTTAATTCGTGTTCGCTCATGACGTTTACTTCTCCACTTTGATTACCGGCAGCATAAAATGTAAGAAGTTGCCGTTGACGAAGCTCTCACCAGATTTCTCGAGCCAGTGGAATGAGTACGGAGTACAGAAACGGGAGTTATTCCGTTAATATTTAGAGCCACTTGTGTTTCTTCAGAAAGGAATACGAATCAACATAACCACCAATTCTAATAACCTGCAACCTCCCTCCAGAAGTCCATCCGGATGTCCTAGACTAGTAGGAGAGTATGAAAGGTGAGGAGGGTCCTTAATTAAGATTTCGGCTCCGCGCTTTAATAAAAAAAATAATCTACCAATTTAACTAAGTTAAGTGAATGGAAGTAGTTGTAGAACCTCAGGAGAAATTGGTACCTCGGCGCTTCTCGGTAATACCTTAAAGCTTATTCACTAGTTGGTTGGTTCACCCGCATCTTTATCAAGGAACTGCACATCCAAAGTTCATAGCCCAATAACAATCTATACAGGGCCTTAAAGCGGAAGAAAACGATATTAGGAGTCCAAAAGAAGATAACTATATTCTAGCTCTGTATTGCAGTTATGTCCGAGCCTGCGTACAAGGAAATTGCCCGCCGGAAGAAGGCACAGCTGGAGTCAAAGATCCCGCAAAGTTGGCGTCTCCCTGCCCAATGGATACCCGCTGGCACTCTTTCAGCCGAAGAATCGATCACAAACACTCGTTCTTATGATCAGTCAGATATTACTGACATTCCAAGGCGGTGTGGCCTGCTCACGGTGAGAGAACTCGAAATCACGGAGACCTGGGATGTCAAGGGACTGCTTGCAGAAATGGCCAACGGGGAGCTATCCTGTAAGGATGTCTGTCAAGCGTTTTGTAAAGTACAGTCACGAATCCTTTATATCTATATTGAAGGGAAACTAACGTGACTATAGCGTGCTGCTGTTGCCCACCAGCTTACTCGCTGTCTTACGGAGCCGCTATTTGATGACGCTATGAAACGTGCAGAGAAACTAGATGACCATTTCAAACGTACAGGAACAACATATGGTCCTCTACATGGCTTACCAATATCCGTCAAAGACACGTTTGATATCGAAGGGGTCGATTCTACCACTGGAATAGCGTCCCTTGCATTCAAACCAGCAAAGCAGAACGCTCCTTTGGTGGACCTACTTTACTCCCTTGGAGCAGTCATCGTGGGGAAGACGAATGTTCCACAGACTCTGGGTGCCCTGGATAGTGTCAACAATCTCTTTGGCCGAACCCTGAATCCATTGAATCGGAAGCTGACTGCTGGAGGTAGCTCTGGAGGAGAGGCTGTTATGGTCCTAATGCGAGGCTCTATGGTTGGCATTGGAACTGACGTTGGTGGCAGCATCCGTGTCCCGGCTATGTGCGAGGGACTCTATGGTTTTAAACCTAGTGTTGGCCGTGTTCCGTATGGCGGGCAGGAGTCTTGTGCTTTCCCCGGGCGTAGCAGAACAAGTATCCAAGCTGTTGCGGGACCTCTTGCAAAGTCTATGGATGATATTGATGCTGTAATGAAAGAAATAGTCCCTCGGTCAGCACTTTGGGGCGAAGACTGTATTCCGGGCCAGTGGGCACCGCAAACCCCGGGAAAGTCATCTAAGTTCACTGTTGGAATACTACGATCCGATGGCCGAATTCCCCCTCTGCCTCCTATTGCGAAGGTTTTAGAAGAGGTTGCTCAAACTCTTCGAAACACTACCGGAATAGAGGTTGTCGATATACCCGTCCCGCCTGAACTAGGGGAATGCCAGGCTGTAGCAAACGCTTTAATGGGTGCTGATGGTGGTCAGCATATGATGAACCTGCTGGAAAGCACTTCAGAAGAACTCATCCCATGGTTAAAGGGCCGAGTTAAACGAGGAACTCCAAAGACTATTGATGAACTTGCAAAGATCCAAGCAAAACGTTCCCGTATTGAAAGGCAACTCATGAAGATGTGGACTGTCTCTGGAACTGACAAGACTCGGCGTGTTGATGCTATAATCCACCCCGTCGCCCCCCACCCCGTGCCAGAGATTGACCGATATAATGCTGTTGGATATACTTCATCTTTCGTCCTGGTCGATTATCCTGCTGGTAATCTCCCTGTCCGCAGCTTTACTGAACGGGACCTGGAGGCTGGTAGAGAGATGGATTCTAAAGTCCTGTCTAGCTGGGATAAGAGAAACAGAGAACTATGTACGTGCCCCTTTATCTCGCAGGCCAATAATTTTTCTAACCCGTGCTTAGGGAATTCATCCACCGTTAATCGCCGGGTCTACCTCAATTCACCCCTATCAATCCAAGTCCTTACTCCGAGACTACATGATTATGAACTCTACTACGCAATGAACATCATTGATAAAGCTTTAAAGGACGGAAAGCGTGTTTCGTCGCAACTATAACTAGGAGGCAGTTGTTTTTGTAGAGCCATTTTGAGCCGTTTTATGAATACGTCATTGTCTAAACAATTAGTACTTGACGCTTGGTTTATATATATTGAACTCGGGGAATTTCTAAAGAGTATTTATATCTTCCCTTTGAGTACAGATCCTCCATCTGTAGTAATAACTGCACCGTTGATATGGCTCGCTCCTCTACCAGCCAAGAATACAACAAGCGCGGCGATATCCTCGGGTTCTCCCAACTTGCCATTTGGTGTTTGTGCAGCCATTGCCTTGACACCTCCCTGCATTTCTATGAGACCATTTGCCATCTTAGACGGGTAAAAGCCGGGTGCAATAGCGTTAGTAAGTATATGCCTTGGTCCAAGAGCGACGGCAAGGTTCTTTGCCAGGTGTATGGCGGCCGCTTTAGATGTAGAATAGCTAAAAGTGGCATTGTCGCCCATGGTACCTATGCCAATCCCAGCAACGGAGGCCGTGATTATCACACGAGAAGTCGATTCGATGGATGCCGACTTTTCCAGCAGTGGCGCAAATCTGTTGTCAGAATGTTAGTTTTTTCCCTTTTCCCCCTGGGCAATGTAGACGCACTTTTGCACAGTGTAAAAGACACTCTTAACATTCAGATCCATCACCTTCTGGAAGGCGTGTTCAGGGTGTGTATCGAACTTCTCACCCCAGGTAGCTCCGGCATTGGCAAAGAGGATATCAACATGGTCTGTTGTCTTGCTGACCTCTGCCACTAGGCGCTCAATTTCGGACATCTTGGAGCTGTCTGCTGGCACAGAGTATGCCCGAGCACCAGGCCGTTTGTTAGGCAGCGCATTAAGGGCAGCAACAGCTTCGTCACAGGCTTTCGCTTTTCTGGAAGTAATGTACACCTTTGAACAACCGGCTTGTAGAAGGCTAGTGTTAAGCATCACGTTAGCAAGGAAACCAGAAGCAGCAGTATTCTTGTATCACTATAAGCTTACCCGCTAGCTGCATGCAGGCCTAGACCTCTTGAACCACCAGTAACAACGGCGACTTTCCCTTCAAGAGAGAAGATGTTTCCAAAATCCTTCAGTTTCACTTGTGCTTCGGCAGCCATGTTGCTCAATGTAACATATATCAAAGGGGCTTGGTTGTTAAATAACAAGGGTAATTGGTTCTTGGTGCTGTATACAGGCCTGAACGTGAGTTAGCAGTGACCAAGCGTAATCTCATAGGTAGGAGAGGTACTAACGGCGCCGACTATAATAATAATATCTGCTTCTTATCACATCTTGAAACGCGGCCAAGTGGCTCGCCGTCGCCTGCGCTTCCAAGGTCGAGGCTTCTCGATGTGCCGACAAAATGCCGAGGTTCATTGATGCCAAGCTAAACAACTAAAGAAGCTAGCGCGTTATGACTAATAAGTTTTATCACGTGAAGTTATACTTTTCACCCCTTTTTGCTTTATTTTTTCTATTTTATTCGAATTTCATGCATGAGTAAAGATATTTATTTCAGAGAATGCCGGAATAATTATAGTTGTCGCTGTTACATAGCACGCAGACTGTATCACACGCAATTTACGCTTACTATGAACCTAAGCAGCCGAAAGTTTTTCAACGAATCCCTGGCCCCAATGGGTGCTAGTGACAATACCCTGTTAGAAGAATATGCCCCTGGACGGCTGAGAGAAGAACTTGTGCCAATATAACTTACCTGGTATGAGTCTTTATGAAGTCAAGGAGCCGCGCGTGCTCCTTTTTTCGCTGCTCTGTGTCCATTTCTACCGCATCGTGGATCACTCTGGCAATCTCGCTGGAGTTGAACGGGTTGAATTTGACTCCCCCTTCCAAATATGAGGATACGCCAGCAAACTCTGAGACGGCTAGTACACCATTTCTTTCTTTCTGGCAGGCAATGTACTCGAGGGCAACAAGGTTCATGCCATCTCTTGTGGATGAGAGCAGACATATGTCGGATGCTGCATATAGGGCAGCCAGCTCTTCAAAAGGAATTGACTGGTGAATAAAGATGACTGGTGCATAATCAGGTTTACCTATCCAATAACTGTTAGTTTTGGTTAAACCTAGGAAGGCTCCTCGACAGCACATTGATGGGAATTCCATACCAAATTCGCCATTGACCATGCCCACCAGCCTGTATAGCTCAGCCTCTAGTTCTTGGTACTCCTGGACATCTTCACGGCTCGGTACAGCAATCTGGATCAAGACAATCTTCCCAACCCATTCGGGGTGTGTTCGAAGGAACTCCTGGAAACCGCGCAGCTTCTCTGGTAGTCCTTTGATGTAATCCAGTCTGTCGACGCCGACAATCCGTTTTATACCCTTGTACTTATCTTCAAGCTCGGCGATTCGTTTCTTGACGGCTTCTGACTCCACTGCCTCCAAGAAGCGTGTTGGATCGATACCGACAATAAATTTTCCAACCTGGATGGTTCGATCCTTATAACGCAGTGTCAACCCGTCTTTAGATGCACCTCTACAACATCCAAGCGTCAGCAAGATGTATTAACAGTCGATGGCGGAGACATACAATATCTGAGAACAAGCTTCTGCGAAGTGTCCCGCGTAATCATTGGTATGAAACCCTATCAAGTCACTGTTCAAAACCCCTTCGAGCAGCTCATGGTTTGTCGGAAGAGCCCGATACACTTCTGCAGCGGGGAATGGAGTATGCAGGGAGAAACCAATTTTCACTGAATGTTTGCCCTGTTTGGCAAATTCTTTTCGCAAAATTCCGGGCAGAAGCATCAGATGATAATCATGCACCCACACCAAATCGCCATCAGAGGTGGCTTCCGCAACCACTTTCGCGAATATCTGGTTAACCTCTTGATATGCATGCCACCACTTTTCGTCAAAATGCTGAGTTCCGGGTTGATAATGCAGGACGGGCCACAGTATCGAATCTAAGTTGGAATAGTCATCAGTACCGGCAACAATGGCAGGTGATTTTGGGGCCATAGCAACATATATAACATCAGCAACAGGATACTCACTTGAAAACCCGTTGTAATGGTTGTTAGCCAGCTCCTTGTTTAGGAAGATGGGTACAGCGTCCTGCTTAGCCAACAATTCTTGAACCTCCTGCTGCTCATCTTCGGATATTTCCAATCCGGTCCAACCAAACCATTGGAACCCAATCGATTCCGATATGCCGCTGAGACTTGTGACCAGTCCACCGCTGGATTTTGAGGATTCATATTTTCCATCCTCTGTTCGTTTCAGGGATAAGGGGAGGCGGTTGGACACCACAAGCAACTGAGGCTTCCTGCCCCCCTGTGTTTTGCTTTCGGTCATTTTGCTGTATGAATTCAGCTGTTTAACGTGGGAGTAGAAAACAGAATTTTCGCCCGCTCTCATGAAAGACGTATGTATATAGATTGGTAAATTGATATATTCCCGAGCAACGTCTACTGAAGTTTATTTCAAGGATCCGGCCAAGGAAGCGCGCTGCCGCCCGATGACGTTAAATATGACGTTCCAAGGTCTGGGGAATCCAAGGTTTGCCCTATCAACAACGCTAATGTAGGGACGTGAAACATCCCTGTACTAGAGAGACCAAGGTAGACAGCTTTAAAAAGAAGGCAAACAACAAGTACAAAGGGCCCACGACCCCATATTAATTGTTATTGATTGTCTATCAGAGCTATGAAATGCTACGGCCAAGTTATTTGGCTAGTCCACGGCTTTTTCGAGTATGCTTTACAGGCATACAGGAAACTGTACCTAGAACAATGTTAAGAAACCTCCTCTGTAAACGAAAGCCGTAGTGGCCATGTCGACATGTCGCACGACAAAAGCGAGTAGTTGTTCTCCTCACAAATGAAAATCCTAGAACACTTCTAAAGAGCGTAAATACCACCCCGGACGCCGGTGGGTTGGGTGGTTCGTGGTAGAAAAGGCGCACCTATAATCTGGTCTTTACCAGGAGGTTTCGCACTCGTCATTCCCCTGCCTTTTGTTAGATCAGCCAGTTGGTTATGGATAGGAGATTTTGATGATTAGAACTTGTTTTTTTCCTTTTTCTTGTTTTCTTGTGTTGACAAGCCGGTTTAGCAGCAAAAAAAAAAAAGGTGGTGGAGGCAAGGCTTCGAAAGGGATGAGGCCAGCTGCGGCCTTGAGTGGACGGGTCGCCTTGTTTGAGCGGGACATCTCCTGAGTTCGTAGTTGCGATATCTAAGCTATCGTAGCTTGAGTCACCATCCCGTTCTGCGAGACGTGGCGCTTCGACGCTGATTCGGATATTTCTTGGCCCTGGAAGTAAAAAAAAAAGCATCTAGTTAGTTCCCCGGTTGTATTTCGATCGGCGGCTTTTCCTCCCCCGGATTTATCCTTGCTACCCATAGGGCTGTCCCGTAAACACTGTTTGTTAGTGATGCAATTCTGAGGTTTCAACTTACGTCTACTGCATCGATATTTCGCTTCTGGGAAATCGTTTGTTCCACTTTCTTGACAACCTTCTTCTTCGGCCGCGTTGGGCGAGCTTCACCGGGCTGGAAGACGTCATCGGGGAGATCGTAGCTGTTACAGTATTAGTCCTCTGGTATTAATTCAAGTCTATCAGGATCACAACATACTTGCGAACATGCGAGATATTCAAGTCGTTAACCCCAGGCTGGTACTGAGCCCAGGAAGTGCATGTATTCTTGAACATATGGGTATCGCTAGATATATCTAGTGATCTTGAAGCGCCTTCGAGGAGTCAGTGGTATCACATGAATGGATGCGGTTTACTTACCCGGTGCTAATGGCTTAAGCTCCAGCCCGATATAGTAAGTTGTGGTGTAAAGGGTGTACTTATTCTCTCCAGTCGGTTTTTCCGCTTCTGCAATCCCCACGTTCTCATTTGCATTCTCAGCAGCTGCAATGTGAGTTGGATCATTCGTCTCGTCGGTAGTAGCAGTCTTGGTGTCATCTGCTTGGTATTTCATAGAGCCGGCTTTCACTGCATCGACTTCTTCGTCAGTCTTACAGATGTGGACCCTCTCGAACCCCTTGGGGAACGGATGGGCGATCTCTATAGACGATTTGCGATCAAGTGCCCCAACAAGATGTCTGAGTTTTGATTCAACTAAGCCAGACCAAATAGCTTGTGCTTCCTTGCTTGTGCTAGTGGAGTTGATGCTGAGATAGTACTTGTAGTCAGCAGAGAAAAAGCTGTGTCGAGCAAAAAGATCACTCCAACGACGCTGTCCGACAAAGATTTTGTCAACCATGTCTCCTCCGCGTCTGAGCTCTCTGAGTATGACGGCCTTGGTGGACATTGAAACGTTGTGTGTGGCACACATGGATGGGTATGCCGGAGTAATTATAGGCATGAGGTGGAACCTATCTCCGTGGTATATCTGGAAACTGAAATCAGTAAGAGCCTTTGGAATGAAAAAACACAGTTGTGAGCCAACCTTCGGATTCCACACTTTCATATGAAGTGGGCCATCTTCGATATGCTTCAACAACACCGGTTGCGGCCAACTCCACTGATTCATGATTCTGAAAAACTTGCCGACAATGACTGATCCTGTAGCTTGGGGATATAGCTGACACACCCTTGCGACCAACATAGCCCAAGCAACACCACCGGGAAAGCCAACGATGTTCGAATATATAGCTCGGCCTAAAGATGCTCAGCGTTAGTCGGGCTACAATCAAGCAGGATCCAATACTAGACTCACGTTGTGCCCAAAGCTTTATAGCACGCAGTGCAAGTCGGAAAGTCTTCTGTTGAGGGACGAGCTCTAAGATCTCATCCGTCACTCGTGTACCGTTGACACATCGTATCTCCCTCTCATCAAGACCGCGCAACAAGTCTTTGTTTTTCAAATCGAGATTCGGTGGAACTGAAGAAACGATAAGTCGTGCGAAAATCAAATCTATGCTAATGCCAGAAATCTCGATTTTGATGATAGGTACGAACGCGTCTGGCACGGGGGTCATTTTCTCTATCGCATCTTTTGGCGCATGTTTCTCAAGAACTGCTGGAAAGTGTGCAAAGAAATCTTCTCTCATTACATGTTTCGGTGCAACAACAAGAGTGTCAATATCAGAACCTATCAATTACCCAAAAACAATTGAATTAGTATGATGTTCCGCACTCCGTTGTCAAGATAGTTTCAAGAATGCTCTAGAACACCAACCTGGACCATACACCCCAAGCCTATAACTCCCGTATGTGAATATTTTACCACCAGAGGCGTCAATTGCCGCTTGCGAGAGGCCCTTTTCTTTTGATACCACCTTGATAAACTCGATGGTGACTCGCTGTAGGAGATGTAGTGTCTGCTTTCTAAAGAACAGCCCAGAAGAGTTAGTATTTCCTAAACAAGCAAATGCATTTTTAAACAGCCAGACGAACCGTTTCTCTGTCTCTGATGGTGGCTCGAAGTTATTCTGTAGCTTGAGCTCTGCTATCAAAGCATCGTTCTCCGCGAGCTCGGAGGGTGTAGGAAGCGCAGATGACAGTGGAGGAGTGATTCCCCACTGACGAGACTGTGAAGCAGCCATAGCTGCAACTGCTTGAGGCCGTAGACGTGTTCAATAATAGCAACAAGCGGTTCGTGTCTCTGGCGAGATGTTGAGATTCGTGGGAGCCTGTCTGTCGCGGCTAGATATGGCGAAGTGGCTCGCCGCGGCCTACTACTAAGTAGAGAATGGAGAAGCGAAGAAAGAAACCCCACAAAAGAAAAGATATTAAAAGAAGAATAATACAGACGCCCCCAGAATACCCGGACCGCGTAGAAGAGAAGATATCCCTGGCCAGCTTGGTGTCAGTCAGTGGAAAAGAACCTTTGATGACGAGAGGTTTTTTTTGTTCTGGCTGGCAAGAAAGAAATGATGATGGTTTTGGGGCGGCTAAATCACGTGATGGTTTTAAATTTGGATCCGCCTTCCACCAAGCCTTTGGGGAAGGACAGAGTAATAATAAAACATTATTACGGCTAACTATCGACGGGAAAAGGGGGGAATACAGGCGCACGTAGGGAACCGGGGGAGCTGCCGTTGTCAAGGGCTGATGGTGTTACCGAACAGCTGAAATAGGTTGGGCGGCTCGTTACCACACAGACCAGGTTACAAGTTGTGGTACAGGGAAGCCGGCTATTTCAGACAGTGACGGCCAGCTAACTAGACTTTCAGATCCTTGAGGGCAGCAGTCAGGGAGTCGCTAATAGGGGTCCGTTTGAAGAAATCGACCAGCTTGTCGTTCAACCATTTGACGTCCTCCTTGTTCTCACCGGGGCCACCTGCCCAGTCTGAGCCAGAACCCCCCACGTTAGCCGTGATTGAGGCCGATATTTAGAGATGGATTTTATACTTACGTCCCCAGATGGATGGGAATGCGTCCAGCTCACCCACGCCGGGTGCCATGTTTGCAACCTCATACTCCGAGTCTTCTGGCCTATTCGATTCCTCGGTTAGAACGTGGAAGGGTAGGTATATGATATGATAACATGATGAACTCACGGGAAGTACAAGTCATATTTGCAGGGCAAGACCAGCGCTTTTGCCTTGATACCCTTGAGCGCTGCCTCGAAGTTGCCATTGTACGGCTCTTGCTGCGAGATATCTGCATTCTGCCATGTCTGCAGCATTATAAGCAGGTTCTCCGGGTCTAGATACGAAGCGTTAGCCTGTTGCAAGGATACAGTCTGACCCTACATTGCCCACCTTTGGAAAGGAAATACTTCTCCCAGAAATTGACCAAGAAATCCTCTAGGTCTTTATACCCAAGAACAGTCTCGTACAGCTTTTCACGATAGAATGGCTGGCTCATGCCCCTGGTTGAGTGCATTGAGTTAAAGATGACTACGATCATTTGAAGATCAAGTCGGAAGAAAACCTACCACCCAGCATACACTCTTCCTACAGCTCTCAGTCCGATATCCTTCTCTTCCTCTGCCCACTTTCGACCAACGATACCTTCGGAGCAGGTGCCATCCTTCCCAGACCCGGCAGAACGGAAACGCTTGGCTGACAGCAGGGCACATTTGACACCCTCGAGAAACACCTGGTTATGCAAAGAGGTCTTTGCAGATCCGCAGAATGGGACAATGATGTCCATGAAGTCGGGGTACTGAGCCGCCCATTGGAAGGTCTGGCCTGCTCCCATGGACCACCCGAGGACAGCTCTAAGATGCTTGACCCCAAGATGCTCTGTCACTAGCTTATACTGAGCTCTGACGTTATCGTAGACGGCCACTGCTGGGAAAGGAGAGAGATCGGTATTAGAGGGGGAAGAAGACTGTCCATTACCGAACATCGCCGGTATGATAATGAAGTATTTCTTTGGACTCAGCTCCTTGTCTTCTCCTACCAGCCAGAAGTTGGCGGATATCGCTACAGTCGCCCTCATCAGCATCTTCTCCTTCTCCTTCTTCTTCTTCTTCTTCTTCTCGGTTTCAACTCAGCTTGAATGGAGAGCACTCACTGCCAGAGAACCATGACGGGTACACAATAGCAGGCAACTTCGGGTCACCGAACGTCCTGTAAGCGATACGGGCCTTGGGGATAACCTGTCCGTTCCGCAGCGACCAGTCGCCCAGTTCAAAGGTGCTGTATTCCTCGGTCATAGCGAATTGGTTCTTCGTCGCTGTCTTCTTGCGTCCTTGTCAATTCTCTGGATGTCTCTGGATGTTGTATCTGCACACGATGGACAAAGTACGAGCCCGTCCACCCCGCTCCATTTACCCCATCGCGAACCCTGCAGAAATGTAGTTTACTTGTTGGCGGCTACAGCGCCCAGAGCAGTTCTCGCTTGTGCAGGTTTCCCGTTGTCCCGCCCAGTAACCTTTGCTTATCTTCATGTATTTAGGGGTTGGCCTTCGTCATCTCGTCGATGGAGACCTGGATGTAACTAGGCGTTGACGCCCAACTGATTAGTTAATAATAATGTGGAGAGAGATCCAACTTCTCCTCCATAACCAGAATAACCACATGTGAACTCGCGTGATGAAGCTGCTCTTTGCTATATCTACTGGTAACCCATAGACTGCTGTGATAAATTTATTGACAATTTCCTCTGTTGGCTCATTGCGTCTGTTCAGCTTCGTAGCTACGAGTAAACATGAAAGCGGTTGGTAAGTGGACGCTGCTCCATGACGTCGACCTCGAAGCGGGTAGTTATCTAACGCGCAGTTAAAACTAGACATCAAGAACGGCGCTGGAGCTGCGGCCGATCTCTTCATTAACGACTCTGTCCCCAAGCCAGTCCCCTCCCCAACCCAGTGCCTTGTCCGGGTGAAGGCATTCGGCATCAACCGCGCCGATACCATACAGCGAAGTGGTTTCTATCCGCCACCCCCAGGAGCATCCAAGATCCTGGGCCTGGAGTTCAGCGGAGTTATCGAAGCTGTTGGTAGCGACCAAGCGTCAACCGGGACACAATGGAAGGTTGGAGATGAGGTATTTGGGCTGGTGTATGGAGGGGCTTATGCAGAGTATGTTGAAGTGGAGATGAAGCTGTTGATAGCTAAGCCTGCAGACTGGAGCTGGGAGTATGCTGCTGGCTTGTGCGAGGTAGGACCTTTGCTTCTCTTCTACGGTGCAATATTTAGAGCCTAGACTTACGGTATATATAGATCTGGTTCACTGCTTTGCAGGCATTGTACGTGGTTGGAGGCTATAACGCTGATACCACACGGTCAATTCTCTGGCATGCAGGGGCGTCTTCAGTGTCCATAGCGGGCATACAGCTGTCCAGACTTGCAAACTCATTACGCTCAGATATTCCAGCGCCAAAGGTGTTTGCTACAGCCCGCAGTGACGAGAAATCCAACTTTTGCGTTCAGGAACTCTCATGTGTGGGTGCTGTTAATACCAGTACGCACAGTAAAGACTGGGATGAAGAGATCAAGAAGATGAATGGCGGACAGGGCGTCGACCTGATTATTGATTATGTTGGACCAACTTACTTCCAGCAGAACCTGAATGTGGCAGCAAGAGACGGTCGAATTGTCTTGTTAGGCTTGTTAGCTGGGTCCATCTTGCCAGACGGTGTTGATATACGTCCTGTCTTGATGAAAAGATTGAAGTTTGAAGGGAGTACGTTGCGGTCTAGGGATGTCAACTACCAAGCCAGAGTGCGCGAATTGTTCGAGGAGAAAGTATTTCGTGGCTTGAAGACAGGACTGTTTAAGCATGTCGTCGACTCTGTGTTCAAGTGGGAGGATATTCAGAAAGCCCACGAGCTGGTCGAGAGTAACAAGACTAAGGGAAAGGTCATTTGCACCATCGACTGGTAGGGAGTAAGCATTATTAGGGTATCATAGCATAATTCATCTGAGAAGGCGGAATAATATTTAATTCTGAGCAAAATTAACAACTTGAAGACAGGATGATTCAACAAACGTTTAATTTATGTCTATCATACAGCAAGATACAAGAAAAACCGCGGATAGAGAATGTGGCTGGATGTTTGATGCCGGTTGTTCTTTTTCCCTTTTCTTTTTGTTTATAGAGGGCTAGGTCTGAATGGCCTGGAGTTATAAAAGAGACTAGTGTTCGTGGGCGACCTCTCCTCTATAGCCGACCACCTTGAATCGACCGAGCATCTCGCCGACGGAGAAGAATCCAATGACTTCTGCGGTTGTGATTCCAACAATGGCCCATTGTTTGGCATCAAAGTTTCGGAGCCGGGAAACACTGCCGTTGGGATTTCTTAAGCTGGCGAAGATGGTAGATGGCTGGCGGAGGGAGTTCAAGGCAGAGTAAAGGTACGATTGGAAAGTGGCCATATCTCTGTTGTCCAATTGTTAAATCCATGCTTCTAATAGCGATAAGCCAGAAATCGACTTACGGTGGTGCCATCTTCTGTCCCCGGAAGACGATTTTCGACAACTCAAGGCCGACTCTGGAGTAGTAGATGGTTGGTGGTATTAAAGCTGCGAACGCAAGCTATGTCAGCCCTTTCCCAATATAAACAGCACAGCAAGCAACATATCTCCTTTACTAAGCTGCAATCTTTGCTTTAAGTGGCGGCTGGACGGATATTCTCCTTACATTCGACGAAAGCGACGAGTTTGGCAGTTCGTCCTCCAACCTTCTTCAATGCACCACCCACACCGGACATGGCGCCAGCAAGAGCTGGACCGGCAGCAGCGGTAACTTTTGTAAGCCCCTCGGATGCCTTGGAGGTAGCTGAAGAGGCGGCATCTTTGGCCTTTGCGGCGGTCTCCTGTGCAGTGGACGAGTGTCTAATCGCTGGTCGTCGGATCACTGTTCGTGATTGCCGGATCAACATACGGGACATTGTGGCGGACATGGTGGAAGGAGAGGAGCGCAGAGTCTGCAGAGTCGTCAAAATTGAAACCGGACAAGCAATGAGGGACCCTTCGAGCGCGCGGGAGCTGTCAATGGCGGATGCTGGATGCGTCGGCGATGGTGAGGTCGTCGGAGTCGCTTTTTTCTTCGTCTTCAAGTTTCGTGTTTTTCCGGGCCCAAAGGGGAAATCACGTGATGCAACTTTTGCCCAGGCAAAACTTCGGACTCTCCAACAGCATCATCTTTCAACCTCAACTCCAACCTCAACCTCGACTTCAGCCTCGCCGTGTCCACGTTCGATCTCTGGAGGCATGGACGCTGATGATGACGGCTTTGACAGCTACGGGCTAGCCAGCGTGACTGCCTCGTGGCACATAGCACGCGAAGAATCTGGTTGAAGCGGCAACTTCACGTGTACAGACACATCACATGTGCACTGCATTTGCTTCGTCTACGGGAAGAAGATGATGCTCACCATGATATACCGATGGCGAAGCCTGATCAGGACGCAAGAAGTAGTGCTGTGACTTCTTGCTGGTGTTGCCTACAAATATACCCTGGCCATGCTGCAGTCTGGGACGCTATGCGATCTCGTAGGATGAAGAAAGGAAGCTGCCATATGGACAACTTTCCAGCAAGTATACTTTCTCATACTGCGGATTGTATAGTTATTGTTAAGTTCTTGATGTCTCTACATGGAACCCAATATGAATACAAGAGCGGGGCCCCAGCAACCATGTCCTTTACCGCTCGCCCGGGGTCGGATGCACCACCCTGCAAGCCGAAAGCAAACAGGGTCTGCTACGTTCCCAACCATCTTGGAGATGGATGCTTCCACACCATCAACTGACCAGGATGATTTGGAGGGTACAGGCCCTACAGGGATACATATGGTCAATGACAGCTTCGATACGTCGTTTTGCAGAGACTCCTGGACCGATTTACGACTATTATCCGAAGGCATTTGGTTAAAATGTGCTCTACATCCCAATAACCCACTAGAAGGAAACGGCGACTCTGGATGGCGTTTAATTTACTCGCCTGTATTAGAAAGTTCACCTACCTTTGAACACAAAAGTGACAAGAACCATTATTACAGCCAACCAGCCACTGCTCGAACGAGTCTTGATTCTTCAATTTCTCCTTCGGCGTCAATGTTTACCCTCCAGTCTAGTGATACAAGCATCTCTGCCACCTCTGTACGGAAGAAAAGCTGCATCGCCAACCTCAGGTCGCAGTATTCATTTACCATGACTTCATCTCCAAATCTACGACTTAGCCCTGCGCCACCTCATTCTCCTGTATGTTCAATTATCTCAAGGAGCGCTTCTCCACGCGCTGTAGAGCTCGTGCAACTCCTGGACCATCTCAGCTCCTTTTGCGTTCTGGACACGAAATCACCAGGAAATGCAGTTGTTGCCGCTTCCAAGGATATATACTCTGCGGGTGGAAGAGGAGAAAAGTTCCCGCTAAATATCAATGTTCTCGAAGAAGAATCATGTCCTGTGGTTTCAGGATACGATGAAAATGGGAACGATGTCTCATACCTTATAATCGCTACGAGGTTGAATACCGCGACTTCTGGGGAATGCCACCTACTTCTTACCACGCTTCTTGATATCACAGACTTTCTGTACGCAGCCACACTAGAGGACCTAGAGTTAAAGCAGAATCCAAAGGCGTGCGAGACTGAGCGGGGCATATTACCGAGTATTAATTCACGAGTCAACCTCAATGCTGCAGAGGTGATTAATGTTTCACCAAACCTCCCGGATGAGAACAAAGGGAACGGGGTACATCGGAGTCAAACTCCTATGAGCATAGGCCCTTCTAAAACAACAGAGCAGCTGCTCTCGGAATTTAGCGCAGAGCTTCTTTACATCTACAAGGATATATTTATCCTAGCCCGATCACTTCAAGACAGCACGGTTTATAAAATATCCCATGTTTCACGGTCTCTACACGCCGAGGGTGAATATATTCGCAGCCACCTAAAGCACACCCCGACTGAAAAGATGAAGCTCCTCAGTGAAAGTTTGGGAAAGACCACTCGATTTGATATAGTTGTTAATTGGGGGGATTATGGCGTAGAAAAGCGGCTATATTGTGTCCCAATATACTGCGGTGAATCACGGGATTGGGTTTGTACGATGACTGATGTTGATGTTCCTTACCTTTGGCGTCGGAGTAGGATTTAATACGTTCTATAGATGATTTTTACCCAAGCAGATTAATGATATAGACACTTCCCATACTCCTTTACCCTTTTGTTATATGGAATTACTTAGGCTCCCATGATAAGATGTGATATGTGTTGAACCAACCCGCCAGACCAGCACTTGACACTTCGGCATCGTGCTGGGTCGGATATACCGGCCATACGAACCCCATTCAAGGTCAGAGCTTGAAGATATCCTGGATGTCGATCCACCCCGCAATCTGCATACATAGTGTAACCCAGGATATGTTGGTTACATCCAAGATGAATGTTTCCTCCACCTCGGTTCAACTCTTGAGGACACCTACATCTGTAATTGGATGTCAGTCTCCAGGATGTATGTATTCCCACTACATACCACCTAAGCAGGATTATGCACAGAGGTTCAAGCTCAGGACGGACGTAAAAGGTCACACGGAGGGAATAAGCATATATGGTCAAATACTTCCCGTCAGTTTAGCATCAACTAGTTACTTTACTTCTTCTCACTAACAAAGTTGCCTTAATTAGGGTTCTCGTTTTAGCCTAGTAAGGAGCATCATCAAATGTTTGTTACTAGCTACAAATATATTGCCATTTTGGCACCTCTGTTCATACTGTCGCTCACATCTAATGCTAAGGGCAATGATATCGATCTAACACAATATGTCGATCTGTTCATTGGAACTGAAGGCAGTGTTGCTGGCACATCTTACAATGGTGGAAACGTTTTCCCTGGCGCAGCGTATGTTCTCTACACATCATAGCAACATAAGCATCTAACCGGCATCAGGTTGCCCTTCGGAGTAGTTAAAGTGGGAATTGATACCATAGTGTACTAGGCTCTAGCACTCCGATCCATCTGTAGTGTGATTGTTACGTGGCTAACTTCTTTGCTCAATAGCCATGATGTGGACGAGAAGAGGAAAGTCGATGTGAATGCAGGATATTCACCCGATGGGAATGTATCTGCTATATCCTTCTTGCATGAGAGCGGAACAGGAGGCGCACCTAAGTATGGGGTGATATCTCAGATGCCACTTTCAACCCTTGACGGGGTGGACGTAGCCAACAACAGGACATATATGCAACCTCGAGTCGGCAAAGACTCCGCGTCAGTGGGGTATTATAAGACTAGGTTCCGAAATGGAATTACAGTAGAGATGTCTGCTACTGACCACGCCGGGATTCTCCAATATACATATCCATCTTCTACAGGAAAGTTTGTCTTAGTTGACTTAAGCCATTATTTGCCAACCCATGGAGAACCAAGCGCAAACCAGATGTATAGCAATGGGAAGATTGATATACAGGGCGGTGGGCGGATGTACACCGGATATGGTATTTATCGAGGAGGCTGGAACGAAGGTATGAGTTTTCTTCAATACCTTTAATCCAGAATCTCACCAAAATTAGGACCGAACTTCCAGGTTTTCATGTGTGCCGAGTTTGATGTAGCTCCATCTTCCGCAAGAACATGACGTGCCCCATATACTGATCCATATGATGAAGTTCGAGGAGAGGCAAAGTTTTCAAATCAGCAAACAATCACAGGAGGACGAGAAGGTTATCAGTATGCAGACAGAATCGGAGCTGTTTTCGAGTTTCCATCAGGCACGAGGACTTTAAAATCCAGGATTGGCGTCTCATTTATTTCAACCGAGAAAGCATGTCAGTTTATTAATGAGATGAGGTCCTGGAACATCAACGATACCGTGAATGACGCAAAGGGTCGGTGGAATAGTGAAGTCCTGGGCACAGTGACAACGTCGGATACCAATATAACGAGGCGGACAATGTTGTATTCCGCTCTATATCGTTCGCATCTGCTTCCTAGTAACAGAACGGGTGAAAACCCATATTGGGAATCGGCAGAACCTTACTATGACGATTATTATGCCATATGGGATACCTTCCGATGCCTGAATAGTTTCTACTTATTAACCAAGCCTCAGTTCGCGGCAGAAACCATCCGTTCCTTGATTGATATCTGGAGATTCGAGCGTTTTATGCCTGATGGTCGAAGTGGCAATGCAAACGGAAGAGTATGAATATCCTCGCACTTCCGTTACTAGAGATTATTATTGCTGACTATGGAGACACAGGTTCAAGGAGGTAGCAATGCAGACAATATCCTGGCAGACGCATATGTCAAAGGCCTTCAAAAGGGCGTTAACTGGACAGACGGGTATTTAGCAATGAGAACAGACGCTGAAGTAGTACCATACAATAACTTCGGGCCGGCAGATCTGACTGGCTCCACAAAGGAAGGGCGTGGTGCCCTTCCAGATTGGCTTCGGTATGGGTATGTGACTCCGAGTTTTGGTAGAAGCATTAGCCGGACAGTTGAGTACTCGTTAAATGACTTTGCTCTGAGCCAAGTTGCCAAGGATCTAGCACCAGAAGATTATGATAAGTATCTGAACCGGAGCGCCGGGTGGCAGCGAATATGGCACAAAGACATCAGCAGCCTCAACTTTACAGGGTTTCTAGCACCAACTTGGCCGAATGGTTCTGTGACACCGGAGTATGATCCTCTCGATTGCGGAGAATGTGAATGGAGTTCCCATAGCTATGAGGCGTTGCCAATTGAATACGGATGGACTGTTCCATTTGATATGAAATCCCTAATCAAATTCATGGGCGGGGAAAAAACAATGGAGCAAAGGCTCGATCAGATGTTTGTTCCAGGACTCCGGAAAGGGGATGTGGGTTCTGGCGGAACAAACACGCTAGGTAGCCTCAACCTCCTTGATTCGTTCGTTTCTTGCACAAGCTTCTGACGTTATACGTCTTCTATATAGGCACCACATTATTTAACCCTGGGAATGAGCCGAGCTTCTTCACTCCATTCTTGTACAACTACCTCCCTGGACGGCAGTGGAAATCCGTTCTCCGCCTTCGAGACACGGTTAACTCGTATTATAGTACTCGACCGTCTGGACTTCCAGGTACGTTTTCTGGTCCTGTTTGTTTATTCATTTCAATTTAATAATAAAATACAGGGAATAGTGACGCAGGAGCTATTGATAGCTGGCTGATATGGAACTTGCTGGGCCTGTACCCTGTGGTAACGCAGCCAGTTTATCTGCTATCAAGTCCGTGGTTTAACAATGTTTCCGTTGCGGTGGGTGATAACTCAAGGCTCACGATCACAGCGCAAAACCTCGGTGAGGACAGCTATTTCGTCCAGAGTGTCAAGGTCAACGGTAAGCTATGGACTAAGAGCTGGGTGAGTCATGATGATATCAAAGACGGTGGGACCCTCGAGTTCGTATTGGGCCCAGAAAAGAAGAGTTGGGATACGGGAGAACTTCCGCCTAGCCCTGGACATGTCGAGCTGGATTTGTAGTAGCATTCGTGTTGGTCGAGGTTTGTTTGTTCGTTTGTAGTTGTCGGTGGGAAGAGCAATAATATTGATATTGCGGATTATTAAGCAAGCGGTGTTTGCAGGCTTTGCAGTGTTTGTTTAGACTCGCACGTGCCTTAAGGTTTGGCCAATGACAGTGCGAGAAAATAAGGTAAATGTGCCAAGACAAGAGCTATGACGTCTTCCGTGATTTGTCATCCCACCTTAAATTCTTATCACGAACTTTATTCTCGTTGTTTTTTTTTTCTTGTCGAAGCAACCACCAGGAGAATCAGAAGACGCTGCTTGCTGCTTGCCCGGCTATCCCAGATGACACTCCACCCTTGCTGCCCTACTGACGTTCCTGACTGGGTATTCCTGACTTGCCTGGAAGTTTTGGGCCCGCTGAAGTCGGACGATGGTGCTGGGAGTTCTCCGCTTCCAGGGTACTTTCTCGATTCCACCTTCCAAGGGTTGGCGAGAGCGAGATAACTACGTTTAGACATTAACTTCAGATAATGTGACGCTTGGCTATGTCAGTGTGTGCCACTCCAAGAGGTTAAATAGGTGGCAGCTCTCCCTCCATGTCTGGTTTGAACCATTATTTTCACCCGGAGACAACGTGGGGTCATATTTTGTTTACTGCTGTCTTTCTGTGTATATGGCCTCGCTCATTCCTTTCTTTCTCTTCCCATATACTACCAATTTCAATTAATTATTACTCTGCTATATTGTTGTCCTTATTAAAGACGGTACTCATTTTTGATATACTGCAAGATGGCTGCAAGCAGTTCGAGGGATGACCCCAAACAACAGGGGGACTATGACGACACACTCACCGACATGTCCTCGAACGAGGAGCTTCTGGCCACTATTCCCAAAGGCACTATGGACCCGGTTTATGAGGCCAAAGCATTGTTGTTGAATAAGGCCATTCTCGACATTGGAATGGGATGGTATCAATGGCAGCTATTCATTGTTATTGGCTTCGGATGGGCCAGTGATAATATGTGGCCGATTATTACCTCCCTCATCTTTACCCCTGTGAAAAATGAGTTCATGCCGTCAAAGGCGCCGCTTCTTACGCTTGCCCAAAACCTGGGGCTGCTGGTTGGTGCTGTCTTCTGGGGATTTGGGTGTGATATCTATGGGAGAAAGTGGGCCTTTAACTTGACAATTGGGATCACTGCCGTGTTTGGACTAGCAGCAGCAGGTTCACCATCCTTCTCTGCCATTGGGGCCTTTGCCGCGTTGTGGTCTATCGGAGTAGGTGGCAACTTACCCGTCGACTCAGCCATCTTCCTTGAGTTCCTCCCATCAACGCACCAGTACCTCCTTACCATTCTTTCGATCGACTGGGCCCTGGCACAAGTTCTGGCGAACCTAGTTGCCTGGCCACTTCTCGGAAACTATTCCTGCCAGGAAAATTCCGAATGCACAAGGTCTGCTAACATGGGCTGGAGGTACTTCCTGATTGCCATGGGAGGGCTCTCAATGATCATGTTCCTCCTGCGATTTACTTGCTTCACCATCTTCGAGTCTCCGAAGTATCTAATGGGGAAAGGTCAGGATGAAGAAGCAGTCCGGGTTGTGCATGAAGTTGCCAGACGAAACGGCAAAGTTTCCACTCTTACTGTTGAAGACCTTGCCCGCATAGGACCTCCCATAAGAAGCAACGCCAAAGTTGCAGTGCAGCGCAAGTTGTCAAAGTTTGATTTTAAGCATGTGAATGCGTTGTTTGGATCTCCTACACTAGCATTTTCAACTTCAGTTATAATCGGTGTTTGGGCGTTCATTGGTCTTGGATTTCCTCTATACAACGCATTTCTGCCATTCATCCAAGCCTCTCGAGGCGCGCATTTTGGTGACAGCTCTACCTACATTACTTATAGGAACTCTCTCATTATTGCAGTCCTAGGAATACCGGGCTCTCTTGTCGGAGGCGCACTGGTCGAGATACCCTATATTGGCCGCAAAGGGGCCCTCTCACTTTCCACCGTGATGACAGGTGTCTTTCTCTTCTGCTCCACAACTGCAAGGACCTCTGATGCGCTACTGGGCTGGAATTGCGCCTACAACTTCATGAGTAATATCATGTATGCCGTTCTGTATGCCTACACGCCTGAGATTTTCCCTACCAAGGACCGAGGAACTGGTAATGCGTTGACTGCTGCCGCGAATCGCATTTTCGGCGTTATGGCCCCCATTATTGCCATGTTTGCCAATCTTCAGACAGCCGCACCCGTGTATGTTAGCGGTGCCTTGTTCATAGCGGCTGGTATCTTAGTTTTGTTCCAGCCCTTTGAGTCCAGGGGGAAGGCTAGCTTGTGATGGCCAAGTTCATATTTACTTGACTACTTGTGATGTTTATTTCTTTCCCCTTCTGCCTACTGTCGTTGCCCGGGGGGTTTGCAGTGATTTATATATATATACCTTAATACGCGGCAACAGCCCTTACTCTTGTATCACAGCTGGTGTGCTGTTAAAAAAGAGATCTTGAATATGAACTCCATGAGAGAGAAGAGGCCGAGCCGACATGAACAGATCGATGCTAAGCTGACTCGAACGTTCATAGGTAACCAGTATTCTCATAGATAACCTGTCGCCATGACTTAGCTATCCAACGCGCCAGCCGTTTTATACCCCTATCCTCGGTCATTGCCTAACTGCCTCCTCCAGGCCATCGTATTGATTCAGTCTCTGCAGTTACTAACCCTTGGAATTCGAATAAAGACTAAAACACTGATGACTATATTTTGTCATCTTCGTGCGTCAGTTCGTGAACACAGTAACTAGCTAGTTAACTGGTTAATATGCACATAGATTCCCGTTGGTAGATATTTTTTAGATGTTGATAGTTATAGAATAACACAAGAATAACACACGAATTAGTTATGGATTCTAGCAACAACACACGACCAAATAGCTATACCAACATCCAGTCAACGTTTCATCTCGAGCATGCGCTACTTTCTTGCGGCTGTAACGCCATTTGCTTAGAATACGCCATCGCCAAGCTGGAATCCATGAAGCGCCTGCATCCTGACCACTCTGAGCAGCTCTTCGGCCGTCTGTGTCCTCCACTCCTGTTCCACACATCACAGGGATCGCGGCTCAGCACCGGAGATTGGCTCTCACAATCCAAGAAAGTGTGCAACAGAAAAAGCCGGAGAACGAAGATGAAGACTTTTCCTCGTAAGATGTAGAATGCCCTTGTTCTGATAGTTATCGGACTTCCTGCTAACCGCATATCTAGCGTATGATCAACGAACGGAGGACTCCGTAGTGACTCTGGAAAGCCACAGCTTGTCTGTAACATGCAGTATCATCGATGCATGAACGGGCCCGCAAGTCTTCATGAAGGCTGAGTTGTGCAATACGACGGTCATGTTTATCCCTGCCAAACATGGCTGATTAGCCCTTGAAGGATCACCAGTTGATACTTGCTGGGCCAAAGAGACGGACGGAGGCCTCAGGTTTTCGCCCTATCTTCTCCTCCACAAACAATCCAGGAACACAGCGACTACGAAAGGACCTAGTTCTCCATTGAAAAACAACCCATCTTGTTGCCTGTGAACCGTGGTTGGCTGTGTTTACCGCTATCAGAGGGAGTAGACCGGCTTCAAGATGGGCTGTTCTCTGCTTTTGACATGCGCGTATCTCCTGGTCTCATTTTCAGGCCTTGTCAGATCTGCTTGCGACGCACCGCCATTGTCTCTGCCCATTGGGAATGGCACGATTTCAGACCGAGAAGTTGTGCGATGGGGGTTAGCTGTGGAATTCGGAACGCCTGCGCAGACTATAGTGGCTGCGCTGGATGCGTAAGTCGTTTTTATATGGTCAAATGCAGACTCTGCAGTCAGTTAACCGCTAACACACCATATCTGTATGTAGTGACTGGAACAGTACGTCTTTCTGGAACACGAGCTTCCCATGCGGTAATCTGAGCAGACCTGCCTGCTCCTGGGTACATGGAGGGTCTTTCAACGATAAAGGCTCGACGTCTTGGAGAGGACCAGAGAATCCCGAGCAGACAGATCAGAACCCGAAAGGCCAGACCATAAATATAAGAGGAACAGATACTCTAAAGGTGGGATCAGATATCTCACTCGACCAGTTCCCAGTCTACTTTCCAAAGCCAGGAGTCATACCTCAGAATGGAATAGGCTTCGGGCCGAATTCAGCCTTTCTCAATCGCCTCTACGACCAAGGCAAAATTGCGTCGAGGTCATGGTCACTATTCTGGGGATGGCAAGGAGCTGAGCAGGAGAACCAGATGAATGGAAGCTTGGTGCTGGGTGGATATGACAAGGCAAAGATGGCTGGAGGCGCGCCTCTAACAGCTCCATTTTCAGATGGAATTGGATGCCCGAGCTCACTGCTCGTCTATCTGAGCAATATTGTTGTCAATCAGATAGATGGAAAGAAAACGAGCCTGCTCAATACGCCGGGTTCTGCTTTACGCGCCTGCATCAAGCCGGATAACAGCCAGGTTATTCTTCCGGAGGACGTTTTTGGCAACCTGAAGAAAGCCTTTTCGGGGAAGGCTGTTGAGCATTCAACTGGAATCTACCCTTCAAGCCTTGCCTATGAGCCGGAGGATGTGTATGTGCCAATTTCCTCCCCTTAAATATATGAGACGATACAGAAAATTAACATGACCAGGTTTATGGGCAATGTCACATTCATACTCTCCTCCGGGCTTCAGATCACCATACCTAATCATCAACTTGTTCTGCCGAACGTAGAAATAGATGATAACGGACAACAGAAGATAGTTGATGGCAACAAGACTATCAATTTCGGGCAGACCAGACGTGAAGCTATGCCTTATCTAGGCCAACCATTCCTTACATCCGCCTATATACACGTTAACAACGACATGAAGGAGTTTAGCGTCTGGCAGGCCAATCCAACAACAGAGACAGACTTAGTAACTGTTCGAGGTGGCTCAAACTGCGACGATGATTCTTCTCTGAGTGGCGGCGCCATTGCAGGCATAGTCATCGGTGTCGTTGCTTTCCTGGCTATAGCTGCTCTGGGACTATTCTTCTTCCTCAAACGGCGGAACAAAAACCGAGACAGAGATTCCAAGGCAGGGCTGCCCCTTGTTAATACGAGCCAGAGAGCGGAGGAGGACAAGAAACATAACCATGATATCCCCCTTGAGATGGATGCTGGAGTCAGCCAACAAGCACCTTCAGAGCTGCCTGACAGGGACTACTCGCCGCAAGAGCTTCCGGCAGACGTCCCCACGTCTAACAAATAAGTGCAAAGTTCATCTGGAACGTTATAATTAATATCTGACGATGTCTCTTCAGATGCATATAGACTAGCGAACTTGTCCTGTATACTGATCTTGTTTATTTCAATTAATCACACCATTCAAGCCGGTGAGGAAGAGACATGTGCTCGAAAGGGCCTTTTAGATACAGTCTTAATATGGCGCACACTGCCCCATCCTTCGATACCCCTGAATCAATATTTCCATCACACAGCACCGCTTTTTTTTTTTTTTTTTCATTATTTTTCATTATTTTTCTGTCAGGGAGGTATTTCCTATCTGGACACACATAACTCGACACGATAGACATCTATCTCACTATGCCAATTCTAATCCTCGTTCTCATTCTCCAACATCTGCAGACGGCCGAAAAGACTCCTCATGATGACAGCAGTTTCCTCGATGGCAGCGCGAACCTGGATAAAGTCGTTCAGGTTCAAGTTGGCTGGATCTGAAAAATATATTGGCAAGCCAACCATGGGATCCTCATCTTCCTCATCTTCCTCATCAGACTCTGAAGATGATGGCCTAGTAGGAGGGCGAAGCTCAAGTCTTCCATCAGCGGCAGTGTCCAGGACCATCCCGCGAGCCCCAAGCCAGGCCTCCTTGGAAGCAAGCTCGATAGTACGGTTGCCAGTCATATTTCCTTCAATATCAACAGCACCTTCAACCTGGGTATCGTCGATATCACGAGCTTTGCCATCTTTGTCGTCTCCACAGACAGCTCCGTCGTCCTCGTTATCCGCAAACTGTTCAGCGGCATAGTCTTCCTCACCCTTTGGAACTTCAATGCAAGCATAGTCATGGGTCCGGTCATGCAAGGCCTACCAGCAACGTTAGATTGAATGAAGAATCGAGTGAATAAAACATGATACCAACGTACGATTCTCAAGCCAGACATATCAAAGCCTCCATTTTCAGCAATCTCTTGCATCTCGCATTGCGCAACAAAGTCACATGCAGTGAAGTAATCAGGGGCATAGCGAAGCTTCATCTTTGTCCCTGACTCGCGTTCGTTCAAGGCCTCAGCACTAGGATTGGCCATGACGAATTTATCCAATGCATCAAGAGCTTCTTTCGTCAACGGGTCTCCAGCCTTGGGTTCAGGAGCAGTCTCAGGCCGTGGAGCCCTAGATCGAGCTGGAACTGAAGCTGATCTGGGTCTCAGAGCATGTTTCGTTTTCCGTTTCTTGCGTTTGGGGCTTTCAGGGCTGCCGCAGCGTTTGCCGAGATCCATGATCACCGCTCAAGGGCTGTTGAAGGTGGTTTGTAGGCTGAATTTGATCGAAGTCGAAGTTCAAATATGAACTGGAAGGACAGTTGTTTGTTTGAAGAGAAGAGAAAGGAGGTGGAAGACTTTTTTGATAGCAGTTGGGAGTGCAGCAGGACGACGCTCAGGGAACGCAACTAAATCAAGTGAGATTAATGCCATGGCTACAAACATAAATGCTAGGCCTGTCTTAATTTCTGAATGTTAGTATATAGGTATATTATCATGTGCTCTGCTGTGATATTCTATCTAGAAAACCTCTAGCTCTGAGAGAGGGCATCAAAGGGGGTAGGGGTAATATCAAAGCCTCCCATGATATGGAGACAAGACAAAAAGTTGACCAAGTGCATCAATATATATCTGTTGAATGCCCAGGATAATAATACTCTCACTTCACTGCCATCCTCTAGTGAAGAGTCATTTCAGAAGGCCCCGTAAGTAAAATTTTAGCTTTGATAGCCAGCTTTTTCAATCTCGCATCATATTGGGAGTCTTTGTTCATATTCCCTTTGTCTTGAACATTCATATCCTGCTTGTAACCCAGGACAAATATGTTTTTGATCTCTAAAGCTTCCTCGTTTTGGAAATCGAACTTTCCAGAGACTTTGAGGACTCCGTTGTGGTATTCAAAGTTGATTTCTGATGTATGGGGTTGCTCAAGGGAATCACCATCATCTAGATAGAGGCTACCTTCTGCGTTACCCTCACGGTCGAGGCAGATGACAAGTTCGAATGGCTGTTTTCGCAGCTCGGTGGTTGTATTGGCACTGTCGGCGCGCATTGGGACAATTTGTCCGCCGCGGAAGTGAAGGGGAATGTGCGTGATGGGGACATTCTCCATTGTTATCAGGTCTCCCTTTCCTTCAATAGGTTCCCCTGTATAGTAATCATAGAAGATATCATCAGGCAGATATATTTCAACACTAGTGGCACCTTCTTCCGTTACCGGACTAACCAACAAAGCATCGCCGTAGAAGAACTGTAGGTCGATTGCAAAGGTATCTTCATCCTCTGGGTAGATGTAGAAGAGTGGGTTCAAAACGGGGTCTCCAGACTGTGTTTGACGGTGGAAAGCAGTGTAGATGTAGTCAAGGAGTTTATATCTGATTCCAATGGCAGTCCTTGCTGCCTCGGTTACGGACTCCCAGCGGTAAAATTCCTGGTCTCGGCCAGCAATATCGTTGTGATTCCTATAAAACGGGTAAAAGGCACCTAGCATAGCCCATCTAGCACATAATTCTTCCGTGACGTTACCACCAAAGCCGCATACGTCAGCTCCTACCATGGGAACCTGGTATATAGCTGCAAATTGAAGGATCTGGGAAATTGAAAACCGGTACTGGCTCCATTCACTGAGATTATCACCGAGCCTGTATTTAGTTAGCACTGCAACACATTCGAAGGAAAGGGTATGCATACCAATGCCCAACATGAACTCCAGCCCCCGCAAAAGTACTTCGAGTGATCACCATGGGCCTCTTTGTCGGACGTCGAGCTAAAAGAGATTCTCGACTGGCACTACTCATCACTGGAGAACCTTAGTATAGTGTATAAGGAGAGGCAGAAGTCTAAAACTTACTAGTGCCGTAAAGGTTATGAGTATCATACTCAACTAGACCATTGGCATGAACCAGGTCAGTATTCAAGGTCTTGTTGCTGATAGATCCAGCTTCGTTCTGGATCCTGTATGGCGGATCAATAAGATCACGACCTGGCAAGCCAGCTTTGCTTCTTAATCTTGTTCCATCACGCTTGACAAGCCTAACGCTACCAGGCTGGAGTTTATCCGGAAATCCAGGTAGCGGTCTTGGGATCGGTCTGACTGGTGGAGGAGCTGGTGGTAGATCATGGTCTCTTTCCCACCCTTCAGGGTCAGAACACGGCCAATCGCAAAAATTAGAAGCCTCGTTCATATCTATCCAGAGAGCATCGATGTCTATTCCTTTTTCAGGGTCGAAAAACAATTTGAACTCATTATTCCAGTAATCTTGAGTCCCGGGATGAAACCAATCAGGAAATGCAGTGACACCAGGCCAGACGGCGCCTATAAATGACTTAGTAGAGTATATAGAGGGGTAGAGCCTCTGACTCACCTTTATAGATTGCTCCGTCCTTGGATTTCATGAACACGTCTTGCGTTTTCCCTCTCTCAAAGGCGTCATTGTCGCCGTAGCTCACTGCTGGATCTACCATGACAATGTAATGCTGGTTGCGATCGTGGAGGTACTCTACTAGGGCTCTCATCTCGTCTATGGGGAAGCGCTTCGAGTCCAGTGTGAAGACTTTGCGTCCGTCCATGTAGTCGATATCCGTCCACATAGTTTCCAAGGGGATACCAGCCTGGCTATAGTTGTAGACCACCTCGGCAACATTAAAAGCGTCCCGGTAGCCATACCGGCATTGATGAAGCTAGATTCAATCAGCATTGAGATTTCCATATAAGTCAAAGGCGAAGAGCGGTATGGACGTGAAAGCCTTACTCCAAAACCCCAGTAGGGCATCATGGCGGGCAGGCCAACCACTTCAGCATATTGAGAAGCAACCTCCTTTGGCGTCGGTCCAGCCATGAAATAAAAGTCTAAGACGCCTCCTAGGATATTATATTCCAGGTACTTTTTTCCGTTGTCACCATCCTCACTCCCTACCTTGACATCCATGCCATTGGAGTTCAAGAGAAAGACACCATGAGTGCCTGATCTCCCTCGATGGTCATAATAGACCGGGTGTGAACCGTACAAGTTAGTGCCAGGAGGAATACCAAAGGCATCTCTATTCCAAAGTGTAGTAACAAGATCTTCTGTCTGTAGGCGTAAAGGGTCACTGTGCTCTCCTAGTCCGTACAAGTTGGGCTCATCCGGCAGAGAAGTGCGAAGGCGTAGATACTGAGATTCAAAGATCAAAGGAGAGTTGGATGTATCAAAGATGACTTCATCAGTAGCTCGCCTGGTTACTTTGAAGGAGAATGGCTTCTGGGTCATGGAGAATTTTAAAGCTGATTTTGTCGAAGCACTGTCATTCTCTTCAGACTCTGGTCGAGGAAACACAGACTCAGGGACCTGATATACGTCTTCTTTAGAGTCCTCAATGATAACATGCAACCGTTCATCTATTATTCCCATTAGCACACATTGTATATAGGTAGTAAATATGATGAGGCGCCTTACGAGTCTGGTATTCAACACGGAGCTTCAACTGCCTGATATCCTCGCCGTAAACATTGCATGCTTTGCCTGCGAGCCGGAGGTCCGCTTTCAGAGTATGGCCATTGTCCCTGACGTTTGATACCTTGTACCCCGGGCACTCCTCCAGGGACGCAGCAGCCGACAAAACAGTCGTAGCGAAGACTGCAGCGAGGGCGAGTGTGCGCCCGAACATAGTGAATCTCACCGCAACAAGAGAGGATATTAGTTAGTTAACTAACTATGGCTTTCTGGCTAGTTGACTAGTTATTGATATATCGACGGCGAGTCTTCAGGACGTGGCATAACTACAGCCTAGATCAAAATAAACGGCATTTCTGGCGGTATAAATAGTTACTGCGTCGGCGCCAACCGGGGGAAGAGGAGAGTGCAGCAATGCAACTGCATAGCTAGCCCCTTCTTCATCTTGCTTTCTTTGCTTCTTTTCCTTGCTTTCTTGCTTTTTTGGCCTGGATCCGGGTGAACACGAACGGTTGCAGTGTTTGAATCCAAGATTCAAGATGCAGATGCGGGCTCCGTTACATTGTGAGAGGTTAACTAATGCCACCGGCGGGGCTGGTTATTTCTTTGCCCTGGTCAGTCACTATGTCTCCCCCGGGTAGATATCCCCAAGGAACCCTGCAATATCATCGACACCCTCCGGCTCCTTGACCCAGTGCCCGTCATTCTCCGCACCCGTATACTCCTTGAAGACAGCGTGCATCCCCAGCTTGGTCAGGCCTGCATGTGCCTGTCGACCCAGCTCAACGTCCACCCAGGCATCGTCTGTCCCATGTAGCAGCATCACCGGTGTAGACAGCATGGCCTTGACCTCTTCATCCGTAGCTTGAATATGCTCTCCATATCGAGTCGATATAACATCTTGCAAAGACTGAGATGGAGACTGAGATTGTAGGTCGAGTATATCGCCGGCAAACGGGAGCCAGCCAGACATGCCTATAAAGCCTCCTATCTTGCCCTTGATTCGTCCGGGAGAGCACAGGAGTGTCCAGAGAGCTGTTGCCATGCCCTGGCTCATCCCGATGAGTACGAGCCTGTCGCTTCTGCCTCCGAGAAGTGCGATTTCACTCTCCAGGATGTCCAGTAGATATGCTGTAGACTCCTTAAGCCCCTCAACCTGAAGGTCCTGCTTCTCTGAGATATTCACGAGAGAATAGATATCAAACCAGGCTGTCATGTTCTCCTCGAATACAACACTCCATCGCTCTCGAGATGTAGGGAACACCCATCTACAGCCAGGAAAGTGGGCTGGTAGATTCTTCTTCTCGGACGTGTGTGAGTCGAAGAACTCTTCAGCGAACTCAGCACCGTTGCTCGCGCGGCCGTGGAGGAGAATGGCCGAGTGAGTGTGAGCACCCTTGGGCTCGACAATATGAAGCGCAGGGAAGGCCATTTCAATACTTCTTATCCCCAGATACCGTCGCCTTGAATACTGAGGTCTTAAGAAAGTTGTTTGGCGGAAATCAGCAAATCTGGAGGGAGATGTCGTAAGCTGATAGTGCGTTTCAATCGCATCTGGCCATTTAAATTATTACTCGACACTCGACCCATCTTTCTTCTCGCTAGACAGGAAAGAATTCTTTAGATACTAATTGTATACCAGCTACCAGTTGAATCGCATCGTTACTTAACAGCTAAGCATTATGGTTGGAAGAAAGGTAGTTAAATAGTAAAGATATTCACATTCTAGACATCATACATTCTCAATTTAGTCACAACAATAACTAATAGGTATAAACAGGAAAATAATCATCGCTCGCCAAATGATAGATACTCCGACAGGGAGGGTATCAAGCAAATCAATATTCAACAATACGTCTCTTGATATGCTCAAGCATCTCCATAGGCAGTTCCTCCTCCTTGATCAGCCCAATGGCCAGGATATCAGCCCAGAAGAACAATGCTCGGTCCTGCGCATAGGCGAGATAATCAAACTCATCCGCAGCCTCATCGACCTCTGCCTCCTGCAACGCCTGGTCAGTAGCTGCAAGCATCTGCTGCACATCTACCGTTTCTTGCGTAGGCGTGGTAGATGCATCATCGGTACTCTCATCGCTAGTTAGAGCAGTTTCTTTGTTGTTCTCGCTGCTGGCTGCGTCAGCTGTAGAAGTATGTGCTACCGGAGTACTTGTCCCTGCAACCGCAGCCTCGAGGCCAGGGACTTTGGCCTGCACAATACCCCATGCTACCCACATAGCTGAGTTAGCTACGCGCCAGACCCGAGCTTCATGAAGCAGCTTTTGCACTTCTACCTCGAGCTCCTCATCGATTTGGTCGTCTTCACTTATCGAGAAGGGTACCGAAGGAGTATATGTGTCTAGGCTTAAGGGAGCAACACGGGGGCTGCTGGTGTATGTTGGTCTCAGGCCCGGTGTGGTCATGGTACTTGACACTGAGCTAGTGGAGAAGTTCTGGCCTAAGGGATAGGTGCTGGGGTTTGTCTCAGAGATAAGACGGGGCCGATGAGTGAGATAGGCGCGGATGAACCGTTTTTGCTCTTCAAGCGTTGGATACCAAGCTGTGTTGCATCTCCAAGGGCGGTCCTCATCATGGTAGTTATAGCACCATTCCGTCTATAGAGTTAATACCTACTCCTTGAATCATAGATAAATGCGTAGGCGGACTTACGAAGTGATTGGCAAACTCTGCTCCTCGCATATTCGCTGCCGCATATTCAAAATCAATAACGATAAGCTGCTTGTGTTCGTTGGCAGGCAATAGTGGTGATTCCCCGCTTGGTTCGAGACGAAGCAGATTTCCGTATTGCGTCTGTATATTGTTCGTTAGTCCTGGCTAATGCGGCATCAGGATGATTGAAGGAACTCACGTCATTATGAGCAAAAATCAACCGACGGGTAATCTCCTCCATTCCACCAAAGCTAGCAGCCAGCCACTGGCGATATCTATCAACCATACCCCGAAAAGTTTCCCAGGGGACGCCGCAGACAAATCCTCGTTTTCTCCATGGCTCTTTGGCTGATTTGCCTTCGTTGTGGTCTGCAAGAATTTCGCTGTCAAGCCAGGTGGTCACCTTCTCGCAGCGATGGACCCATTTGTCCCAGTTCTTCCACAAACCCGGGCCACCCTCTCGTTCCTCAGGCAGTAAGTCGATACCCTCATGGAGTTCTCTCATACGTTTGGCAATCTGGATAGATGTCTCTGGTATACGTAGGTCGCGAGTTGTCAGTGTACGAGCATGTAAGTACTGCTCGAATCTGCCATTCTTGAATGTTCCTAGTACCCGGGGACCTATGTTCCTCTTCCCCAGACGGCGGAGGACTTGAAGTTCATGCTCTCTGTCGATAAGATGTTCGACTTGAGGGCCGTAGATACGGAGAAGCAGTTTTCTACCATTCGTTAGTTATGCTGATCTTCCATACAAGATAACAAGGCATACTTACGGAGGAGGCTTTCTAGGCAAGCCCTGGCTAGAAGTAGACTCAGAATACTTGGACATATCCTTTGGAGGCGAGACCTGATATACGGCATTGGTAAGTGCGCCGCTCAAACGAACAACTTCAACTTCGCCCCCTGCATCGAGAGGGACTCTTCTCCATCCCTTGAATCCAAGAGTATGCGTCAACCGAACAATCTCAGACTTAAAATATAGCCAGTACTCTTTATCCTTGCTGGTAGCAGGCTTACTGCCCTCAGGCTGTGTCAATGTGTCTGAGTCGGCCTCACCACCGGAATATAGAAGTGTCTTAGAATTATCAAGTACAACATCAGCGCTGGGAACAGACATTTCATTATCTGTGTAATCGGAATCTGACGCCGAGCCACGTCGGAGGCCCTTCAAGCCGTAACCTCTTTTCCCTTGGCCCCATGAACCGCCTCTTCTTCGTCTCCATGGTGCTCCAGCAGGTCCTGAAAACCCATCTGTAGAGTACTGCGAGAGGATTTTCTCCAGTTTCTCCAGTGCTAGGGTTGACTCGGGCACTTGTGCATCCCCCGAGGTAGAATTGTCACCTAACAGATCCCCCTTGAGAGGTGCCGATGTAGATCGCGGGATAAGACGGGGAGACTTCGCTGTAGATGTAGATGTAGATGTAGATGTAGATGGTAGGCCAAGTTTTGACTTCTCTTGGTGCAGCCATTGATGAACTTGACCTAGCAGAGCATGGTACTGAGCCTGTATACTGACATCATCGGCTGTACTACTGCGGAAGAGAAACGACTGTGGCTCAGATGTGAGTGGTGGTAAGGCCGGGAATGATGAGATGGATGAAGACAGTCGGTCCTCGTCCGAGGGTGCGGAGGTTGTTGGCAGCCCACTGGTGTTATTATGTGTATTTGCATTGCTGCTTGTGCTCAAGTCGCTATTTGAACGGTCCAGGCTAAGATGGGATATCTGACTTGATACTGACTTGAGGGAGGCGGACGATGATTTTGGTATACACGGTCGAGTTGAGACTCCCTTTTTGCCCGAACGAAAGGTCTTTCGAGCCCCCGTGGTATCTGGTGTTGTTGTATAAGACTGCTGCTGCTGCTCCTCCCCTGACTGACCTACAGGTGCTGTTGATGGTGCTGATGTTGGTGCATTGCTGGAGGCTACTGATGTAGATATTGGCTCTATATCTTTGGTATTAAGAGCTAATCGGGTCAATGTTAGCAAAAGCCATTCCTCTTCTCTCTGGGTCTCTCTCTCTCTCTCTCTTTATACTGTAGAGCAGTTTTATACATATGACTACATGTCTCCTTGAAATTCAGTCTCAATAGGCTAGAAATGTAATCTGATACAAGAAAGCAGACTCTATCAGAGCACTCTCTAGCCCTTAAATATCACCAACTGCCAACAAGCAACATAAGCATATCATACAGACTGAGAAACACTACAGTAGCTGAAAGAGAGTCAAATCGATAAAATAACGGGGGTAAAACGGTGACTCACTAAGGTTCTTCTGTATAGAAGGGCGCGTTGAGCTATCCATGCTTCCGCGCAGTCTGTGGTATATAGTAGGTGCGCAAGTAGAAGAAAAGCGAACAAAGAAAGAATAAGAGAAGAGAAGAGGATATCAACCGGAACGGAACAATTTCTTGTCCAACAATAGGTCAATATTCTGGAAGGGAGACAGAGGATGCCATGAGAAAATAGAGATAGAACAGGCAAGCAAGCAGCAACCTTTCTTCCAACAACCTCCAAAGAAAAAGGAAAACCAAGAATCTAATAAATGTAGCTATCTGTCTGGATGCTAGTTATTCCTTTCTCTTATTGTGTTCCTCTCTTTTCCTTTCTTTTTTTCCACCTTGTCCTCGATGCCTTTATATCACTTCTTTTGACCAGCAGACAGTCCGATTCCGCGAAAAAGCTGAGGTTTTGTCAGTTTTTCTGGCAGAGAGAGATTGTGAGAGAGAGGCGAGAGTATCCCACATCCACGTAAGCGAGCGAGCAAGCGAGGATTGTATGACGATCGTCCTGTGCTGGGTTGGATTAAAGTGGAGGCTCAATACATAAGCTTGATGCTTGACGTTTGATCCTTGAAAGCCAACGCGGATCGGCCTGGAGGACTCTGTGCGCCGTATTGTATGTAACTTAGATGGGAGGTTAGTATCACTCAGCCCAAGCAGGGTGCTCCGTGAAGCCAGAAAATGAGAGAAAGAGACGCGCGTAAAGAAGATGAAAGAGAACAAAAGTTGGTGAAGTTGGAGTTTGAAGTCGAAAAAAAAAAAAGCGAAGAAAGAGAAAAAAGGGAAAAAAGCATGTGACTCAAAGATTACCTAATATCAGCCTGATAAGGCACAAGCAGAAAGGACGCTTTGCCACTTTGAGGCTAGTGCATCATGTGACCTTGACTTCTTTTTTTGTATTTTTATTTTGCATTTTTTTATTTTTATTTTTTTGCTTTTTTGTTGCTCTCAAACTCGACGACGACATAAATAATATAAAAAGGCCGAGCAAGGCAGACCGAAGGTTGGTAGACGAAGCTCATTATCATTTTTGCTTGACGCGGGCGTCGATGTTATTTACGTGATTGTCGATATAGTTTACATCCATGAAACTGTCATTCCACAAACCAGATAAAAGATGAAGCTCCCTTTTGTGTGCCGCGCCAGACCAGACAAGAAGACCATAACACAAAGCTAACCGAAAGACCCCAGAGGATGGAGCAGCTGCAAGGGGCCACCACCCGAGTGAACATGAAAAAGATCAAATAATACCAATGAAAGATGAAAGAGCAGAAGAAGCTAGCTGGCGGCCCACTGGACGACCTGCAGAGCGGATATTACTAGTATAAGCGTTGACGGGAGGATCCTATGAGACCTACGTTAGCTTTGATACTACCGGGCCCCTGGAGCCAGGAGTTGCTGCGTTATAGTGGCTTATTTTTTTTTTTTTTTTTTTTTTTTTTTTTTTTTTTTTTTACTTTACCATATGACATAGGAATGGAAGAG